AATAATGCACTGACGCATACAAAAATCAAACGAATACTAAATTTCATTTATCAAAAGCATTCGATAGTCGTGGCTCAACGATAACCATTCACGGCGAGGTTTCACATATGCTTTAGTATTCAAATGAATGAATCATTTTATTCAAACAAAACCATTCGATAGTTGAAATCATTCATACAGTAACCATTCGATAGTCTAATTCATTCGAGAGTTCTCATCGCTACTTTTAACCTTGTTTTGGAGATTTTGGGGAGATTAAAGTAATATTCTTTAGTTTGTTAAAATATCAACCATCACTGTTTTATGATTTTATAATATGAATTAATTATTTTCTAAAGAAGTTTCGTTTCATTTATAAAAAGTCGCTGCAAATAAAGTATATTGTATTTATGATTTTTATTTTACAAACGAAGTAACTAACCTAAATGTATCTGATATAAATTATACTTTAAAAAAAAAGTGACCTAAGATTGTGCTTAATGGGATATAAGTTGTTTTGTGCTGTAATTTTGTCGATACGCTTATATGTTTAGCATTTAAGAAATACCATATTGTCACAATTTGCGATTTTTAAATTCAGTGTAACATATAAAAATAGAAAGAAATTATTCCTTTACTATTTTAAAAAGAGCCATATAGTGGTTCTTTATGCAATATATTTAAAATTTAGGTAATATAATCACACAACGTTGGATTAAAAAACATTTATTTGAGGTATACAGGGTGCTACAAATTCGAGGTACGAGCATTGGTATCTCGGTAACCGTAATAGATACGAACATGATTAAATTGGGGCAGAGTTGCGCTTTGGGATGTTCACTAAGATGCCGTCAAAAAAGTTTTAAAAATTTCAAGGATTGCAGAGTTTTTTGGAAAAAACGGATTTTTTGAAAATCAATTTTATTTTTTCCTGTCGTTACTTTTAAGAAAATCAAAAAACTAATTGCACATTCTCATAGCCACTTTATTAGGGCTATCTGATAGTATTTTGAGATTTTCAAATTAGCTGATAATTTGTGAGATACAGAGGCCAACTTAATTTTTTTAAACACGAACCGGCATTTTTTATTTCCAGTTTTGAAAGAACTCGGTCTCCTGAGGACAATGATATGCCACACTTGATACTTTTTTTTTGTTTTGGGTACCTTAACAACAAAAAAAACTATTTAATTATTATTTAAAATAATTTCAAGTCCGACTCTGGTTTTTTAAATTATTTAATCTGATTATATTCATTGCAAAAATATTGATCAGCGCTAATTAACATTGAATAAGGAAAATCGAGCCAATTTGAAGATTCAAATCAATTATATCCAGGTCAGCAATTTAAAGGTATTATTTTTATTTTTTTTATTGTGAATTTGATATTTCAGTGTGCGATCTAATAATATGCGTAATATTCATCGTAGTTATTATACCTAACCTACCTTCTACAAACTTTCGAAAGCATTTTGTACTCTTTATTGTAAATGTTGAGATGTATTGATTTCACTTTTACAAACGACGTGAAGTAATGTATTCATTGGTATATTATTTTTTATTATTTTATTGCATTTCATTTTCAATATTCAATGTTTTACCCCACGTCATTGTTAAGTTTGAAAGCTTATCAATATGGTAACGATGAATAGATTAAATATTAAAAAAATAGAGCCGGACTTGAAATTAGTTCAAATGTATTGTGTTCAAATGTCCGAAATAAAAAAAAATATATTAAGTGTGGCATATCATTGTACTCAGGAGACCCAGTTCTTTCAAAACCCGAAATAAAAAATGCAGGTCCGTATTAAAAAAAAATAAGTTGGCCTCTGTACCTCACAAATTATCAGCTAATTTGAAAATCTAAAAATACTGCCAGATAGCCCTTATAAAGTGGCTATAAGAATGTGCAATTAGTTTTTTGATTTTCTTAAAACTAACGACAGGAAAAAAATAATTTTCAAAAAAATCCGGTTTTTCCAAAATAATTAACAATCCTTGAAATTTTTAAAACTTTTTTGATGGCATCTTGGTGAACATCCCAAGGCGCAACTTTGACCCAATTTAACCATATTAGTATCTATTACGGTTACCGAGATACCACTGCTCGTACCTCGAATTTGTAGCACACCCTGTATTATTATTCTTATCTGTTATAACTAATCCTTAAATTCACAATTTATTTTTTATGTATTGGATAAAGTATTAACATGGATTAAGATATCTTGAAAATCATTTTTTGAGTTGAAGAAAATGGTTTTTTATATTAAGGTTAAGTTATAATATTTTTGAAAAAAAAAATACTAACTTAATTAATGCTTATTGTATTAGGCTTCATGTATTTATAAATTTTAACAAAATATTTTTCTTTAAACATAGATTAAAAAATATATTTTTATTTACTAAATTTATTTAAACATATGTCAGTTAAAAATTTTCACTAATGAGCACTTGAAAAATATCTAGTAATAAATTTTTTATCACTATTTTATAATAATGATATATACTGCAATTTTGGTTCATTAAAAAACAGTCAAGTCATATACAAAAACTGTTAAATTATCTTTTCTAGATATGTTTTTTGTGTTCAGTATCAATTTTTAAATAAACAATTAATACTTCTAATATTTAATTGTTTTTGAACATCAGGAAATAGTCGTCATATTAATTAGACATTAACTACTTTTATACATTATTAATTATTTAACAACTTTTTTATTAGAAGATATTTTAATGTTACAATTTTTTTAAAGTTAAATAAATACGCAGATGTCTAGCTTGTATTAAAACTAAACAACTGCATTTTTAATAATTATTTTATTTAACAATGGAAATTTTACATCATTAACAAAATGTATTTATTTTCTATTATACTATTGTATTTACAAACTTCTCAAAAATATCTCTATTGAAAGTTAGTAAGTTTAGAGTCTACGTATAGAGTATAGAGTGTCCCATGTTCATGTGTTTTACAGGGTCTCTCGCTTATGAGTAGAGATACAAAGATGCGGCTTTTTCACATCAATTTGCTACTTTTTTATTACACCCTGTACACAAATTTCTCAGTTGTTGTTTGTACACAAATATACTGTATTATACTTGTTTGTACACAAATATACTGTATTATCGCAATAAAAACGACATCAAGTTGGCTCTCGGAAACTACTGGAGATAGAGAGTCGGTTAAATGGGGAAAGAATTGCAGTTTTGTGGGGTCATAAACATGCGCCTTTCAGATTTTTGAAAAAGTTCATGGCTTAATATTTCGAAAAAAACAAATTTCGGCTATTTTAAACATTGTCCCTAATTCCATTATGATTTATTTTAGACAAATAGTTTTCAAATAAAAGTTGTGGATAATCATATCCTTAATGAGACTGTGTTCTCCGTTTTTCTTCTAAAGCCTGTCACTTTTGATATATGACACAAACATATGTTTTTTTAAATGGAAACCATATTGGCCATGACTAAAAAGCGCCATTTTTTAAGCTTTTCAGCGATATAAGCTATAATATGGTTTTTTCACAAAATTACTGAGTTATAGCCAATTCTTCTCTTTCTTGACTAATTTCACTTAGTTAGCCATGGAAACAAGTTCAATCGTCGTTGTTCTCAGAAAGGTGAAACTGTCACATCCAAACTTATAAATTAAAGTAAATAAAAATTGTAAATATGAATTTTTCAGATGAAGAAAATCGTGTAGGATTATTGATTAGTTCAACTTTTCTTGGCTATACAGTTTCGAGGTTACGTTGACCGTTGAACGTTACTTACGTTTTTTAGAGAACGGTTTTCAAGACATGTTAGAAAAGTTAAATTTAGATACTCGCGCATTAATAGACTGGTTCCAACAAGACTTTCATTATGACACACCACCACAATGAAAAAAAATGTTAAAAATTATTTATATCGTAATTATGTAGATTCAGGGATAGAAAGAGGTGAACCAATTGCATGGGTCTCCTCGATCACCCGACCTATCCATTTTAGATTTTTTTTATGCGGTATGGTTAACAACAAGGTTTATAAAAGAATTACTTATGAATTAACGGAAGCACTCGAAGAGGCAGTATAGGAGAAGTTTAATTAAGTCGACCGGTCGTATTGTGAGTATATGTAGCTAGGAATTCAGTTTTAAAAAGATGCATTTATGTACTCAAAACAATGGCGGATTTTTTGAACATTTTCGAAAATAACTTAAAGTGTATGTAGTGATATTATTTTTTTAAGTTTTAGTTCGTGTAATGTAAATTGTAAAGAGCCCTTTAATACTATATTTTATCTTTTTATAAGTTATAAATCATAACAAAATAAGAATACCATGCCAACTAAGTGAAATTAGTTAAGAAAGATAAGAATATAGCCAACTCAGTAATTTTTTGAAAAAAAACATATTATAGCTTATATCGTCGAAAAGCTTATAAAATGGCGCTTTTTATGAAGTTATGGCTAACTATGGTTTCCATTTAAAAAACATATGTTTGTGTCATATGTCAAAAATGACAGGCTTTAGAAAAAATCTTAGAACACAAACTCATTAGGGAAGTGATTATCTACAACTTTTATCTAAATTTTTTTTGTCTAAAATATATTATAATAGAATTGGGACAATTTTTAAATTAGCCAAAATTTGTTTTTTTTGAAATATCTAGTAAGCTATGAACTTTTTCAAAAATCTGAAAGGCGCATATTTATGAGCCCACAAAACTGCAATTCTTTCTTCCCCTTTTAACAGACTCTCTATCTCCAGTAGTTTCCGAGATACCCATAGAGAACATCGTAGGAAACTCACCCGTATACTGATCTACGACCTTAATCATATAATTTTACATGACACTACAGAAATGACAGGGATCTTCATATCCAAGCCAACTCTGACACCACAAAGAGTAAGAAATTCATAATTGTGACAATAATATGTTTCTTAAAGGGTCGTATTAGGATTTTATAGGCTTTATTTTTGTTGCTACATAATATGTACGAAAAAAAAATAGGTAATAATATTTTATATTCCTATATAGATTGGACAAAGACATGGAGGCTTTTTAGGGATACTCCAAAGAGCTTTGGCAAGGGCATCACCTCATATATGGTTTGAAAGGTCGGAAGTTAGGGATAAAAAATTTGTCGTGAAGAGGTAATTTTTGTTTTTCTATTTAAATAATATATGTTTATTATTTTGTTTGTTGATTTAGGTTAAAAGAGCATACGTCAGATCCTAAAAATCCTCCCATATTGATTTTCCCAGAGGGTACTTGCATCAATAATACTTCAGTGATGCAGTTTAAAAAAGGCAGCTTTGAAGTGGGCAGTGTGATATATCCTGTTGCTATTAAATATGATGCCAGGTATGACTATATATTTTTTTTGCATATACAGCGTCAGGCAGTAGTGCGTCGCGCATCTGTAGCTCCTAGAACCTAGAATAAAAAACTTGGAATTTTGTTTAAGTGCAAATCTAAAGTATGTACTATGATGGAAAATATTTTTCTCAAAAAGTGGGTGGATCAGGATGATTTTTTTTTAAATTGAACACCCTGTGTATTATTGCATTTCTGGTTTCCTTTTAGATCACTTTACATAATCCTAAGATATGAGTAAATATATTTCGATAGTTTCTGAGATATAAATAAATAAATAAATAAATAAAAAAAAATATATTTTTCAACCTTTCTTAAAAAAATATTATAAACACAAGAACACAAAAACTATTATAGGCATTTACTTTAGATGGTCTGTACTTATAGTCTAAGACCTAAGAGCTAGAACGTTTTCGAGAAAGTATTTTAAGACGTCTATCTGGCTCTTTGATACATATTTTACTATGCTTTCTGGAATAGCATGCGGCCCGTCTGGCTGCCGATACGCTTTGCGTTCACTACTGCGCATCGGAAGAAGATCCTATATATATTTTTTTAATTTAGTTCTATAAATTCTAGTATTGAATATAAATCGAATATGTCTTCATATCGCAGTGCGTAGAGTTTCCGACTACGAGCCGAGGATTTAGAGTTCGAATCCGGGTCAGGGCAAAGACTGTTTTATTTTATTTTCGTTTATATTCTGATAGTAAAGTATTAAATAATTCTGGTGATTCAAAAAATATATTTAATGCTTTACTATCAGAATAGAAACGAAAATAAAATAAAAAAGATTTTGCCCTGACCCGGATTCGAACTCTGACCCCTAGCTTGATAGGCAGAACCTCTACGCGCTGATCTATGGAGACTCGGTCGGTTTATATTCAATACTAGAATTTAAAGGACTAATAAAAATATAGGATTTTCTTTCAATGCACAGTAAACGTTTACCGCAGCCAGATGCACACGCAACGTTTACCGGCAGCCAGACGGGCCGCATGCTGTTCTAGAGAGCATAGTAAAAGATATATCAAAGAGCCAGACGTCTTAAAATACTTGTTTTTCCGACGTTGCTCTCGTACTATTACTTGACTATAAATGTCGTAATCTTAAATCAGACAGGATGTTCAAAATTCTACGCCAAACTTTCTAAAATATAAAATAATTTTTCTTTTTAAATGGAACACCCTGTATATTATTTTTTTTAATAGATGGAAAATTAAAAAATAAATATTTTTTGTATATAGATTATTTCAAAAATTTTAACGGTTTCTCAGATATTCGCGGTTTTATATTTCATTTATTTATCATATTACCAAAGCCACCTAATGATTTTTCTCTTGTATTTTACCGTTGAAAGAGCCGTATGAAATATTATCGCGAGTATCTGCGAAACAGTTGAAAATTGTTGAAAATTTTGAAATAATCTAAATACGAAAAATGTTCATTTCTTAGTTCTCCATCTAATAAAAAAAATAATATATAGGGTGTTCCATTTAAAAATACGAAGAGAAATTATTTCATATTTTAGAAAGTTTGGCGTAGAATTTTGAAGACCCCGTGTGATTTAAGATTACGATATTTATAGCAAAGTAAGTATATACCATCTTAAGTAATACAAGGGTAATACCACAGATTAGGTATCCTATAAGTATACAGATAAAAATCTTGTCCCTAATTCGTGGTACGAAAATTGTTTTGTATGACGATGTGCAAACGAGTCAAATTTTCTGTGCGCAAAAATAAACTGGCGTAAAATAACAATAAACAGCGTAATAGAGAGATATCGCTAAACTGAATAGCGTGCATGGACGTTAATAAGGCCAGGTGTTATTTCCTTTACGTGAGGTGGTATTAACTCTTTTCATTTGTAGTTATCAGATCGGAAAGAATTCTGTTCGCGTCGCGTCCGCTATTTAAACTTAACCTAACTTTGAATTTAAAACTTTGAAATTGTTTTGTTTACTAGGTATTTTAAAACTAAAGGGCTAAAGTGCTTATTTCCAGTGCTTTATTGTTCAACGTCTACCAATGGGTTTAGGGCTACAAGCAACAAATTCTCTTAGAAGGGCTAAGTCGTCATCTGCTGTAAACATAAGACTCTTTATAGGTTCTTTAGTATTGGAAGAGGTGGAATCCATATTTTGGGCCATATTTATTTAATTAAAACTAATCCCAGCTACTTAAATATCAAATTACCTAATAAAACTAAAGCAGTAATTCAAAACAATTCAAATATAACCTAAAATAAAAGATCTCGCCGGCCAGCTCCGGTTGTCAAATACCCGCACATGCCTATTTAAGCAATTTTTAAACGTTATCAGAGGTTATTTAGAAACAGCGCTTGGTGTAATTGATCCGCAAATTACGTCAGGCGGTAACGTTATTAGCGGGTGTTGCGTTGACTCGCGCATATCGTAACCATGATAAGGTACGCGTAAATACTGGATGACGCTATTCGGTTTTCCGATATCTCTCTAATAACTGTGCCGGTCAGGCGCTGTGCACAATTTTAGAGGCCATAAGTGGGCGTGCTATGTGCGCAAACTAGTCACCTAACTAGTGCCCGATTCCGAAAATTGGAACCACGAAAAACAATAAAGGAAAAACAAAGATTATAATCTGTATAATCTGTGGTAATACCTAATATAGTTTTGATTTCAGGACAGTTCTTGTATTTGTAATAATTTTTTTAAGCAGCTATCGAAATATATTTACTCATATCTTATAGCGTAGATTTCTGCCTGAAGAATGCTGGGGTAGAAAAAACTACTATCCCTGTTTCTGTTTTGGCTTTGGAAACATCATACCAACCATAACCGAATATTTTATGGTTTACCGAAAGTATTCTATTGTAATTTTGTTGGTTTTTAACAGGTTTGGCGATGCATTTTGGAACAGCAGCAAATATTCCATGCTTCATTATTTGTACATGATGATGACCAGCTGGGCCATCGTCTGCGATGTATGGTACTTACCTCCTATGCAGAAAAAGGAAGGGGAGAGTTCCATAGATTTCGCCAATAGGGTGAAAAGTGCGATAGCCAAACAGGGCGGTTTAGTCGATTTAGTTTGGTAAGTACTGACTTTTTTGAAACTAGAGAAAATGTGGAATTTATAATGGGTATATAAAATAGTATAATTTTTATGGGATACTCATCCTTTAAAAAAATGTTTACAATAATAATTATACATCATATTCACAAGAGAGAAACAAAGCTGTTTGAAAAACTGTGTAATTGTTTTTTTCTTTGTTTATATAAAATTTTAAGAAGTACCGGTACTTATCAAGATTAAAATCTATTAAAATAATATACAATAAATTATGTGGTAAAAATTTTATTATAGAGGTTTAAAAAGATTATATTTATAGGGCATAAAATATTTTTATGGTTCTGTATATCTAATTGTTTTTTAATTAACTCTATGGCATATATAATATGTAAATAAAAATTGCTGGCTTAATCCTCTCCAGACTACACAGTATTTTTGTTATTCAGAAAATTTCAAAAGAAAATTTTGCTGGAATGAAACAAATTGAAGTCAGAGTTATGTTTTATGCATTTTGCTAAATAATAAGTGTTTTAAATGTGTTACACAAAAAAACCATTACTTGTTTTACAATTTTTAAACATTTATGTTTAAAACTATAAGAAAACCTCTTTCTTTCAACTATTTAATAAAAAATACAAGTCTAATGCAAACCAAATAAAAATCAAAGTCAGATATACAGAGTGGTCCGAATTGAATATTTCATTTTCATCAATAAAAATTTCATTTTTATTTCGATTTTTTCCAAATAATTTCTGAACTAACATCGATATTTGGATTAAAATTGGTGTCTGAGGTGTTTTTTGACTTGAGAAATTTGATTTCCATGTCAATTTTACTCTTACTTGTAGGTGGGCGTATTTTTTAACGGGTTTCAAGAATCTAATTTTAATTTTAATAATTAAAAAAAGATTCTTTGGTAAAAACCGCTACGAATAACGCTTTTCAAGACGTTTGGAATGTAAATTATCAGTACATGTCATTAGTGACAAATTAAACATGTTGATTAGATAGTTATTTGAACGAAATGACAAATCTGGGAACTTTAAATTTTTTTAAATTAATCAATAGTTTTTTCTAGAAAGAATTATGATGAAACAATTTTTGTTGAACATGTGGCACAAAAACATCTCAAATTTATGATTTTAGACCAATAACTATCTAGTCAACGTATCCAATTTTTGTCAATGATGACATATATTGATTATTTCAAATATAAATATTTCGAGAACCATTACTCGGTAGCGATTTTTACTAAGAGACGTAAAAAACGGTGGAAATGTATAATTTTTCACTCAGTAGGGGGGGGGGGGGTTATACAAACTTTTTTACTTATTTTTATTTGCAGAATATACTGCCGAAGTTTCCCGAATACAATTCGGACAACCCTGTATATCAGACTAGTTAAAACATGTTTTGTTCAACGTTGTATTTTCTTTTTAATTTTTAGGGACGGCCAGTTGAAGAGGTATAAAGCCAAAAAAGAATGGAAAGAGCGACAGCAAGAGGAATTCAGCAAAAGATTGAAAGTAGAGTAAACCAAAAACATTTCAAGAACTTTTAGCATTAAAAAATCATCTCATTAGTTTTGTATCTCTCTTTTTGTTTTCTTTTAAGATAAAACTAAAGTCAGTAACTCCACGTAAAAGAAATCAATAGGTACCGAAGCTGCCAAATTTACATTTTTATTTCGAGTCAGACTCAATTATTATTTTTGAGTAAATAAATAAATTTTAAGTTTCCTGGAATTTCGGAGCAATGAGAGCAAACTTGAAAAGACTGGCCATCGTGGTTGTTAGTATATGATCATCTCTAGTCATGGCACTTAGATTTTAGGTCATTTTTCTTGTGATTGGTCGGATGATGTAATAATTATACGGTAAGAAACGAAAAACAATAAAAAGATTGCATTTTTTATTGTACTACTCCGAAACAAAATATCTCAAACATTCGTATCTATTAAGTGAAATTTTTAGTACCTACCCGCGCTCCATTTTTTCAATCATATTATAATTATGGTATAAATGAAATAGAATATGTTGTATTAATTTATATTTTTCCCGCGTAGTTTATTTAAGCTTTTTGGTTAGCTTATTCATTTCTAAATAGTCGTGTGCTTATAGTCTTAAGATAAATAACGTACGATTAAAATTTCGACGTCACAGTAGCCTTTGAAATTATTCTTGATGGTGATTTCTGTCTTTAAAAATTAACATAAAATTTGCCAAGTTTTTATGTGAATTTTTCATAAATGCCATAATGGGGTCGGTAATGTGAATTATCGTTTCAAAGGTTACCGTGACGGTGTTTTTTTCTGATCGTATATCGGTTTCTAAGAAGTTACAATCAAGTGGGCCTTGGACGTTGACATTCAAACAAATTCTAATCCAGTAGGTACTAAAGCCTGGTTGACACGGTCAAAGTGTACAGGGTGTCTCATTTTCGTTGAAATCATACAGTATCTCTGTTATTAGTAAAGATAGGAGGATGCGGTTCGCACAAACCTGTTCCACTGTTTTGTCAAACGGAAGATGTTGTAAAAGGTGCCCGGTGGCGTAGAGGTACAGGCTTTTGTCTACCAATCTCAAGGTTGTGGGTTTGAATCCTACACCCTGCATTTCATCAGCCGACTATACAAGTTGTCCCAGAAATAAGTGCAAATATTTTAACTGGTAGTATAGTTCAACCCCAGAAACACGCCTATGAGATTTTTTCGCGAATTTTTTTTTAAATTCGGAATTTTTTGAATATTTTTTTGGATTTTTTTTTTATTTTTTATTTAAAAAACATAATTTTCTGATAATATGGCAGCATAGGTGGTAGATTAAATTTACAAGAAAGAAAATCCAGAAATGATCCAGTGGTTCTCAAAATTTTTGCAAAAAATCATTTTTTTGGAAATTTTCAAAGTAAAATAACTCCGTTATTTTGGACTTATGTGAAAAACGACAGAGAGAAAATATGTTTCTTTTATCGAGATCTACCACCCCTTAAAATATTTGCTCTTATTTCTGGGACACCCTGTATATATAAAATGCTAATGTTTATCTGTGTCGTTTCTACTTAAGTAACGATTTGCTCTAGAAAGTTGCCTTTTTTACTAAAAGATAGCTAATTGGCTCTTCTAAAAATTGTCGTCGCCGGATTTTTTTTTAATTAATTAAGAAAATGAAAATAAAAAGTATTTTTTTTTCCTTATGTCGTGGCGGATGCGCCAGGCTTTAACTAATTTTTATTAAAATAACAATAGTTTGGGTACCTAGGTCGACTCAGCCTTAAATGAGTACTTGGGATTCACAATTCTAAGGTAATAATAGGCGGTTGAAGCGTAGTGCTAGCCACATTACCTTCCTTGTATACCGAACGGCTCTAGCATGGCAAGCTCGCAACTTGCTACTCCCAAGGAGTTAAACGCTATATACGGGAGCTATTATTATTAGGATATTGTAAACAAAATTTTCATAGTCCTCTTTGTTTCTGAGCTACAGGGTCTTTTCGAATACTTTGTAATTTGGGACCGTCCCCGTATCTCCGTTATTGTGAAAGGTATCGAGAAGGTGAAAACAGATTCTTGTAGAACTTTTTACGTAGAACACAGCGGCGTAGTTTGTTTTTCTATGAAAAAAATATTTTTGAAAATATGAACTAAAGTTATGTTTTTTCAAATGGAATACCCTGTATATTTATAAATCATATGATACGGCTTGCTATGAGCTTCTCAAAAATATATATCACTCTATAGTTATTTTCATTATTTACTTCAATATTTAAAAGATATTTTCTTATTAGTAGGCCGTGATAGATAACAAAAAAAAATCAAAATGGTACTTACTTAAATAGTCATACACATATTCAAATTTTATTTGGGACTGAAATATTTTACTTTTAAACTGTTACCACTGAATCTCTGAATATATTTTTCTTCTTTTTTTATAACGGGATTTATTATAACGGGATGGGTTTGCAAATATCCAAAAGCTTGCCTGATAGCTTTTTCTAGGCTTCGACATTGTTGTAGTTGCCACAATATATTTCATATTTCAAACATCCCTAAATAGAGAAATCGAGAACGGACAAATCCGGGGACCATGAATTGGGACTAATATGGACCCATCGTATGGGTCCATATTAGTCCCAATTCATTGATTTGGGAAATACTCATTTAACAAAATTTTAATATTTTCAAAGTTGTGAGGGGGGACCCCTTCTTGCAGAAAGTGTATTTCACGTAAATTAGCTAAAGGAATTCCGGTACAGTAGCTTCCAAGATTTACAAATAGCGATAGAGAGTTAAGTTTTCCTGATATACCGTATGATCAAAAAAAAAAAACAGGATATGAAATAAAGATCTGTCATTTTATATGTAAATTTATATAGGAAATGTCTTCGATCGTCATTTTCCAGCCAACTGGACGCCGCTTTTTTCGATCATACGGTATAAAGAATATATTAGTGGTTCCCAAAATAAAACAAGAGACAGATAGCAGTATACTTTTAATAATTATTTAGTTTCTTTGACTATTAATCATGGCCTACTAATAAAAATATCTATTGATGAAAACTTTTAAATATTGCAGTAAATAGTAGTGATGAACCAAACCGTGATTTTCTGTTCACAGGCTTACCTGTGACAGCGACTTTGTATTATCTGTGACTCTTAACTGTGACTGCGACTTTATGATTATGAATCCGAAAGCACAATCACGGCTAAAATATAAGATACGATACGAATGATACGATTCTGTTGTTGTTATACTAATTTTTATTTGTCCTTTATCCAAGGCCGCTGAAATAGAAAACACTAAACAGTGGGTAAAAGGTATATTAAAAAATAAAAATAAAACAATTTTTTTATTTAAAGAAACCAACGGGAAAAGAATCAAATATGCAACATGCTCATAACCATAATGAACGAAACTTAACAACACGATATAAGTAATACATTAAACAACAAATATTTTCCTTTGTATTAAAATAAACGAAATATATAAAAAATGAAGTTTCTAAAAAAAATAAACAGTATAAAGGTAAAACTTCATGTTTGGCTTTAAAAAAACCTGCTAAACTAAAAAGGAACCAAACCGATTCGTAGTGATAAAAAATAGTAATAAAATATAAAATACATAAAAAATTAAATCACTTCTAACAGTCACTGTCTTTAGATCACTTTGTCAGATATCTATCCTATGAGACCTACGTCGTGACTCGTGACTGTGAACTGAGTCACGACCGGCGCCATCGGCAGCTGCGTTCGCGACGCGCGACGCGCGACTTCCCGCTCTGTGAAGTATTTTCTCGTTACCAGAGAAATCACAATTCGTCACGCTTTAGCAAGTCACCGTTTATTTTCAAATCAGTCACAGGCCGTGACTGTGATTATAGAATATCAGTGACAAAGTCACAGTTACCGATATTTCACTCATCACTAGTAAATAGTGAAAATAAATAGAGAAGGATATATATTTTTAAGAAGTTTATGGGCAACTCAGATCATATAATTTACTTATACAGGGTGTTCCATTTAAGAAAACATAACTTTAGTTCAAATTTTCAAATATATTTTTTTCGTAGAATAACAGACCACGCCACAGTATTCTACGTAAACATATCTATAATAAACAGTTTTCACCTTCTCGATACTTTTCACAATAACAAAGATACAGGGAGTGTCCAAAATTGTAAAATTTTCAAAAAGATCCTGTAGCTTAGAAACGAAGAGGGCTATGAACATTTTGTTTACAACATCTTCCGTTTGACAAAAAAAAGTGGGACAGGTTTGTGCAAACGGCTGGTTGGTACAGTCCAAACAGGGTTCAAGTGAGACGCGCGCAGCTTCCAAGTGTATTTGATCCAAGTACATTTCGATCGTGTCAAGTAGGCGTATAACAGTATAACAGTAAAAATATCAATAAAACCATATAAAAAAATTGTGTGAACGTACCAGGTTGGTTTGATTATAACTTTTTTTCTATCTACACGGTAGTTATTGATCACCATTTTGTATTAAATTAAAAACGCCTCAGGTTACTAACAGTTTATTTTTTCAGGCTGTGAAAAGAATTATTTGAATACTTTTTATATTCATAAAATTAGAGCCTTGAATATTTGCTCTTGTAGTATTCAAACAAACATGAATAAACTGGCGGTAGATGAATTTGTTTTCATCTAAATTTAGCTGGCAATTGTCCTTACCCCTTTATTTTGTTTAAAAACGTCTCCTTTAGATATTTTAGTTAGACTTATCAAACAACTCTAGTTTTTTTTAATAGAAACTCCTTTTTTAATAGAAAGTTAAAAATCTTTTTAGACTTTCTAATTTTGTTATGATGGGAAGTTTAAAAAGATTAAAGCTAATACAGGGTGTTTCAAAAAACATGTGCCATCTCTCGTGGGGAGATTCCTCACGTAAAAATAAGATTTATTTCTCATATCAACATAGGTTCGATTCTGATTTGTTTGTTTATTAATTCTGATGCTTTCATATGCATCTAATTGCCTGTAATTTGAGACTTGTTTAATTAATTTTAAATTATTAAGATCTATACAATGTTCTTTGTTGTTGCATATTAACCCATATGCACGTCGATGAATGTGGAATTTATCGACACTTTTTTTCACATAACATTAAAATATGTAGCACCATAGATAAAAGAAAATAATCTTCTATTAAGATAGATATGAAACTTAATAGTAAAATTTTGGGTCAAAGCGCCCCTCCGTGTTCTTAGTAGAGACTACGTTTAACCCAGCGCCTTCGCCTTTTCTGCTGTAAATATTTTTTATGTTTATATTTGATTTCAAAGGATTTAGTTTTAAAGTTACACTGATATATTAGTATATCAGAGTAACTTTAATAAAACATAAGAATATATATATTTTACAGTTTATTAAATATAAATTTTGACTACAAGGTAGAAAGTAAATCACAATATTTGATAAAACTTATAAGTATACCATTTTTACAGTTAATAAATAATAAAACTATTTTTGACTATGATATTTAAAATTTAGATAGATAGAATATTAAAAAACATACCGGTATTTGCAGACGCAGGCCCAAATTCAATAAAAACCAAAATTTTTCCTGCGAAAATCGGGCTTTTTTCACAGAAAAGGTATTTTTTGATTTATCAACAATCATTGTCATGTTGACAATATACAGGGTGTTTTCTAATTAGTCTAAAAAATTGTGGTGTGATTCCTTATGTGTCCTTAAAACAATTTACCCAATTTTTATATAATCATTGGGTCTAATGTACTTCCTTTCTGATCTACAGGGTGTTAAAAATTAAAAAAAAATCGATATTTTGCTTAACATAAATGGTACACTACTGCTTTTTTAAGGAAAATATATTTTTTTCTTGACTGGCCATCCTTTTTCAGCAAAATTGATCTTTTGAGTTTTTCTTGTTCATCAAACGGTTGCCGAGAAAAAAATAAATATACTTATTAAGAGCCCGCCGTCTAACGATTTTTTATTTTTTAGATTAATTAGGAAACTAGTAACCTCTAAAAATTATTTTTCCTACCACTAGCGACATACCGTGTTTTTAGTGAGTACTAAATTATTTTATCAAAATTTCACCATATAAGTTTCCAGGCAATGTGTAGCACTTATAATAACTTTTACCCTCAAAATTTCATTCGAATCATTAAAAGTACTTGGAAGAAAATTATAATAAATCGAAAGATTATTAAGACTTTAACGCCCTGTGCACAGAATATACTAACGAAAAAGAAGCCCAAGTTCCTTGTAATAAATCGGTTCCATTTTCGTAGCGCCATCTCTCGACAAAGCTGACATTTACAGGTTAGCCAAAGGGGTGCGGGGCCGGGGGGAATTGTAAAATACACTTTTTTATTTTAAATATTTTTATTCGCTATTTGCAAGTTTATTTTTAAAACATATTATCTGAAACAATCACATAATATGTCTTAAAAATAAAATTACAAACGGAAACAAAAGGAATTAAATAATCTGAAAATCTACAAAGTTTATTGATAAAAAAGTTAGGCTATGCAAATTGATATATTAAGTATAACCTCTTTGGTATAACATTGTTAAACAAACATTAACAAAGCATAACATATCAGATCATAGAACTAGAAAAAGTACTATTACATAAAAACAGGCGATACAATACTTCAAAATTAATTTTAACATAATATCAAAACCGAAAAATCAAACTGCAAACACAACCACACTTATCACAACAGAAATTAACACACACTTCCGCGGCAAATGTCCAAGAAAGACTGATCATCCTGATTGGTCCGGTCCGGTCGTAGCTCCCTTCGTATTGTCGGTAAGCAAAATCCCTGTCCAAAAATCTTGACGATTAGCGCCATCACCCGTCATAATTGGGAAACTTTTGCTGGAACCATTTTGAATATTTCACTTACATGGCCCTGACCCTGTGGCTACGAAACAAAGCAGAGTCGGACCTATGTTGATATGAAAAATAAATCATATTTTTACATGAGGAATTTCCCGACGAGAGATGGCACATCTTTTTGAAACACCCTGTATAAACATAAATCATTTTAAATAGACTTAAGTAAAAATTAGTCATTTTAGTATTTAGTTATTTTTGTAATGCTCAAACATTGTGTCGATTAGTTTAGAAATGAAATTTAGAAGACAATAAATTACTTTTCCTTATTCTTATAAAACCATTCAGTTAGTTGTACATATTCTTCCTTAATTTCCTAGTTTTAAACCCGAGAAATATAAAATGAGAACAGTGGCGTACCAATATAGGGACTGATGTAAAAGAAAGAGCATTTATTTTTGTAAATGTGCGCTAGGAGTGTGTGGCCTTTGTTTGGTAGTTATCGATTTAGCTTTAAGTTGTAATATTGAGAACCGTTTACACACTGTAAATATAGTTTTGTATTACACTTTATTTGCATGAAATAAAGTACTATTTAATTTTAAAAAATTGGTATTGAATCTAATCCTGACCACTAATACAGAAAGGATAGTAGGCAACCAGTAAATAATATTTTGAAAAATTACGCGCGCTTTTTGAAAATACCACCAAATACCAACATTGTTGTTAATTAATTTTTAAATAAATGAGTATTTGTTATTCTGAAAGCTGAATCCAAGAAGAATGCCAACAATATAATTAACTAATCTACAGCTTTATTTTAATAAAAATACTACATAATATCATCTACTCTGCTCTACTCTCTTCTACATTTCCAAGTTTCTGTCTTTTGTATAACTCTAATAATTCTTCAGTAGCAGAAGTCTCATTAATAAACGGCCCTGTTAGTTCTGGACATGGAAATTCTACTTTATTCAATTGTGGATCTCTGGAAATTAATATTTTTATGTATTTTTCAATTTTTTTTAAGAGATATTTGGTAAACCTGAAGGTATATGGTGTCCATGGACCTTGAACTGAGGGAAAATCAGTATGAATTAGTTTTCGTAATCTAATTCCAGTTCTGTCTGAGCTTTGTGACTTTAATAACTTTAACCATTTCAGTATTTCGTCTTCTGTAAAGTTTCTAGCATTCACCCACTGTGTGTCACCGTTAACTGTAAAAAGAATGCATTAAGTCGATATTTATAAAACTATTCTATGTCGTATTTTGCTTACGATATTCTGCTTTAATAATCGGTGTGCGATGCCTTCTTGGCTTCACATACACAGCAACCTCTGGACTTTCCTTAACAAAATCCATTAATTTGGTTTCTATAAATTCTCTTGAATCAAAGAAACATACAGTATCAAATTATGGGATTTCAGATTAAATAATATTATATTACCTCATACCCCTACTCGAACCATTGTTTTTGCAAAATTTAAGAACAACTCTCTGTAGCTGACAAACGTATCTTCCGACACCATTTTGGCCAGGCGTTGTTATAAAGGCTGGTTTTAAAAATAAATGGCTATTGGACATTATAAATTATATTAAAAATCACTAATATAAACTTTGATATAAATAAAATGATACATTAAATTTTAGGTTAAGATTCTACGTCAACGCCACAGATTATTTATTATATAAATTAGAGCTGTCCAGTAAATATCAGAAAAGGATATTTTATCGATTCAGGATATAAGATGGGCAGAAATTTCAAAAAACGTAGCCTTCAAGTAAAAAGAACAAAGAACGTAGCATACAACATGACAAATAAAGGTTTTATCATTTTATAACTAGCTTATACCCTCGATTAACTAAAATAAACGTTTTTTAAAAGAACAGTTTTGGATTTTTTCTCTCTACCTCTATATCTCTGCAATCAACTTCAAAACTACAGTACACCCATCTACTGGTAAAAACCTGAACCAAGTTTTATTGACATTTGTTATTGTTATAAATTTAATGATTTCTAACTTTGATTTCTAAATTGTAAAATTTAAACAAAAATGCCGGTAGAAACTTCTTTATCCAGTATTTTAACTACACGGTAATTTACTCACTATATTAAAGGTACTAACTTTATGATAATTTTTAAATTCTTAGGTTTGATTTTGGAGTTCCCCTGGAAGATATTTTTCCACCAGGTGATGTTCATTCCAGGCTTAAAGTAAAACATAAAAAACATTTTTAAATTATTATGCCATTATTTCTGCTTTATATTTTAGTTTCTTTTTGTGATAGCTTACAATGAGTACAGAGATTGTAGTTCAGATATTGAAGATGTCCTAAAGTAAAAAACAGAGCTGTATTTTTTATTATTGGTGCTAAATTTTCAATATTACAGATATTCTCAAGGTTCTCTTCAAACGCGTTTTGATCTGAAGGACAAGTTAATTCTGGATATTGATTACCGGAATAGTATCCAGGGCTATCCTACAGGAAGTTATTTCTGGTTGTTAAGACATTTTTTGGGTCTATTACCTTTACCTTTATTACCCACCTATACCAATGGATGTTGGTTTGATTGGGTTGATATTGGTGAAGAATGCAGATATGTCCTAAAATATTTCAGGGGTGGTAGTAGTTCAGGAAGGCATAGACTAGACCAGGAAATTGCTGAGTACTGATATATAACATTTTTGATATTTTTAAATAAAACAAAATATTTTTAGTTCAATGAATATGCTGCCCTGGCAGAATCTTATTTTATTAGATCTTTTAGTAAAATTTATTAGAAAAATTTGCTGCCCATATCATCCAAACAATATTAATAAAGAATCCTTAATTACTCTTGGTAAATTCTTTTGTGGATCTGTTTTATTAAGACCCTATACACCTGGAAACTATACAAAAGTAAGAACCAAAAGTTTTACCTATTTTTTTTTACTTTAAAACAAATTTTTCAGAATGATACTCTACTGTCTTTGTTTTTGTACATCATATTGAGATGGAAAAACTTGTATAATGGCGCTGACATAGCCAAGGATGATAATAATAATCCAAACAGTTTCTCAAATTTTAATATAACATCTATTTACCAAAGAATGCCCATTATTGCCAGTCTTATAAAAAGTTCACTAAAAGAGGCGGCTTGCCAAACGGAAACAAGTCTCTCAAGTCACACCTATTGCGACGTTTTGAACTCGGACAGCGCAAATCTTCAGGGAAGCAAAGATTTTGTGAAGAAATCAGACCAGAATCTTTACAAGCTCACCTTCATTGAAGAAGAACCTGAAGAAGTGCTAGAAAATGAAGATGAGAATGATTGTTATCAAACTGCTATTGATTTTACTTTGAAAAGTGGGACTGAAGAGCGGGATGTTAAAGACTGGAGTGAAGTTCTTCAGGAAACTCTGGATACGGTCAGGAAAGTGGAGGAAGGATATATTTATGATGATTATGAGACATTCAACAAGGAGAAGTATAATCAAGTTGGAGAAACCAGTATTGGTATGTGTTAATCACGGTTTTATTTTGCACTAAAAAATTTGATTTTTTATTGTATTTTATTCAGTAATAGCCTAATTTTGTGAGACATTACGATATTCAATTTACTATCATCTTGAAGCAATTGACATACATTCTAATATTTCATGAAATAAGAATGTAAAGTATATACCGGGTGCGTCTCAAAAGTGGCTCGTCCCCCTATAACTTTTTTATTTTTTCAGATAAAAAACGAGATTTGGTATGTTAGTATATGACATAAATTAGGATTGATTGACGTATTCAATTGTTTTTGGTCACTTCCTGTTTCACCGGAAATGACTACAACTTTTGAATTTTAAATGGCACACTCGGCATTTTTTTACTTTATTTGATAGAAAATGACACTCTGAATAGAATGACATATTAAATGTCAACTTTTCCCGTCAATAAACATTCGACAAATTTGCACAAGTAGCCAATGTGATGAGAGGGCGGAGTGTGTTCGCGGTGACCAACAAACAAAATATCAAGAAAACCAACAAACAAAATATCAACAAAAATAACATTGATTTATTAAATAATGTATATTATATTAATTTCTTTAAAATATATTAGAACACTTAAAGAAAGATAATTTATAAACATTGCAATTTCCTGTTAAATTGCAATGATTAGCTTAAAGCACATTATTTGGGGTATTTTCGGTAAATAGCTTTTCCGGAAAACGGAGCCATCTTGTATGTATGCATTTGTATATGTGTGTGTTTATTTAAATACTATAGTGAAAGCAACGATTTTAAATAGGTAAACTTTGTAATATATCTTATTAACAATACAATGTAAAAAGTTTTATAAAAATTCGTTAACAGTAAATGAATTCCGACGTTTGTATCTCATAAGGGCTTAAAGCACCACTGTTCGGTTTTTATATGATTCAAAATAAAAAATATATATATTGTAAAATTAGTAATTTTTTAATGGCCATAATGCGTTCTTTCAAAATCATCGAACAACTAAATCATTTCCATAGTTCCAGTGACGTACCGTGACTTTGAATTTTGAGACCAAAAACTGACAAATAATTTGTCAAAAAAATCATATTACAGCTATATGTTTTATTTTGCATAAAAGTGTTAACTAATAAGTTAGAATAATTATATTTCTTCCCTAACTAAGTGGTTTTATCGCTAAATTTATCTAAAGCTAAGTACAACACAAATCTTAAATACGTGGACTATTATAACAACAAATACATCGTAAAATACTATTTTTGTAGCATTCTGAACGAGGGTTCAAGTTAAACTTTTTAGAAAATAATTTAAAGGAAAAATGAACCTGCTCGCAGATACTTGTTCCGAGTAAATCCTAATATACTTGTTCCGAGTAAATCCCTAATGATTTGCTTTTATAAACTCTGGCACATGATGCAGAATTGCATGAATCTTTGGAGTTATCTTAATACCTAAGTTGAGTATTTCCAATCTAAATTGTTCGAGGTCATGTTCAAAATGTTTGTTTAGTGCTTGACCAAAACAACTCGAAACTACTTGATTGAATGCAGAAAACATTGCAATATATTTATTCCTAAAAAAAAGATGTTTAGGTTTTTGCTTCTAAAAACTTTGAATAGGATTCTTTACCGGGCGATATCGTCTTCAAAATATCCACTTTCTTTAAAAGTTGTCTGGCGTTATTTCCGTTACATTTTCCATAATGATCTAGATTCAATCCCGCTTTTTTATCCGTTCTGTTGCAACATTGGTATTCTCCAATTCAAGACAATCAAATAGTTTTTGAACCACACCTAACAAAAGGTGAAGCTCAGGAGGGGGAATATACTTTAAGACAGGTGTTTCTTCGTCGCCAATGATTAAAGGTATGTTTATACAGTTTTCTAAAAAATAATTGCCCTTTTTTATATGGTTCATTGAACAACAGTTTAAAAAAAATAAAATATTTCAAACAAAAACGCTTACTAAAATTACTTTTGTTATATTTCCTCCAGATTGTTGCCATAAATTTGTATTTTCTGTAATACTTTTTATAGTTCTGAATGATCCTTTAATTTCCATTTCCTTTATACATTTACATCACACCATGGGCAAGTGTGAGTGGATGAGTTTGACTGAAGACCAAGGAGAATCATAATAAGCTTAAAGTCAGCGGCAAAAGTATAGGAACAAATTCCACATATGGACTGCAGATCTAACGTCTCAAAGAGGATTTTAATGTTAGCATAAGATTCAGACAACTTTGGTTCTAAGCCAATTATGAATAGTTTATTAATTCCAGCACTTTTATATTTCTTGAAATATTCGGGATCATTTTCAGGGAGCACATTCAGACAAACTTTAAGTGATCCACCACCACTATCAATGCCAATTTTTAGATGAAAATCTTCAGGTAATTCTCTAATTTCCAAAATATATGATAGAAGACCAGATAAATATGAGCAGTATACAAAAATTAATATTAACTGAATTAACATTTTTCCTTTAAATTATTTTCTAAAATGTTTAACTTGAATTCTAGTTCAGAATGCTACCAAAATAGTCTTTTACGATGTATTTGTGGTTATAACAGTCCACGTATTTAAGATTTGTGTTGTACTTAGCTTTAGTTAAATTTAGCGATAAAATCACTTAGTTAGGGAAGAATTATAATTATTCTAACTTATTAGTTAATATTTTTATGCAAAATAAAACATATAGCTGTAATATGATTTTTTGACAAATTATTGTTTCAGTTTTTGGTCTCAAAATTCAAAGTCACGGTACGCCACTGGATCTATGGAAATGATTTAGTTGTTCGATGATTTTGAAAGAACGCATTATGGCCATTAAAAAATTACTAATTTTACAATTTATATATTTTTTATTTTGAATCATATAAAAACCGAACAGTGGCACTCCACTATAGGGGTTGAGACGCACGCGGTATACATTCTTTGACACACTTTTTTTTTCTCCTAGGTACAGTTCTAAATAAAATCTCAAAACAGGGGTGGACTTATATATCATCAAAATCAACTCCCCTAAAAAAATCAAGCACACCTAAAACCACCAAGCCCGAAGAAGAGGACAGTTACTTGAAATTTCCTGATCCTTGTGACGGTATCGACTTTGAATCGTCCACTAAGTGTACGACAAAACATGTCTATCTATCGAAATCAACTCCCATAAAAAAATCGAGCACACCTAAAAACAAACCCGGACAAGAACTCAGTTACGCCAAATTTCCCGACCCTTGTGACAATATCCAATTAGAATCCTCTACCAAAACTGTCCCTCCAGCTAAATCAGATAGCAGAGTGTCCGAAAAGCTGTTCCAGGACAGTCCAGCGACGTTCGTAGAGGACAATAGCAATCAGAATTTAGAAAATCGAGGAGGCACAAGCAAAAGATCTCGATATGTTCTAAAGAGGATGAGGTTGAGTTTGGAGTTTCTTAGAACTCTGTCGCCCAAGAGAAGCGTTTTTAATAAAGTCAAATATCAGAAAATCTGATTCTGATACAGAATAGATCAAATGATTTTGTTTCTATACAGGGTGGTTCGAACTGTATTCCGGAAACTTCGGCAGCATATTCTGCAGATAAAAATAAGCTAAAAAGTTCGTATAAATTTATGTCATAAAATGCTTAGTTTCGGAGATATAGGGTGTAGAAATTTCATTTTTATTTCGATTTTTTCCAAATAATTTCTGAAGTAACGTCAATAATTGTATAGAAATCGGTGTCTGGGAATTTCTAACATTGAGAGATTTGATTTTGGTATCAATATGAGTTATTCTACTTATTGAGGACGCCACCTACATATTTTTAACTGGTTTGAAGAGTAATTTAACTTTTCGTCCGTACCTGTATAAAACTACTGAGTAAAAAATATATATTTACGACGTTTTCTACGTAAAAAAGGTCTCCTGGAAAAAATCGCTACGAGCAACCATTCTCAAGATATGTAGAATGAAAATAGTCAGTACATATCATTATTGACAGAAAATAAACATGTTAAGTAAATAGTTATTTGACTGAAATAATAAATTTGGGAACTTTTAATTTCTTTAAATTAATCATAAAACAGATGATAAAACAGTTTCTGTTGAACTTTTGACAAAAAGACATTTCAAATTTATGTGTGTGTGTGTGTGATTTCACTCTAATAACTATTTAGTCAAATAAAACATCATGTTTAATTTATGTCAATGATGACAGGTATTGATAATTTAGATTCCAAATATCTCGAGAACCATTACACGTAGCGATTTTTACCAAAAGACCTTTTTACGTAAAAAACATCGTAAATGTATATATTTTTACTCAGTAGTTTTATACAGGTAGGGACGAGAAGTTATTACTTTTCAAACCAATAAATAATATTTAGGTGACGCCCTCTACAAGTAGGAGCCATATTGGTATCAAAATGAAATTGCTCATGTTAAAAAACTCCCAGATACCAATTTCCATCCAAATATTCATGTTACTTCAGAAATTATTTGGAACAAATCGAAATAAAAATTAAACTTCTTCACTCTGTATCTTAGAAAGTAAGCATTGTAGGAGATAACATTTATACGCACTTTTTTACTTATTTTTATCTGTAGAATAAGCTGCCGAAGTTTCCGGAATACTGTTCGGACCACCCTGTAGAGTTTTAAGTTTTTGTAAACTTTACCTATAGCTCAAAAATAATCTCTGCCTTTGAAATATTTTGAGCACTCTTATTTTTTTTGAGCTTTATTTTGATCTAGAAGTTGACAAAATGATTTTGAAGAATTATGAAAGGATATTTTGACGTTTTTTCTTAGTTTAATTTGTATAGTTTTGTTGTGTTGTATTTTTATTTTTTTGAATAAAGTTTATTTTTCAGTATATGTGTTTTCGTAATTTATTCATAAAGAAAACCAACGAAATTGAAATTATTTAATCAAGCACACCAGTAGCGAAGCTTTCATTGATGCGGATGATGCGTCGCATATCCCTTCAAAATATTGTAATACTATAATAAAAAAGTCACTGAGATCTATAATAAATTAAAATTCACAGTAAATTTATTCAAATAATTAAATTTCATTTCAATTATTTAATGCGTGTATTGGTCGAGCTTTATACACTCACCGGCAAAAAAAACTGGCTACTAAAAACTAGTCCCAATTTCAGAGTTGGATTTCTCGCGAACCACTCATTAGATTTTGATAATTTTTTTTATATTGTAAATTAATTCCTTCTTAATGGATGCTACGTCAGAAATTTTTATTCCGAATTTATTTTGAGCATATACAGGGCACAACAGTAAGACGAAGTTTTTTGCTCGAACTTTGTGACACCCTGTAGGGTGCAGCAGCTGTAGTAACTATTGCTAAATTAAATCACATTGTAGCCTCATCTTTTGTGAGCATTTCGTTTTTTTAATCACGATATTATCTCTGTTTCTATTGGAGATACGCTGCTTTAAAACGAACGTCTCGGAAAAATGCTTTTCGCAAATATGCATACTAGAAGAATTGATCTTTCAGAAGAATTGAAGAGATACATTCATAACTGTATTTTTACCTAAATTTACTTTTTTTAAACTGGTTTGCTAGCCAGGTCAGCAAGTTCTTTTTATAATTGGTATAAGATTTTTTCTTATACCGGGTGCGGCTCAAAAACTGCTCACTGCTATATCTTTTTTATTTTTTTTCAGATAAAAGAACGAGATTTGGTAAGTTAGTATATGACATAAATTAGGATTGATTGACGTAGGTATTCAATTGTTTTGGGTCACTTCCTGTTTCGCCGGAAATGACTCGGATTGCACTCTGAATAGAATGACATACCACATGTCATCTTTTGACATTCTCGCATATTTTATGATTTATTTGAAATTGTAACATGCGGTTCATAATGACAATTTGACTCCAAATACCAAGTGTTGTACCAAATAATTCGTAAAAAAATGATTTTTCCGAATATATGCTAATGAGCCATCCTGGTTCCATTTGAAAAAAAAAGATATATGATTAAAATACGATTTGGGTATCTTTTAACAGGCCAGGAGAAGACACGAGAAACATTAGACGATCAAATCTATTTTTCCAAGGTCCTTTGATTAAAAATTAAAAACGTGATAAAAAGTGTTTTTAACATACCCATGGCAGTCTAGATTGAAATTTAAAATAATAAGATTTGTTTTTAAGCGAAAATGTCAAAAGTTGACATATTATAGAGTGTCATCTTCTATCGAATAAAATAAAAATATACCGAGAGAACATACGAAATTTCGTTTTTTTTTAACTGAAAAAAATATAGGGGTGAGCCACTTTTGAGACGCACCCGGTATTATTTCATTTCAGATCATACTTAATTTATTTAGAGTGTGGTAATTTACTTTAATTACCTAATTTAAGAAAAATATATTTTGGTAATTGCTTCATCATTACAACATATATCTGTTCATATAAGGTGTTTCTTTTTATTATTATGTAAAAAAAATATCCACTGATATATAAAACAAGTCTCTTTGGTAACTCATTGCTCTAGGCCAGGCGAGATTTTACACTTGGGTATATTCTTGCGTTTTTTTAACATTAGTCCGTGCGCTTGTGTAGATTTAATAATAATAAAGGTGTGTGAAAGTAAAAATCGTGGTCCTGTAATGTCAGTTGTCTGAAATTAAAGTTGAAAATATTTTTAGTAAAAAACACTAATTTACCACAATACACTAAAACACGTACTTTTTCATTGGACGCGCGTTTCGCTAACCATTAGCTAACCATTAGCATCATTAGCAGATGATTAAAATTGTTTTAATCATCTGATGACCTAGGCATTCTTTGACCAACTTCGAATTGATTGTTACTGAATTGATCGATTTTAAGTCTGTTTGACTATCAGATAAGATGGCTGTTTCTTGTTTCCGGCAGTTCCTATCTAAGATAAGTTGTACGCATCTTTCGATAGCGTAGATTTCTGCCTGTAGGATGCTGGCCTGTATTACAGGCAATTAGATGCATATGAAAGTGACAAAATAAACACGCGACGATTAATTCAACACACAAGAAGAGAATATTAGTGGGAACGTGGCTTTTGCTCTTGATCTAAAGTTGGTCATCTGCAGACGATTTTGTATTACGTATGCGTTACCATTCTTGACATCGATTTCATTCAACCGGTAACATTTAAAGTTTAGTAAACATTTGGTTTTTTTGCTGACAACATCTCTGTATATTAATTTTCATTTCATTACAAGGTAAGTATATTTGTTTATATGTACTAGGGGTTGCACCAACAAAAAATTTTTTTTTCTTTTTACTTACCCTGAAAATATCGTTTAGGAAAAAAAATTCTTGTAGTGTTTGAGCTTTTAATATTAATATTAAGAGGTGTCCCATCGAGATTTTTTATTTCCCATTTAAATAACACGGGGAAACAATTTTTTTTCTTTGGAATTTTATTGCGTCCTAACAAATCAGCATTTGGTAAAAATCAATACATATTCTTGTAGAAAATTGGACGGTCTTCAAAAAACGTCTGATATAAATGTTCATTTAATCGACTCGTTTGAAAGTTATTGAAGGTTAAAATTCAACTTCAAATCGTATATGATAACTTCCACAACTTTTTATATTTTATCACGAAATATTTGCTCATAAAAATAAACTGTCATATTATGGTATCACAAAATAATGGCTCAACCACCTAAAATATTATATTTTGTGTTTTTGAGTCATTTGCTGAGAAAACATAAAAAAATGTAGAAGGTATCATATACGATTTGAAGTTGAAGTTTAACCTTCAATAACTTTCAAATGAGTCGATTAAATGAAAATTTATCTCAGACCTTTTTTGAAGACCGTTCAATTTTCTACAAGAATATGTATTGATTTTTATCAAACGCTAATTTGTTAGAACGCAATAAAATTCCAAAGAAAAAAAATAGTTTCCCCGTGTTATTTAAATGGGAAATAGAAGATCATGATGAGGCACCTCTTAATATTAATATTACAAGCTCAAATTTTACCAGAATTTTTCTTCATCATCCTGAACGATATTTTCACGGTAACTAAAATAAAAAAATATATTTATTTTTTTTTTGGTGTGCTCTAATATGTACCTATTGTTTTCAATGGTTTCTAGTAAGGAACCCATAATAACGGATCGTTAACTAAATCGGCCTTAATGGTATTAGCACAGAACAGATACAAATCTGTTCTGTGGTATTAATAAATTCAAAAACACTTTTTATAGCAGATCGAACTAAAAGGGGATAAACAAATTATATTTCCTGTTAAAAAAAAACTTTTGAAGATTTCTTTTGCTGATTTTTTTTTTAAAAATTTGTGATGATTTCTGTTATAAAGATTAAGTGATAAACACTAAAAAAAATCTGATGAATGGCAAATAAATTGTGTATTTGGTTAATATTTATTAACAAAGTAACGTTTATCGTACCTACTAAATTTTAATGGTTAAAAAAATTATGGTTATTTTTAATAATTTTCAGTTTTTTAATAATTTTAACTTTTCAGAAATATATTTTATCTTTGTAGACATTTAGAACTGTGCCAAGATAGAATATTAAACTTTTATTAAAAACGCTCTAAGATACATATTTTACATAATTTCTTAGATGTTTGTTTCGGCATATGTTTTTGGAATTCTCATCACTCTGTTTCTGTTACTCATGAGTTATTTTTGGAACAAGAGAAGAATGTACAGACTGTCCCTAAAGCTGCCAGGACCAATATCTTTACCTGTCATAGGAAACGGATTACAGTTGTTGTGCTCTCCTGAAGGTAAGATTGACTAAGAATATAATTTTTTTGTTGTTCTTAAATGTCATATTATACAGGGTGCCAATTTGACCATTAGTAATTCTTTCTTATTTATTAGTAATCTAGTGTAAAGGTTATTTTCGATTGGCACTCTTCAAATTATTATACCTATACTTTTTTTCGTTTTCTTTAAAATAGATATGTACGACCACTCTTTGGGTATTTTTCGAAGATACCCAAGTCCAATGAGTTTTTGGTTTGGTCCAAAATTTTCGATAATTTTTAAAGATGCTACACAAGTGGAGGTATGTTAAAATAATTTAATAGTCTTAAATTCTGTCACATTTTTATCTTAATTTAAGTTAATTTTTAACTAATAAAATTAAAATAAAAATAAAATTAATGAATTATATATTTTACCTAATTTATTATTAAATATTATTACTATTAGTCCAACCTACAGCAATTTCAAATAAAAAAATAATGGTATTTGAGATAATTATTACAAAAAACCTAATTTTAAAAAGTTTTAACATCTTGTAATTCTAAAACTATGCATTTCCATACCCATGTTTGTAGGAACTTTTTTTCATATTTTTTGATGAGGAATCCATAACTACATATTTAAAACTTTCGCAAGTTAATGTTATTCAATTTTTTTAAAGGTCGCTATTAGACTTGGTCAGGAAAATTAATAAAATTGCATTTATCTCATCAAGGAGGCCGAAATCGACAAAATATGAAGAGACAACTTTTAGTCGAAATTAAACTCCTTACACAAGAGGAAAAAAAGTCAGTGGCGTACATGCTTTTTTTTTTAGAAAAATATTCCAGTGGTAACCCATATGCACGACCCTGGTGAATATGTCGACACTTTTTTAGCTTTAAAATATGTCGCATTTATAGTAACTTTTACTCTCAAAATTTCATTCGAATCACTAAAAGTACTTGGAAGAAAATTATAATAAATCGAAAAAATATTTTAAACTCTAACACCCTGTAGCTAGGAAACAAAGCAGAATCGGACCTATGCTGATATGAAAAATTAATTTTATTTTACGTCAGGAATCTCCTCACGAGAGATGGCACATGTTTTTTGAAACACCCTGTATATTACTTTGTTGTTTTTAGAAAATTTTTACTTCTACAAACTTATCCTACAAAGACGATGTTTACAAGTTTATAGAAGTCTTCGAAGGACAGTCCCTTATTGCTGGTTCAGGTAGAAGTTTAAAAATAATTTATACCAACTAAATTTCTAAACTATTTCAAATTTTTTTAGGCCCTAAATGGAAAAAGGACAGAAAACTTCTGTCCTTTTTGTTCACGAAGAAAAACATAATGAAATGCTTTGATGATGTAGTGAAACACAGCAAAACATTAACAAATTTTTTAGAGCATAAAGTCGATAAGGCTGCTTTTAACGTTGAACACTACATACACCGGGCTGTCACAGATTTTATCAATGGTGTGTGTTGAAAGTAAACACGAAATATATTGGTTTTACTCATTACATATTTATTTATATTTCTAGAGTCATATTTGGGAATTAAAATCAATTCTCAAGCTGGAGAGTTGGATGATTTTCTGGATAAAGTGCAAAGGTATGGTTTTAGAGTTCCGTTTTTCTTACCTGAATTGGAGCTAGAAATGGCTCAAAACGAAATAAGTAAATTACCAACAGATATTCAGGCTGAAGCGACAAACGCCATATCCAAACTACTTCGATTTAAATCCCGAATAACTTATGAAAAGGAATGCAAAAATTTTCAAAAATGGAAGCAATTAAAAAACGTGCGAGAAGAAATAAAGTTTTTAACCTATCCTCGCTGTTAAAGTATCGTTTAATCTACCCTTGCGGTTAAAGTACTATTTTATCTACTATTTTTCATAGATATAAGCCAATTTTAACAGTTGCTATGGAAAAAAAGATAAAAATACAGGGTGGCGCACTTCAATCGCCTCCGTTGATTAGACGAAAATGGAAAGATCTAGAAACAAAATATTTTATTGGTATATGTGGGAAGGCAATATGCATAATTTAAAATTAGTTTGAAATGTACAAGGTGTGTCAGAATTAAGATCCCCACCAAAGTTATACATTTTCTTATGGAACACCCAGTATTTTATTTCATTTTTGGATCTTTGAACACCAAATAAAGCATTTATTATAAGGATTAAATATGTTTATAAGCTTTGATTTTTGAGATATTTAAATATATTTAAATATGCATGCTGTAATAAAAAAGATTGTTAACACCCTGTACATTGCTTTTCAGAATTAATTCTTGTGCTAATTTTTAAGCCAGAGAAATAAACTTTATTGAAAAACTTGATTGCTTCGTTTAATGTATACAGGGGTATCAAAAATTGTTGGTCTTTTTGAAATATTTATTTTACATACAACTTTGTTATTTCCAAAACAACACAGTATTTTTTAAAACAAATCGAAACAGATTCAAATGCTCTTTCAAACTATATTAGGGTTTCCTTCCTATAGCTCTCTAGCTCAGATTTGGAATAAATAGCAATTTTTCAATGAAATGGCAACCAAGAGGGCTAGTGTCGTCATGGCAAGTTACCAGTGACAGAAGCTATTTTCAAAATCGAAATTAGTTTATGGAGTTCATTTAAATTTATAGCAGTTTTCTTTTTTATTTAATTTACCTACAATAGCTCTGCGAAATAGGCCAACTAGTTTTTCAAAGGAACGCTTATCAGGAAGATTCCTATTTGAATATCTTTGAGCATAAGCCCTTGAGGCCAAGAAGCAATTTTCCCCCAAATAAAATCGTCAGACCGCTAGAAACTGCTTTATTTTTCTTCATAAAATAATGAACACTTACTTACTAAACTATTGTAGGTAAATTTAAATAAACTGTTATAGATCTAAATAATAAGGTCCATAAACTAACGTCGATTTTGAAAATAGTTACTAACTGTCACTAGAAAATTGCCATGGCGACACTAGCCATTTTGATTGCCATTTTATTGAAAAATTGCTTTTTATTCAAAATCTAAGCTAGATAGGTAGGTATAGGAAACCCTAATATAGTTTGAAAGAGCATTTGAATCTGCTTTAATTTATTTAAAAAAAATACAGGGTGTTGTATTACATACAGATATACAGTATGTCCCCGGATTGTCTTCACAAGAGGAAAAACTTTTTTATTATAAACAATTTAAGAAAAATGCATTCTTCATAAAACTTTTGAAGCTTATTCTAAAATGGTTAATCCCATTTATACTTTTTCCAATTGACATACCGTTTTAGAGAAAATTAAAAAAAAATATCCTAAAAAAGTCCTAAAAACCAAAGACGTTTCTATGGCAATATAATTTCGAGTTCACTCTTTGATAGATGTTTATTATTAATTTTTTGATTAACATATTTGATAGTCATATTTTTGCTGTTGTTAAATTATCACATTTTCCGATTACTATTATCACCCTTTCTGTAGCATTGAAATAAATAAATTTTGTGCTTCTTTAGCATTTTAAAATAGCAAAAAATATGAAAATGATATAAAATTATGATAAAAAATATAAGGAAATAAGGCATTTTAAATGGCATTTTTAGAATTTACAAGTTGATATATAAAAGAATTGTGAAACCTTGGCTCCAGGTTGAGTTTTTCTACAAACTGACGCCAATATACAAGGAACAAGAAATTTGCAAAGAAGTTATACACGGCTTTTTTTATAAGGTAATATATCTATTAATATTTATAAGATGAGAAATGAAAATTCCTGTACCAAAAATGTTTCTAATTTGTTCAGATTTTATAGTTTATACTTATGCACTATGAAATAATTAATGGCATTTTTTGAATGCTAACTTTGATATACTTTTTTTTTGATGATTGAAAATCTAGGTTTTAAATGATGCAAAAGAAGATTACGAAAAAAGTCAATCGAAAGAGGATGAAAACAAAACTATTCTGGAACAAATCATCGAGATCAGAAAAAACGTTCCAGATTTTGCCACAGATGAGGAGATGGTCCATCACATGTTGACACTATACGCAGCTGTAAGTAATAACCTTGTCTATATAAGGGTAATAATATTTCGGTTTAGAAAGTCTTGCGACGTTGTCCGATGCCTGTTAATCCATTGCTCCTCACTTAGATTTCTGACATCAAGAATTCTTGGGTCTTCCACGCTTCCTTTGATTTTGAGGTATCCATTACATATCTTGTTTTGGAAGTCTGGTATCATCCATTCTCTGTATATATCCATCATAGCCTGTATAATATATATGCTTATAAATCAATAATTTAAGTTGTATTGGTTTTCAGAGTGAAGATACCATAAGCCAAGTGAGTTCTTACGTTTTGGTTATGCTTGGAATGTACCCTCACTATCAAGAAAGAGTAGTAAAAGAAATCGACGCTGTACTGGGAAAAGAAGATATAAGAGAAGACGATATATCAAGATTAGAATTTATGGAGATGGTCATAAAGGAAGTGATGAGACTTTTTCCTATAGCACCGTTCATTATGAGGAAGGCTGTTGCCGATACCGAAGTTGGTGAGTTCTTTTCAAATTATTTAGAAAAAAAATCATGATAAATGCTCAAAATTACCATCGGCAATAAATAAATATTTGTTTGATCATTTTTTTTTTGTTATTTTATGAATAAGGTTGTAATAGTTTGTCCAAAGATGGCAGTGACAGTTGTTGTCATAAGAGTAACAGCTTTTTACTTTCCAGTTTTTCAATGCCTCCTGGGTACACATTTTAAATAAGGTAGGTGACAATCTGCACCTTTGTCTGAGTCCTTCTAATGTCAGGAAGGATTTCGGAAGGAACTTCCCTTGTGTGATCATACTTTTTAGATTTTTGTAGAGGGTGGGTCAAATTCGACACTTTTAAATGGAAACACCCTTTTCTATAGGAGATAGACAAAAACTAATATCGGTGTCTGGAGCTCAGTTTTTGTCAAAAACATGATGGTGAAAACCGTATATCGATATCTGTTACCGTTTCGGAGTTACGAGGTGATTTTCAAAAATATGCATTTTTAACAAATCGCTGTAACTTTTTTGCCATGGAGAATTTTGTATTTTTATGAAAACATTTCCAAGGCACCTTTTTACGTAGAATTTAATGGTTTAAGTATAATTTTTTTAAAATTAATAATTTAAGAATTATCAACAGAAAATTTGATTTTTTATACGGGACACCCTGTATATTTTTAATTTATTGAAAAGAATTTAAAAATACCTTTCCAAAAATATAATGTACTTGATATTTTGCTCGATTCTTCTTCGAGATATAGAGTACCTATATAAAAATTCGTACCCTTTAAATAAGTAGGCTTTGCACCGGCTGTAATGCAAACAAATTCTAGCTGTGAGCATGAATTAAAATAAAAATAATATTTGCTATGAGAGATTTTATAAAAATTTAAAATATATTTAACCAACATCAACACATTTAAACTATATCTAATAACAATAAAAATAAATAGCAAACCAAGACATGAGATTTTGCTACAGGTGTAAAGACCGTCTTTTGTTATGGACAGACGGGGCAGTTTTTGAACATTTCTCGCGGAATTCATTATCTCAGTGGGGGTGAAAGGTACCCTCTCATAACTGCTAAGTATTTCTAATTCTTGTCTAGATTATACGGAAGAATAAGGAACCTTTATTCTTCCGCAAATATATCCATAAGATTAGATCCATGGGAACTTAATCAGACGGCCTCGACGGCCAACGGCTGGGATCTTGGTTAGCTATTCAATTATTCTTAAAATTGGCTACAAAAATTTGCTGATAACTTCAGCATTCAGGGCGTCGGCGTCGCGTCGTCTTGCTGGAAAAAATATGTTTTCGAGTTCCATTCAGATAATTAAAAATATAGAGGGTGTCCCAAATAAAAAATCATTTTTTCTGTTGATAACTACTAAATTATTAATTTAAAAAAAATTATACCATTAAATTCTAACCATTAAATTCTACGTAAAAAGGTGCTTTGGGAATGTTTTCATAGGAATACAAAATTTTCCATAGCAAAAAAGTTGCAGCGATTTGTTAAAAATGCACATTTTTGAAAAACACCCTGTAACTCCGAAACGGTAACAAATATTGATGTGCGGTTTTCACCATCATGTTTTTGATGAAAATTGAGCTCCACACACCGACATTAGTTTTCGTCTATCTCCTATACAGGGTCCGGCAATAGTGCGTCGGGCATCTGTAGCTCCTAGAATAAAAAACTTGAGAATTTTGTTTAAGTGCAGACCTAAAGTATGTACCAGGATGTATTTCAGGAAAATATTTTAACTTCTATAGGGTGGCTCAAAAAAGTGTGAGTGGACCTGGATGATTTTTTTAAATGGAACACCCTGTATATTATTGCATTTTGGCTTCCTTTTCAGATCACTTTACATAACCCTAAGATATGAATAAATATATTTCGATAGTTTCAGAGATATTAAAAAATAAATCAAAAATATATATTTTCAGCCCTTCTTAAAAAATTATTAATAATACAAGAACTGTTCTGAAATCAAAACTATATTAGGTATATACATTAGATGGTCTGTTCTTACTTTGCTATAAATATGAAAATCGTAAATTATACAGGATGTTCAAAATTCTACGCCAAACTTACTAAAATATAAAATAATTTTTCTTCGTTTTTTAAATGGAACGCCCTGTATATTATTTTTTTGATAGAACAGTTCTTGTATTAATAATTTTTTAAGAAGGGCTGAAAAATATATATTTTTGATTTATTTTTTAATATCTCTGAAACTCTCGAAATATATTTATTCATATCTTAGGGTTATGTAAAGTGATCTGAAAGGAAGCCAAAAATGCAATAATATACAGGGTGTTACATTTAAAAAAAATCATCCAGGTCCACTCACACTTTTTTGAGCCACCCTATAGAAGTTAAAATATTTTCCTGAAATACATCCTGGTACATACTTTAGGTCTGCACTTAAACAAAATTCTCAAGTTTTTTATTCTAGGAGCTACAGATGCCCGACGCACTATTGCCGGACCCTGTAGAAAAGGGTGTTTCAGGTGATTTTTTTTTGGTCAAGTATCTCAAAAGAATTTATGTTTATTTCAGAGGGATACACTATTCCTAAAGGCGCTTCTGTCATGATAGCCATTAGCCTGATGCATAGAGATCCAGTCCATTGGGAAAAGCCAGACGAATTCTACCCGGAACATTTTTATCCAGAAGCAGTTCAAAAACGCCATCCTTATGCCTACGTGCCTTTCAGCGCAGGCTCTAGACAATGCATAGGTTTGAATTTTTTTTTTTAATTTTTTACAACTAATTTTTTTATTTTGTTACAAAGGTTTTGTTAGTTTACAATATTAAGAAAGGGCGAACTCGGTGAACTACAAATCGTTTATTTGTGATTTTTTTTACTGGCTATACAGGGTGTCCCAGAAATAAGTGCAGATATTTTAAGTGGTAATATATTTCGAGTTTTTTTGCGAATAAAAATTGTTGACATTTTCCGATAAATTTTAAAAAACTTTTTAGTGCCACTTGTTTATTTACCTGATATTTCTCTATGGTGTATCTAAACCTTGCAGTGTTGTCACCTCCTACGTTATCCATATTCATCATGTTTTTGTTTTCACTGTAATTTTCAATCTGTATATAAAAAAAACATAAAAAATAACTCTTAAAATTGCCGTATTATGAAGTAGTTTCATTAAAAAAAAACATTTTTTTAAATATTTTCCTTGTATTTACCCTTTCAATGAGAACCAAACTGGGTAAAATTATTCTTAAGTTTACGAAAATCATGATTATACCGCAAGATAACTTTATTTAGCACTAAATTTAATAAAATAATTCACCATATTATCATCATATTGAGATCAAATAAAAGAAAATACCAACAGGTTTATCGGAATTCACTATTCGGAACATCGACAAAATCAGACAAATAAACCGTATACAAACGACACACAGCAATGCATTCCAGGGATTTCAAATTTCACTAATTATAACATATACTTCTTTTCACTATCTGGCAACACAGGGCGTCTAAGAAGCTGAAAAACCTCGTGAAAAAAACCTTAATAGCCGGTTATCGCCAGCGGTTCCCAAAATCTTGCCATTATTTTTTTAAATTTTCAAAGTTAAATAACTCGATTATTTTTAATTTATTTTTAAAATGGACACCCTGTATAATTTTTTATTGATCTGGTTTATTATAAATATTATAGAGTCTTCATCATTTTTATTAAAATCAGTGAATATGTTGAAATCAAATTCTAAAATATTTAGTATAGTAGGTAGAAAATCTTTGTTTTTTTGTATTAGATACGTGAATTATTTTTGCTTTTTTATAACTTTCTTTCTTTTAACAGGTAAAATATACGCCTACATGGCCATGAAAATCGTGCTTGCCACCTTTTTGCAAAAGTTTAGCGTTGAGGCGGATGGTACTTTACAAGATAAAGCTCTAACTGCTGATATAAGTGTCAGATTCAAAGATGGGGTTTACCCTGTCAGAATAAAGAGAAGAACGTAATATACTGTGTGTTTTATTTACAACCAACATCCCTTAATATAGACACTAGCTGACCCGGCAAACGTTGTTGTGCCATATAAATTATTCCTATGATTAATCTCATCCCTACTTTGTAACTATTGATCAGTTATCGTTATATCGCTATTAAAAAATAGGGGTTGGTGGTATAAGGGTGGAAACTTAGGGTTGTATGTATTTTTAGTGCCACATAAAAAGATAAAAAAAAATTTACCTAAAAAAAATGGGGTGGACCACCTTTCTCACTTAGGAGTATAAAAATTAAATAACAACCTATTCTCAGACCTACTGAATATACAAATAACATTTCGGAGGTGTATTGTAACAAAAACTATTAAAAATAGGGGTTGATGGAAGAAGGGTGAAAATTTAGGGTTGCATGTATTTTTTAATGCCACGTTATAAAAAAATCAAAATAAAAAACATTGTCCACACAGTACAAAAATGGGGTGGACTACCCTTATCATTTAGGGATATAAAAAATAGATAGCAACCTATTTTCAGACCTACTGATATACATATAAAATTTCATTAAAATCGGTCAAGCCGTTTCGAAGATGTATGGCAACTAAAACTATTAAAAAATCAACCCCTATTAAAAAATGGGGGTGATGGTAGAAGGGTAAAAATTTAAGGTTGTATGTATTTTTAATACCACGTCATAAAAAAATAAAAGTAAAATTTTGTCCACAAAGTAAAAAAAAAACTTGGGGTGGACCACCCTTATCGCTTAGGGGTATAAAAAATAGATGACAACCTATTCTCAGACCTAGTGAATATACATATAAAATTTCATTAAAATCGGTTAAGCTGTTTTGGAGGAGTATGGTAACTGAAACTATTAAAAAAAACAAACCCGGATTTTTTGCTAAAATTTTGGGAACCACTGGATCTTTTCTGGATTTTCTTTCTTGTAAATTTAATCTAATACCTATGTTGCCATATTATCAAGAAATTATGTTTTTCAACTAAAAACTAAAAAATTTTTTTTTTCAAAAAATTTCGAATTTTCAAATTTTTTTTTCGCGTAAAAAACCTCATAGTTGTATTTCTGGGGTTGAACTATACTACCAGTTAAAATACTTGCACTTAATTCTGGGACACCCTGTATATTAGATTGCTAAACATTTAAACTAGATTTATGAAAATAGATAAAAAATTCATATTCTAGTTACAAAAGTGCTTCACATTTTAGAGAAAGAGGTGTGTGTGTGATTTGTAAACAAAATTTACATAAAAAAATATTTCATATTGAGACACAGGTCAATGAAATATGTTCTAAAAGGTTATAGTTGTGAAGAAACATGAAAAGCATTAGAATATAAAAATTTTCCTATTTCAAGAACAACTCTAGTTTTAATAAATATCTACATATATTTACAGGGTGTTTCACAAAATCTCTTTATTATCATATTTTAGGATATCAATCAATATAAGATTGTGAGGATACTGTGTCTTTTATTCCCTCATCGGAGGATATTCATTGAGAAAATCATTTATTTCTTATTATACAGGGTGGCGCACCTCATTTGCCTCGGTTGGCACATTTAAATTATTAAATAAAGTCCATAAAGTAATGTCGATGTTTGAAAATACCTACTAACTGTCACTAGCAAATTGCCATGGAGACACCAGCCATCTTGATTGCCATTTTATTGAAAAATCGCTTTTTATTCAAAATCTGATCCAGATAGGTATAGGAAACCCTAATCTAGTTTGAAAGAGCATTTAAATCTGCTTCGACTTATTCAAAAAAATACATAATGTTGTATTTGAAATAACGAACTTTTTATGTCAAATAAATATTTAAAATAGACCAGCAATTTTTGATACCCCTGTATACATTTAAGGAAGCAATAATTTTTTTTAGTAAAGTTTATTTCTCTGGCTTCAAAGTCGGCACAAAAATTAACTCTGAAAAGTAATGTACAGGGTTTTTACAAACTTTTCATTTACAACGTTTTATTATAGCATGCGTATTTAAACATATTTAAATATCTCAAAAACCAAGGCATTTAACAATATTAAACCCTTATAATAAATGTCTTATTTTATGTCCAAGAATCGAAAAATGAAATAAAATACCGGGTGTTCCATAAGAAAAAATATAACTTTGGTATGGATCTTAGTTCTGACACACCCTGTACATTTCAAAATAATTTTAAATTGTTTAAAACGATAATTTTAATGCACGTTGCTTCTCTACATGTACCCATAAAAAATGTTGTTTCTACATCTTTCCGTTTTCGTATAATCAACCGAGGTGAATGAGGTGCGCCACCCTGTATATATTATTCCGCGTAATGAAAAATCTGTGAATAATTTTCCTCTCAAAATTTCTCTACGCATTCTCTAGAGACCTTCAGTGAGTACGTAACATTTTCCACCTATATCAACCAGTCGTAATTTAGGCTGTTTACATAATAAACCTTTTAACCATAATAAGCCGTTCACTAGCATCAACATGAAGCAAGTTATAAGATTTTTTAAAAGATCTTTCACAATGCTGCAGACACTTAATTAATTCTCTCGAAGTTTTAATGAGATCGAAGATTTCTTTAAATTTTATCCTAAAGAAAATTACAATATTTTCGTGTTTCTTAACAACCAGTTCAATATCAGTCGCTTTTTAACAGTCGGTTTATAACGTTATTTCTTATTTTACTGAATTGGAAAGAGAAAAAAATAGTTTAGTGTTTTGTCGTTTTAGTAAATTTGTAGTTTAAACAATGATGTTATTAACGTATTTTATTAGTTTCATAATTACTATAGTTTTGGGGTTAAGTGCATATTTTTGGAGTAAAAGAAAAATGTACAGGCTGTCTTTAAAGTTACCTGGACCAGTATCATTACCTGTCATAGGAAACGGATTGGAATTCTGGTGCAAAGATGAAGGTAAAGTAATTTATTATACAGGGTGGCGCACCTCATTCGCCTCGGTTGATTATACGAAAACGGAAAGATGTAGAAACAAAATTTTTTATGGGTATATGTAGAGAGGCAATGTACATAATTTAAAATTATTTTGAAATGTACAAGGTGTGTCAGAACTAAGATCCATACCAAAGTTGTATTTTTTCTTATTGAACACCCGGTATTTAATTTCATATTTAGATCCTTGGACACAAAATAAAACTTTTATTATAAGGGTTAAATATGTTTACAAGCTTTGGTTTTTGAGATATTTAAAGATATTTAAATATTCATGCTATAATAAAAAGAATTGTCGACACCCTGTACATTGCTTTCAGAATTGATTCTTGTGCTGATTTTTAAGCCAAAAAAATAAACTTTACTGAAAAATTTGATTGCTTCGTTTAAAAACAGCATATCTCCAATACAAACAGAGATAATGTCGTGATTAAAAAAATAAAATGCTCACAAAAGATGAGGCTACAATGCGATTTGCAATAGCTACTACCGCTGCTGCACCCTACAGGGTGTTACAAAGTTTAGGCAAAACATTTCGTCTTATTGTTGTGCACTGTATATGCTCAAAATAAATTTGGAATAAAAATTGCTAACGTAGCATCCGTTAAGAAGGAATTAATTTACAATTTAAAGAAAAAAAATAATATAAAAAAGTGAATAAATAATATAATATATTGAATATAGAATAAATAATATCATATTTTGTGTCTTAATATATTTTTTTCCTTAACTTAGATATTTTTGAACGAGCTGTGAGCTGTATCAGAAAATATCCAAGCCCCTTAAGTTTTTGGTTTGGTCCAAAGTTCTCCATAGTATTTAAAGATGCTACCCAAGTGGAGGTAATAAGTATAAAAGTCTATTAAATTAATTTATTAAAAATAAGAGTATATTAAAACTGCAACCTTAATTAAGTTGACAAATGGAAAAAACAATTTCTTTTTAGAAAATTTTTATGTCGTCCAATTTTTCTTACAAAGATGACATTTACAACTTTATGAAAGAGTTTGATGGGGAGGCTCTAATTACAGGATCTGGTAAGTATAAATTTCCATAAAATCTGTTGTTTATACAGGGTGATTTGCGGTCAAAGTACGTTTCATGTTTATGGAGAACTGGTGATTTTTGTATAAAGGTACCTGCCCCATCTGTCTAAATTATTTTCCTCATTACAGTGTTGCCTCTTTATACTAAAAGTGTTAGGACCTTTGTTACTTTACATAGGACACCCGGTGTATTATTACATTTTTCAAAACTACTTTCATATTATCTCATAATTTTTCTATTATACTAACCTATACCTATCTTTAAAATAGTTTTCGAGATAAAAAATAAAAATTGACAAAAACACGATCTTGACTAAAAAGGTACTAAAAACTTTTAGGTACTAAATGGAAAAGAGATAGAAAACTAATGTCCTTTATGTTTAATAAGAAAAACACAATGAAGTATTTTGATAATGTTTTTAAACATTGCAAATTACTGATGCAAATACTAGAAAAGGAAGTGGATCAGCCTAGTTTCAATGTACAACAATACATTAATCGTGCCGCTACTGATTTTGTTAATGGTATGTAGTAAAAATTCCGTATATAATTAATGGTACAAAATTACTTAAATTTAATTGCTTTTAGAGTCATTTTTGGGTGTGAAGTTTCATGCACAAACTGGAGAATTGGATGATTTTTTGGACAAAATTGCAAGGTACATAATATAGACCACTACCTTGCAAATATACCGGGTGCGTCTCAAAAGTGGCTCACTCCTATAACATTTTTATTTTTTCAGATAAAGAAACGAAATTTGGTATGTTAGTATATGACATAAATTAGGATTGATTGACGTATTCAATTGTTTTTGGTCACTTCCTGTTTCACCGGAAATGACTACAACTTTTGATTTTCAAATGGCTCCTTCGGTACATTTTTACTATATTCGATAGAAAATGACACTCTGAATAGAATGACATATCATGTGTCAACTTTTGTGCCACGGATGTGTTAAAAACACTAATTTTAAATCAAGGAGACTTGGAAATATAGATTTGATCGTCTAATGTTTTTCGTATCTTGTCGTGGCCAGCTAAAAGATGCCTAAATCGTATTTTTAATCATATCTATTTTTTTTCAAATGGAACAAGGGTGACTCATTAGCATATTTGGAAAAATCATTTTTTACGAATAATTTGGTACCACACACTTGGTATTTTGAGTCAAATTATCGTTATGAACCGCATGTTATAATTTCAAATAAACTATATTCAAAAATGTCAGAAGTTGACATATTATATGTCGTTCTTTATTTAAAGTTTCTTTTTTAAAGTGTTATTTTCTATCGAATAAAGTAAAAAAATACCGAAAGTGTCATTTAAAAATCAAAAGTGGTAGTCAATTCCGGTGAAACAGAAAGTGATCAAAAACAATTGAATACGTCAATTAATCCGAATTTATGTCATATACTAACAAACCAAATCTCGTTTTTCTATCTGAACATCTAAATACAGTTGAATATGAACAGTTGCTTGATTAATGTTATTGTGTTTGATTTATGTTATTAACATTGACAGGACTTATGCTTTGGTACACAGAAGGATGGTCAAACCATGGCTACAAGTAGAGTTTCTTTACAAACTCACCCCCACCTACAAGGAACAGGAACTTTGCAAAGAGGTTATCCACGGATTCTTTTATAAGGTAAAACTATTTATGTATATACAGGATACCTAGCAGGATAGTTTACAAAAATAACCTCTATTTCAATAAAAACAAATCATATAAATTTTAGGCATTGAACCAAGCGAAACAAAACTATGCACAGTCTAAAGATAAAGATGAACTATCAAAAACAATGTTGGAACAAATATTAGAAATAAGGAACGATGTGCCTGATTTTGCAACGGACGAAGAAATCGTACATCACTTGGCAACACTGTATTCAGCGGTATGATTGAAATCTTTTGTTTCTTAGTAAAACATTAATATCTTCTTCATTTTGAATAAACTTAAGAATAAGCTTAAGAAAGAAAAGCCGGGAATGGTTGCAGTACAGGGTGTCCCACTAAGAATAGCTGTCAGCTGTATCTCGGAAAATATTAGTCAGAGAGCTTGCGGAAAAAATATTTATAACTAAAGAGGCTATGAGAAGTTGCTGGAAATGATTTTCAAGTTTGTAAAACGGCCGCTAGAGGGCGCAACTGCTATAGAAAATAAGAAAATTGAGTTTTTACACAATTTTGCCTAGATAACTAGTACAATAAATAATAGATCCATAATCTTCAAAAAATTTTCAATATTTTTTGTTAACACCATTTTCCCCTATCTGCTAAAATAAAGTGGTGGGGGAAGGTTCGATCTGTTTTTATTTAAATATTAATAACTTACGTTTTTTTTTAAATGTTTTATGAAACACCCTGTATAAATAGTGTTATTTGGGCATGTTATTAAACGAAAACTAGCTGAAATTCTTTATATTTTCAAGAGTGAAGACACCATAACTCAGATCAGCTCATATGTCTTGGTTTTGTTGGGCATGTATCCTCATTATCAGAAGAAAGTGGTCGAAGAGATAGATTCTATTATTGGAAAAGAAGATGTAAGAGATTGTGATTTAGTCAAGTTTGAGTACCTGGATATGGTGATAAAAGAAGCTTTAAGACTATTTCCTATTGGTCCTTTTATTTTAAGAAAATCTCATGAAGATGCCGAAATTGGTAATAATATTCATCTTCCTAAAACTTTATATTCATTTTAGTTGGGGAGAGTAGTCTAAACCGTACCGTTTTGTACAAAAAAAAAATAATAAAATAAAATGTATAATAAATAAAAAATAAAATGTACAAAAATATAAATATAAGAAGTCCAAAATAACCGAGTTATTTTGAAAAATTTCGAAAAAAAATGATTTTTTGCTTAAATTTCAAGAACTACTAGAACTTTCCTGGGTTTTCTCTCTTGTAAACTTAATCTATTACTTATGTTGACATATTATCAAGAAATTACGGTTTTTAATTAAAAACTAGGGTGCCCGGTGGCGTAAAGGTATACAGCTCTCGTCTACCAATCTAAAGGTTCTGGGTTCGAATCCCACACCCGGTATTTCATCAGCTGACTATTTTTATTAAAATAAAAATAGTTTGGGTACCTAGGTCGACTCAGCCTTAAAGGAGTACTTGGGATTCACAATCCTAAAGTAATAATAGGCGGTTGAAGCGCACCTCCATTGTATACCGAACGGCTCTAGCAGGGCAAGCTGTACCTTGCTATTCCCAAGGCGTTAAACGCTATATACGGGAGCTATTATTATTATGTTCTTGAATCTCGGGCTTTCCGGTATTTAACGTAGTCGCGGACTTAAGTCAAGCGTCAACGCTTTTTACTGTGTATTTAAGACTTGTCGTGTAATATTACATGTGTGGAGGATAACTGTTTTTTGAATGGGTATATAAAGTTTTGGTGCAAGTTCAAGGCCTTTCAGACTATCATGTAATGATCTTGGGATCAGTCCTGTTGATGACACTATTATTGGTATAATTTTTACAATGTCCTGGTGCCACATCTGCCTTATTTCTTCTGCTAGAGGTATATATTTTTCAATTTTTTCAGTGTGTTTCTTCTTGACATTTTGTGAATTTGGTATGGATCTCTATTAAGTATGTCGTTTTGGTTGGTTTGTGGATGAGCGTGATGTCTGGTTTGTTGTTTGGTGTGGTTTTGTCTGTGATTATATCCCGGTTCCAGTAGAGCTTGGCTGTCTTATTTTCTAGAACGTTAGCTGCTTGATATTTGTAGTATGGTGTATGGTAGCAGATGAGTGAATATTTCTTTGCTATTTCCTGATGGATTATTCTGCAAACATCGTCGTGTCTTTGGGTATATTGTCTGGAAGCAAGTATAGGGCATCCCCCGGTTATGTGTTCTATTGTTTCGGTTTGTGTGTGACATAGTCTGCATTTGTCTGTAGGTGTTTTGGGGTCTTTGATTATGTATTTCTGGTAATTACGTGTGGCGATGATCTGGTCCTGGATTGCTATTATGAAACCCTCGGTTTCTCCAAACAGGTTACCATGAGTAAGCTATGCATTGGATGCTGCTATGTCAATGTGTGGTTGTGTTAGTTGGTTTGCATGTTTTCCATGTAGGGCTTTGGATTTCCATTTTTCAATTTTAGTGTTTGTTGTTGTAATTGCATCAACTGGTATGAATGCTTTATTGTTGAATTGTAACGGTGTACCTGATGTTGTTAGGTTAACAATGCTTCGGTGTAGTGGGCAAGTCGGCGGTGTAGTTATTATTATTATTATTATTAAAAAGGTACGGTTTAGGAGCTGGTACGGTATAGGCGATTTTCCCCTAAATAGTGATGTAGAATAGTGGTGAATATTTGCAATATTTTAATATTTTTGATGAAGACAATATCTTTTAAATTGATTTAAATAATTATTCAATAATTCACTTAACTAATCATTAATGTATCCACATTGAAAAACTAAATATATGTTATGCTTGATCTTTTAGGTGAATACTTTATACCTAAAGGAACAACAGTTATGGTGGCAATTCATCTCATTCACAGAGATCCTGTACAATGGGAAAAACCAGAAGAGTTCTATCCTGAGCATTTTATGCCAGAGTCTGTAAAAAAGCGGCATCCTTATGCTTTTGTGCCGTTCAGTGCTGGAGCCAGACAGTGTCTAGGTTAGTTATTTTCATTAATACTTAGAAAAGATATTGTCCATATAAGAACATGAAACACTGAAATTTATACACTTCTACAAGCTATATTACAAAGTATTTTTTCACTCTGGAGACACATTTGACTAACCTAGTAGGTAATCATCCGGAGTAGATGATTAAAAATGGAGTTAGAATGTAGAATGTTTATAGGAGGGGAGTTAATCACCGCGACCTTATAGATCTATTGTGTGTTCCCCTTTCTTGAGTTATAACTCGTTATAACTCATCACACAGTCTCAGGGCTTTAACAAAAGCCAGTATCTGAGACGACTCCACAGAGGCCAGCTCTCCATCCTCGACATTAGCCGTACCAAAGTTCATGGCACGAATGGTCGTCGTCTCGGCGCACTTAGTGATAAGGTGTTCTGGTGTTTCCCCATTTTCCCCACAGAATCTGCATTCGCCGTTGTTTCTCAGCTTCAGCCTACTGAGGTGTTCGTTGAGGAGACAGTGTCCTGTTAGAAACCCCGTGACAATCCGAAGATTGTTTTTACTTAAATCAAGGAAAACCTTTGATTTTTCTCGGTCGTAAGTTCTGAGGAATTTTTTCGAGTGTCTTAGACCGTTAGAGGACACCCATTCCAAGTTAGGGATGGAGTCTTCCAGATTCTTCAGTTCCACTTTTAGTTGGTTCCCGTTTGGAAAACAGAACGGTTCTAGTCCAGTTAGTGGACTGTTTGCTCCTTTCCTAGCTAGATAATTTGCTTTTTCATTGCGTTCTATCCCTTGGTGAGCAGCTGTTAGTAAGAAGTTTTACTTCAAACACGAGCACATAGTGCACACACAATGTTTTCTAAAATTATGTTGCAGTGTGATTGCCCAAACATCATAATTATTATAGAAATAAAGATGGCTAACTTTAATACGGTCAATATAAATTTTGATAGGTAGTTGATTAGACAAAAAACAAAAAAAATTATAACAAAGCTGTTGAATAGGTGCTTTCATAGACACTAACTAAATTAACTGACTTTTTTTAACATGAGAGGGCACAACTTTTGTAAAGGAAGAATTGTTTTGCAAGACTTTTTGAAGCTTTTTTTTATTTTGTGGTTTGGACTGGATTGAATTACTTATACAAATTCTATTTTATTTATTTTTTTTTCAGGAAAGATCTACGCTTACATGGCAATGAAAGTAATAATTGTTACTTTCTTGCAAAGGTTCGCTGTTGAAGCTGATGGATCCTTACGTGACAAAGAACTGACAGCCGATATTAGTGTTAGATTTAAAGATGAAACATATCCTATTAGAATTAGAAAACGACATTGACATATCATCATCTTCAACTTGACATCATCATCTTCAACTTATTCAACCATTTCCAATTATGGTGTAGCCGCCCTCACATATTTAGATACCCTCTTTGTAGTTGGGCTCATTGTTTAGGCCTATTGTATAAGCCTATTTGTTTTGTAACTACTTATTATAGTCATAGATAAAAGAACTAAGATTATAGTAATTAGTTAATTTAGATGTGATAGAAAAATGATTTAATTAATGAGAATCCATGTTAAATAGAACAAAATATCCTTTATTGGTATAAATAATTTTTCTGTATCCAGTTTGGGTTAGAATTATTATATTGATAATAAGGCATTTTCAGTTATTTTTTTTATAAAATGCAATGATTTAATGTAATGCATTTTGTTTATACCATTTTTTTGGTTAGTTGTTGTATTTTATTGTTAATAAAGTATTTTTAACTTATATATGTTTTATAAGTCTTTAATAAAATATATATATGTCTTTAATAAAATAATTTAATTAAAATTTTAATACCTCAACGCTAAACAAATAATTAAAATGGACAAAATACAATAATAGAATTCTATATTTTAATGCCGAAAGTTAAGAAATAAGAACAATAGTCAAGAATAAAAATAATATACTACTTTGAATCTGGTAGACAATATCAGTATTGAAAATAAAAGACTTTTGGACTTCCATTTTCTCTATTTATTTGTTTACACAACTTTTCGTCCAGAAGGACCACTGACCGTTATTAAGTGTAAACCAAAGACCTCTAAATGGGTAGACAGAACACTCCATTCATAAAACTCAATTTTTTAGAATCATACATGGTTTGACACTTTTATGGGAGTTAAAAAGAGATGGGTACATAAATATGACAATATGGTTGAGTTTCGTCTATCTTTCTGTCATTTGGCTCTATCAGTGGCGTGACGGTGGCATGATGTTTTTTTTTATCAAAAATTGATGAATTTCATCAAAAATTGATTGGGATTGCCTCAGATCAATTTTCCATTATAACTAGTTTTGCCTGAGGTCTAACTGTGGGTAACTCTAATTTCACAATCGAAAGCGCCAACAAATAAGGAAATACGAATTTTTGTAATAATCTACTTATAACTAAAAGTTTCTAAATTCGCTACTGAAAGCATGGCTAAAGGTAAAAAAACGTAATGACACTTACCGTCGAAATATCAATTCCGGGTTAGGATAGTCTACCTTTTTAAAAATTATGCACTGGCGAACCATCCTAGATAGTTAAAAACTACTTTAAATAGTTTTCTTTGCAATAAACACTAATAATTATTAGAAAGTTATTCAAAAACTACAAAAACTTTCAACTACCGCAGAAAACTCAAAACCGCGCGCTGTCAAATATAAGTTGAATGAAAACAAATGAAAACGTCAAATGTCAGCGTAATTCCTACAGATTTCGACAATAATTTCGTAGTAAAGATGAATCTACAGCGATAATTAGAGAACTAAAAATAATTTCAAAGGTATAATCCTGGCATAATCTATGTATATTAATTAAAGTTATATACCTATACAAATGTTTAGTTTAAAGTTTCTATAGGTACCCAAAAAACATTAATAACAATACTAACATTTGGAATTCGAATCGTATTCTATCACATACCGCGTAAATCTGTCATCAACGATTTTTGCGGAAAACGGTTCGTGATCGCGATAAAATGTAAATTGTTTTGTCTCCCTTTATTTAGATGTCTTTGGTGTGAACTAACCTAAATCCTAAAACTAGTGAGACATACATATACCGAGCATTCACCCAAGCGAATATTCATAATTTCGACCATCTTCAACAAGAACAATGGCTTTTGCATAACCTTCGACACTAAAAACCACATTCAATCGTACAAAACAATAATCACCCAAGCCACCTCGTCATTATGAAGAATGACATCAAAAAGTAACGATAATTGAAAATATTGCAAAATGTTTGTGGCAAGTTCATTTTGCCCTTAAAAATTAACCAAGGCAAGTATTGACATAAGTCAACAAACAAAATATTCAGGAGACATGGTTCTGACTGAAAAATAATGTTTTAGGTTTAGGAAAACTTGCCCACGAAATTATTGCACAGGGTGCTTTAAAGGTCTTTAACAACTCTTCGATTAACCCTGTATAATAGATCAAATGCTAAAGTTTATTATAAACTGAGATTACGAATTAATGTTGATTTATTTATATACAGTTTGCTAAAAAAAGTCAAGGAAATAGGGCTAAAAATAAAAAAAATAACCACATTGCGTTTTTTACTTGCATCTGAGTGTATACAGGATGTTTCAAAAAACATGTGAGATATCATGGTACAAAGTTGGCGGAAAAATAATGTTTTTATTTTTATCTTGAAAACAAAAGAGATAGACTAATGAAATTTTATGGAAGCATTACTGTTATGAAAACACACTTTCTGGTAATTTTTTCACTTTTTTAAAATGAGTGGAAGGGGTTGAAATAAACTACCCCTATCATTCTTGTTAACGAAATTTAAAGAAAAATCTTATCAAACACATGCAAAAAATTAATTTGGATAGTTTAGTTTGTTTAGAAACTTTTTATCTCTTGTATTTTTTGATAAAACTCACCGATTTGAAATTAAAAATAAAATGTAAAGCATTACATGTCAGGACAAAAACATTTTTAGATTAAGAATCTAGTGATAATAACGATAATAATAATCATCTAGATAATAACGCATTGCAGTAGAGTAATGTCAAATAAAATAATATTAGGAACATTCTAAAGTAACAGCGGCCGACTAGATTTTTCCTAAAAAATTACAGCAGCCCACTAGATTCTTTATCAGAAAATGTTTTTTGTCCTGGCATGTAATGCTTTACATTTTATTTTTTAATTTCAAATCGGTCAGTTTTATCAAAAAAATACAAGAGATAAAAACGTTTCTAAACAAACTAAACTATCCAAATTAATTTTTTTGCATGTGTTTGATAAGATTTTTCTTTAAATTTCGTTATAAGAATGATAGGGGTAGTTTATTTCAACCCCTTCCACTCATTTTAAAAAAGTGAAAAGATTACCAGAAAGTGTGTTTTCATAACAGTAATGCTTCCATAAAATTTTATTAGTCTATCTCTTTTCGTTTTCAAGATAAAAAATAAAAACATTATTTTTCCGCCATCTTTGTACCGCGATATCTCCCTAATGGTTGACTTTTGACCCAACGTTTATGAAGCAAACTACCCTTTATTTTGAACAAGGAATCACCCCCTGAAGTTTTTCGCATTTGTTTTGAAACACCCTGTATACAGTTTGCTAAAAAAAGTCAAGGAAATAGGGCTAAAAATAAAAAAAATAACCACATTGCGTTTTTTACTTGCATCTGAGTGTATACAGGATGTTTCAAAAAACATGTGCCATCTCTCGTGGGGAGATTCCTCACGTAAAAATAGGATTTATTTTTCATATCAATATAGGTCCGATTCTGCTTTGTTTCGTAGCTACAGGGTGTTAAAGTCTTAATATTTTTTTGATTTATTATACTTTTCCTCCAAGTACTTTTAGCGTTTCGAATGAAATTTTGATGGTAACAGTTAGTATAAATGCGACATATTTTAAAGCTAAAAAAATGTCAACTTATTCACCAGGGACGTGCGTATGGGTTATCACTAGTAGTGGGAACTATCGAATGAATACTATCGAAACATTCGATAGTTGCAATTCATTCGAATAATTCGATAGTTAGTAAGAAAACATTCGTTGAAAACTATTCAAATAAAAATTATCGAATAGATCCGTCATCTGCCTTGAAATATTGTATTCGGCAGCAAAAACCATTCATTTATAAAATTCATTCATTTATGAAATTCGTCAGGATCGATTATAATAAAATATTAACTGAATTTTAGTTGTCGCCCGGCGACGTAGGTTTCTTTCCGAGAAACCCGACAGCGGTCGGTGGCAATGCTATGAAAGAAGCCGGCATCTTTGATTTTTTGCCGAGTCAGATATAGATAAGGACACATTATTTTTTTTATTGAGGTGCTAGTATTTACACAGAAAATACATTATGAAGGGCGCTGTTGCCATATTTTGGTATTAGTTGATATTAGCACAGAATATTATTGTTTGGCTTTAGTTAGTTAGGGATAATATGTCTATATATTCTGCATTTTTTTTTATTAATATTCTGTTGTTACACTGCAATAATACTTGTTATTTTGGATGTAGAGGAAAATGATTTTTAATGTTTTTAAGCAAAGACTGGTTTAATAAATAATAATAACAGTAATAATTTGTTATACCTATTAACAACATAATTTAAAATCATTTAATATAAATATTTTTTTTAAGTAGTAGCAAAATATAAACAACAAATTAGATGTCAAAATTATTTATATTAGATCCTATTTAAAAATAATATAGTCTCTAAATTTTTTGTGTTTGGCAACGTTGGTTTATTAAATAATAATAATTACAGAACTAATTTGTTATATTAACAACAAATTTTAAAATCATGAAATATAAACATTTATTAATTTTCTAAGCATGCAGTGTAATGGAAGGAAAATATAAATAAAAAATTAGAAATCAAAATTTTTTATATTAGGTGCTTTATATTACTATTTAAAAATTATATTTACTTTTACTGGCATTTACTTTAAAAAATAAATGAAATATTTCTTCGCAAAAAACTACATGTAAGAGAATTAGCATAAACAAAATACAAACATCGTTAACTTTTTTTTTTTAAATTGGCACGTGTAAAACTTTCATTTTAATTTTCTCACCCCATAGTTTGAGTTCGATAACCATTTACTTAACCACATTACTTAAATATGATTATTAAGTTCAACTAATTCATGTTATTAAAACATCTAAAATACAAATATGTATTTTTAAAATTAATTGTAAGTTCATCTCATCTCTCTTAAAAATTGCTACTTCTCAAAATTTCACATTAAAAAATAGACCATATACCATAAAAAATTAAATAATTGAAAGATCGGACTATGGAAAACCACACAAATTTTCGGAAAAATTTTGACCACCTGTACATGCACACAATCGTCAATAAATAAAATTCAAAATTAACTACTATTTTAGTATTTTAACTATTTTAATAAACGCAAAAATAGCACAGTATTTATACGGCGAAGTTATAAAATTTGGAAGAACTAATAATGCACTGACGCATACAAAAATCAAACGAATACTAAATTTCATTTATCAAAAGCATTCGATAGTCATGGCTCAACGATAACCATTTAGTCGCACGGCGAGGTTGTCACATATGCTTTAGTATACAAATGAATGAATGCTTTTATTCGAATAAAACCATTCGATAGTTGAAATCATTCATTCATTAACCATTCGATAGTCTAATTCATTCGATAGTTCCCATCGCTAGTTATCACTGAAATATTTTTCTAAAAAAGCATGTACGCCACTGATTTTTTTTCCTCTTAGCAAAATAGTGTAGGCAGTTTAATGCCGATTAAAAGTTGTTCGCTTGATATTTTGTCGTTTTCGGCCTCCTTGATGAAATAAACGCAATTTTATTAATATGCCTTGATCCTAGTCTAATAGCAACCTTTAAAAAAATTTAATATCATTAACTTGCGAAAGTTTTAAATAAGTACTCATTGATTCCTCATCAAAAAACATGAAAAAAAGTTCCTATAAACATGGGTATTGAAATATATAGTTTTAGAATTACAGGATGTTAAAACTTTTTAAAATTAGGTTTTTTGTAATTATCTTAAATATCATTATTTTTTATTATTTGAGATTGCTGTATGTTGGACTTATAGTAATAATAACTAATAGTAATAACTAAAATACTTATAGTAACTTTTACCCTCAAAATTTCATTCAAATCACTAAAAGTACTTGTAAGAAAGTTATAATAAATCGATTATTAAGACTATAATACCCTGTAGCTACAAAACAAAGCAAAATCGACCTATGTTGATATGAAAAATATGTCTTATTTTTACGTGAGGAATGAGAGATGGGACATGTTTTTTGAAACACCGTGTATAAAAATGTATTTCCGCAGTAACACATATTGCATGTATTTTTTTAATCGATTTTTTATTGCTGCAATCCGTTTCAAAATTTCGGCTGCAAAAAAACGATAAATAATATTCGTTTAAATAAAATAAATTTTATTGTTTTTTTTTGTTATATATACCTACTGCTAAGATGTGTAAAAATCTGTAAAATCCAATAAAAATATAAAGATGCAGGTCTACACTAAGACTCTTTTGGCCTGTGTTTTGGCATTAGCCGCTGCCAACTTCAGCGTTGCTCAAGAAGGTAAATTATATTTTTTTATCCTAACAAATTTATTATTAGTTACCTAGATAGTTACCAAGTATTAAAGGTTTATTGAAGTGAAACTTCTTTACGCGCGCTGGAAGTAAAAATTCAAGGCCGTGACACACAAGCTAGCGAGACGAAAAGTGGTAAGGATAGTCTACGGCTTAGAAAAACGCAGTGACGCGACGTGTATTTGTGAGCAGTCCACGTGTTCATCAAATTATCTATTATTTTTTTTTTATTTTACGCGTATAAAACTATTTGTTACACGTAAAATACTATTTTTTACGCGTAAAAAACTATTTGTTACACGTAAAAAACTATTTTTTACACGTAAGAAACTATTTTTTACGCGTAAATTTTTGTTTTTCAATTTATTACATTCTCAACATTTCTACACTTTTTTAAACGTGTACTTCAAATCCTTCAATTTAATAGCTGTTAGTAAGAAGTTTCACTTCAAATATGCGCACATAGGGCACACATAATTTTTTTTTGTTATGTACAGGGTGGGTCAAATTCGACGCTTTTAAATGGAAACACCCTTTTCTATAGGAGATAGACAAAAACTAATATCGGTGTCTGGAGCTCAATTTTCATCAACAACATGATGGTGAAAACCGCACATCAATATCTGTTACCGTATCGGAGTTACGGGGTGTTTTTCAAAAATGTGCATTTTTAACAAATCGCTGTAACTTTTTTGCTATGGAAAATTTTATATTTCTATAAAAACATTTCCAAAGCACCATTTTACGTAGAATTTAATGGTTTAAGTATAATTTTTTTAAAATTAATAATTTAAGAGTTATCAACAGAAAGATTGATTTTTTATTTGAGACACCCTCTATATTTTTAATTGACTAAAAAGAATTTAAAATTACCTTTCAAAAAATATAGCACCCTTGATATTTTGTTATAATCCCCTTCGAAATACAGAAATTTTAAAAGTTCGCCACTTTTAACTAGTAGGCTTTGGACCCCTTATTGATGATATGCCCTCAATGGAACTCCAAAACATATTTTTCCAGTAAGACGACGTACCGCCTTTGAACGCTGAAGTTATCAGCAAATTTTTGCAGCCAGTTTCAAGAATAATTGAATAGCTAATCAAGATCCCAGCCGTTGGCCATCGAGGCCGCCTGACTTAGTGCCCATGGATCTAATCCTATGGATATATTTGCGGAAGAATAAAAGTTCCTTATTCTTCCGTATAATCTAGACAAGAATTAGAAATTCTTAGCAGTTATGAGAGGGTATCTTTCACCCCTACTGAGTTAATGAATTCCGCGAGAAATGTTCAAAAACTGCCCCGTCTGTCCATAACAGAAGACGGTCGATATGTCGAACACCTGTAGCAAAATCCCCTGTCTTGGTTTGCTATATTTATTTTTATAGTTATTAGATATAGTTGAAATGTGTTGATGTTGGTTAAATATATTTTAAATTGTTATAAAATTCTGCATCTCTCATATTTATATTATTTTCGTTAATAACTGATGCTCACAGCTAGAATTTTTTTGCATTACAGCCGGTGCCGTTCAAAACCTACTTAATTAAAGCGGGCGAATTTTTAAATACTCTATATCTCGAAGGGGAATCGAGAAAAATATCAAGTGTGTTATATTTTTGGAAAGGTAATTTTAAATTCTTTTCAATAAATTAAAAATATACAGGGTGTCCCATATAAAAAATCAAATTTTCTGTTGATAATTCTTAAATTATTAATTTTTAAAAAATTATACTTAAACCATTAAATTCTACGTAAAAAGGTGCTTTGGAAATGTTTTCATTAAAATACAAAATTTTCCATAGCAAAAAAGTTACAGCAATTTGTTAAAAATGCATATGTCGTCGAATTTGACCCACCCTGTACAGGGTGTCTCGAATTCCACGCTCATCATTGGGATTTCGGAAACCGTAAGAGATACAGGATCGGTCAAATGGAGGCAAAGTTGCGCAATTTGATGCTCAATAAAATGCCGTAGTGCATTTTGAAAAATTCCAAATACTTCCGAATATATTCGAAAAAAAGCGGAATTTTCAATTTTGTTTTCTATTGTTTCCTGGCCTTATTTGTTAAGATAATTTAAAATGAAAAACACATTTTCATGGCCACTTTTTCTGCTCTATAACTCTGTGTGATTAAATATTGACTCTGACGTTTCGGCTTCTGGCGACCATCATCAACTTAATTTTTTTAAATACGGACCTGATTTTTTTTTTCAATTTATTTAAATCCTTTCATCACTCTTAAAACACTATTTATAGTCACTTTGATATTTGCCGACGTTTCGTACAGAAAATTCCATCACCAGAATATTTTATGCAAAAAAAATAAAAAATAAAAATGCAATACCGCATTTTATTGAGCATCAAATTGCGCAACTTTGCCTCCATTTAACCGATCCTGTATCTCTTACGGTTTCCGAAATCCCAATGATGAGCGTCGAATTCGAGCCACCCTGTACAGGTTGTCCCAAAAAAGGTAATGATGAAATATGAAGTATATTTAGAGAGGCTAAGTCCTGTTCTAGATTGTTTGATGCTTTATTAAGCACTTTGTAGCTAAATTATTTGACTTTTTAGTGTCTTTTTCTAAATTAAAAATGAAAGTTACCATCTGTCAATTATAAGAGGGAAAACAAAATATTGATATTTTGGTGAAAGTTTGAAACACCCTGTGGAGTACGTTAACAAAGCAAGGGATTTAAAAATCAATTCATCATCTAGGTGTATCTTTTCTGGATAGTTTGTTTTTTGATTCATCTCAATTAGCTTTATTTTTTTTTTTAAAGTATTTGCTTTTGAAGAAGACACTAACATGTTTTCGTATTTTTTACATTAAAACCATGAGTTTTTTTTTGGTCAGAGTCGACAAGCCTATAAAATAGTGGTTGTGATTTATGTTATGTCACTGTCTTTGAAAAATCATATCTTATTGTCTGTTGGGCAGTTACTCTAGCAGACATGGTTTTAGGTCCACAAGTTGGACTCTACCATGATCAATTAAATCAACAATAGCCGATTATTCAGCACTTAAAACTAGTGATGGGAAAAACCGATTGAATCGATATTTGAAAATACGGTTTTTCGCCCGTCGCTTGTCTCTTGTTGCTTGTTGTACTCGTAACGCCCAGCAGTAAGTTGCGTGCGCAGAGCACATATTCTTTCGGTGATGAATGGCAAGTAGCAAGCGATGAGCGATTCGCTTGATCGCTTGCTTGATTTAGTTTATTTCAAGGCATTGTCGATGTAGGTCGTAAAATTTTGTCGCTTAGAAACGCAACGGATAGACATCGTATAAATGTGCTACCTGCGATATATGTATAAAATTCGCTCGGCTTTTTATCGAGTATGTCACATTAAAATCGGATTTCAATTTATTTCATTCTAGGATCGCTTGCGTTTGTAGCGTCGCTCGTAGCTCGTCACTTGCATCGCTCGTTAATAATCGGGCGATGTCGGTTATTTCAATAATCGAGTACTCGAGCGAATTTTTGCTCGAGTTATCCCATCACTACTTAAAATCATCTCTACCAGAGTAAACGTCTTTCAAAAGCAAATAGGAGCTCCAATAAAAATAAAGCTATCGAGATAAATTAAAGAACAAATTATCGAAAAAAGACGTACCTAGATAATAAAATTATTTTTAAATTCCATGCCTTGTTAACATATTTCACAGGGTGTTTCAAACTTTCATCAAAATATCAACATTTTATTTTCCCTCGTATAATTGACAGATGGAAACTTCCATTTTTAATTTAGTAAGAAATAATAAAACGTCAAATAATTTAGCTGCAAATTGCTTAAAAAATAATCAAAATCGGCCAATTAGTACAAAATACAGGGTGGTCCGAACTGTATTCCGGAAACTTCGGCAGCATATTCTGCAGATATAAATAAGTAAAAAAGTTCAAATATATGTCCAAAAATGCCTAGTTTCGGAGATACAGGGTGTAGAAATTTTATTTTTATTCCGATTTTTTCCAAATAATTTCTAAAGTAACGTCAATATTTGGATGAAAACTGGTTTCTGGGAGTTTTTTGACATGAGAAATTTGATTTTGATATCAATATGACTCCTACTTGTATGAAGAATAATAACTTTTCGTCCGTACCTGTATAAAACTACTGAGTAAAAGATATACATTTACGACTTTTTTACGTAAAATGGTCTCTTGGTAAAAATCTCCACGAGCAATGGTTCTCGAGATATTTGGAATCGAAATTATCAATACCTGCCATCATTGACACAAATTAAACATAAAAAATCTCTATACCTATGTGGCGGATTCATCTATTCAAAAAAATCCTTTATGGGTTTTTCGCCACTGAACTACAAGAAGAATCTACAAAATAAAATAGTTATTTTTGGTAAACACTTGTGCGTTAAACCTAAACGGACGCTGCTTGTCAGAAGTTGTGTTTACAGTTCTAAAAATTTGCCTAACAAAGAAAAAAATGCTTAACGTTTCGGAAAGTTTTTTCTTTCCGTCGTCGGAAGCAAAAAAAATATAAAGAATCAAGAAAAAAACTATTTAAAATATTTAAATTGAACTATTCGAGAAAACTTTACTTTTTAAAACAGATACGTCTACAAGAAATCGTTGACGTTCTGTTTTTTTTTAATGTATGAATCGGTGTTATTTGCAATCGGATTTAATATGTCTAGTAAAAATTTTGCTAACGGATGGCATGGAGAATTTATACTACTGACTATAGGTCTAAAAGGTATATCCTGTTTATGTATTTTCGGTAAACCGTATAAATGAGGTGGTTTACTGTAATGGGGTGTTAATAATGTTCGTTGTACGTCTGTTAATATATGTTTGTATTTGTATAAAGTTCTGTATATTTTTCTTTCAATAGTTGGTGTTGGGTCTTTTGAAAGTTTTGTGTAACTACCGTTATTTATGAGATCTGTAATTTAAGTATTTATTTTTTTTTGTACTTTCAACAGAACGTCAACGATTTCTTGTAGACGTATCTGTTTTAAAAAGTAAAGTGTTCTCGAATAGTTCAATTTAAATATTTTAAATAGTTTTTTTCTTGATTCTTTATATTTTTTTTTGCTTCCGACGACGGAAAGAGAAAACTTTCCGAAACGTTAAGCATTTTTTTCTTTGTTAGGCAAATTTTTATAACTGTAAACACAACTTCTGACAAGCAGTGTCCGTTTAGAAAAAACTATTTTATTTTGTAGATTTTTCTTGCAGTGCAGTGGCGAAAAACCCACAAAGGATTTTTTTGAATATAAATTAAACATGCCTTGACTAAATAGTTATTAGACTGAAATCACAAATTTAAAATGTTTTTGTAGCAAAAGTTCAACAGAGACTGTTTTATCAACATTTTTTTGAAGAAACATTAATGAATAATTTAAAGAAATGAAAAGTTTCCAAATTTATCATTTCAGTCAAATAACTATCTACTGAACATGTTTATTATTTGTCAATAATGACATGTATTGCCTAGGTATTTCCATTCTAAAAATTTTGAGAATGGTTGCTCGTAGCGATTTTTATCAAGAAACATTTTCTATGTAAAAAATCATGGAAATATATTTTTTTCACTCAGTAGTTTTATACAGGTGCGGACGAAAAGTTATTACTCTTCAAAACAGTTAAAACACATGTAGGAGGTACCCTCTACAAACAGGAGTCATATTAACCTCAAAATCAAATTTATCTTGTCAAAAGACTCCCAGACACCAATTTTCAACCAAATATTGACGTTACTTCAAAAATTATTTGGAAGAAATCGAAATAAAAATGAAACTTCCACACCCTGTATCTCCGAAACTAAGCATTTTAGGACATGTAGAATGTAGAATGTTTAGGAGGGGATTAATCACCGCGACCTTATAGATCTATTGTGTGTTCCCCTTTCTTAAGTTATAACGAGTTATAACTCGTAACGGAGTTAAGTCTCAGGGCTTTAAGAAAAGCCAGTATCTGAGACGGCTCCACAGTGGCCAGCTCTCCATCCTCGACATCAGACGTACCAAGGTTCATGACACGAATGGTCGTCGTCTCGGCGCACTCTGTGATAAGGTGTTCTGGTGTTTCCCCATTTTCCCCACAAAATCTGCATTCGCCGTTGTTTCTCAGTTTCAGCCTACTGAGGTGTTCGTTGAGGAGACAGTGTCCTGTTAGAAACCCCGTGACAATTCGAAGATTGTTTTTACTTAAATCAAGGAAAGCCTTTGATTTTTCTCGGTCATAAGTTCTAAGGAACTTTTTCGAGTGTCTTAGACCATTGGAGGACACCCATTCCAAGTTACGGATGGAGTCTTCCAGATTCTTCAGTTCCGCTTTCAGTTGGTTCCCGTTTGGAAAACAGAACGGTTCTGGTCCAGTTAGTGGAGTGTTCGCTAACTGTCATTTTTCATTTGCTTTTTCATTACCTTCTATCCCTTGGTGAGCAGGCACCCAGAGTAGGAGGACTTTATTTTCTTTGCCTAATTTGTTGAGCTACTCTAGGCATTCTTTGACCAACTTCGAATTGATGGTTACTGAGTTGATCGCGTTAAGTGCTGATTGACTATCGAATAGGATGGCAATTTCCTGTTTTCGATAGTTCCTATCCAAGATAAATTGTACGCATCTTTCGATAGCGCAAATTTCTGCCTGAAGGATACTGGGGTAGGTGCCCATTGGTTCGGAGTATTCAGTTTTCGGCCCAAATACTCCTATCCCTGTCCCTGCTTTGGTTTTGGAAGCATCAGTATACCACGTGATGGTATGGTCTTTTATATGCTGAGTAAGCGTTTCTTTCTTCCAATCCTTTTTATTACTCAATACTACAGTGAGGTGTTTCTCAAAGTTGTAAATTCTTGGTATGTCATCCACTGGGAGTTGGAGAAGTGGAATTTTCTTTTTGAGGGTGTTCCAAGCCCCTGACCTGAAAATTCTCCCAGTACTGTTTCCGTCAATGACCATTCTAATCATTGTCGCATTGGCATAACTACCGACGACAATATGCAGTGGTGTTAGGTCTAGAATGACCTCCATTGCTGCTGTTGGACATGTTCTCATGGCACCTGTGATGCAGATACATGCCAGTCTCTGTACTTTGCACAGGGTTTGCCTTGCTGTACGTTGCTCTAGTTTTGTATACCAAGCAACTGCTCCATAAGTAATCATGGGTCTTACTATCATGGTATACATCCAGCGCAAAATGTTAGGGGCGCAGCCCCACCTATTTCCCGCCAGTCTTCTGCATATCATGAGAGCCTTTGTGGCTTTGCTGGTAATGTTCTTAATATGCCTGTTCCAGAGAAGTTTACTATCCAGGGTTATTCCCAGATATTTCACTTCCTGTGATGGCAGTATTTCCTTTCCATCTAGATGGATTCTTTTCAAGTTTTTCAAACTTCGCTTTCTGGTGAATGGCACTACTGCGGTTTTATCTGAGTTAATACTCAGCCCGACAGTCCTGCACCATCTCTCAGCGATGCGGAATCCTCTTTGGATAATATCACACAGGGTGCCTTCATGTTTCCCCTGTGCAATGATGACTATGTCATCTGCGTACCCTATGCAGTGTATTCCCGCTAGAGTTAATTCTTCCAGTAGTTCATCCACTACCAAGCTCCACAGTAGGGGGGAGGTCACTCCACCTTGTGGAGTTCCTTGCGTTGTTTTAACAACTACAGTTTTGGTACCTATCTCAGCCTCTGCTGTTCGTGTTGAGAGCATTTCCCAAAACCAGCGAATTATCGTACTGTTCGTTCACCCCTCTTGTTTCAAGAGATCGCTTGACCACCTTGTGAGGTATATTGTCAAAGGCCCCTGCAATGTCCAAGAAAGCACAAAGTGCTGTTTCTTTGCTATCCAGGCTTGCCTGTATTAGCTCAGTTAACTGGTTAGCAGTTTCTGTGGATCTGCCCGCTCTATATGCATGCTGACTATCGTGCAGTGGTTTAACCTGTAGATGATTTACTCTAATATGGTTGTCCACTACTTTCTCCATCGTTTTTAATATGAACGATGTGAGACTAATAGGCCCAAATGATTTGGGGTTAGCCCAGTCAGTTTTGCCTATTTTGGGTATGAAGATGACTTTCGCTCTTCTCCAGATGGTTGGTATATATCCCATCGCTAAGCTGCTTCTTGTAATGTTTAATAGATGGAATGTAGCTATTTCCTGACCCTTCTTTAGAAGGGCAGGAAAAATCCCATCTATTCCTGCTGGTTTATAAGGCTGAAAGGATTTTAGGACATACATTTATACGAAGTTTTTTACTTATTTTTATCTGCAGAATATGCTGCCGAAGTTTCCGGAATACATTTCGGACCATCCTGTATATTAAACTTTAAATAACATCAAAATGGTATTTAGGTTCCCGTTTTTCGTGCCGGTGAGTGTATTTTATAATTTGTTTAATTATTTTCAGATGACAAATATGCCAAGGAATATAATACAAAGCCTGAGACTGATTTTCATAATATATTCAGAAGAGATGAGTCGGCCTTATATGTTGAACTCCTTGCCATAAAGTTACGAAAGTTGGACGATCGTTTGCAACGCATAGCTATGCACAAAATAGACACTATAATGTTTGATCTTATTTCTGACTCCTCACAGTCACCCAATTCTGTCATCTTCAAAGTCATCCAATCAGATATGCCTTCTCTTAGATTTTCTGCTCATCAAACCCCACAGCTGCGGTTTGATGTTACAGCCGCAACTGAGGCATTTCCAGCTCCTACTGAACCTGTGAATGCCCCGTTTGACCCAGTTCCGACTCGACCAGCGCCACAGACAACACAAGCGGTTTACTGAAACCATCGGAGAATATCGTAAACAACTAGTACATATGTTACAGTGAAAGTCTGAAATTCAGTGGAAACATTCACTAGGAAATGCTAGCCATTACGTATTGGGCCAGTGTGTTATTTTAAAAAGATTTGTCGACTTTTCCTAGTAATTTCCAACATTCACATTTACTAAATGTTGCCAGTAAAAGTTATTCTATTGTACAGGGCTAGTGTGGCAAGGAAAAATGTTGGTGGAAGTTAGAACAAATACAACTTTTAAAAATATTGGATCACCTCAATATTCAAGCACATATCTTAAAATTACAATTTACTTCTTTAGTATATTTATTAAAAATTATAGAAAATAACGACATAACATTCTAAATATTATAAAGGAAAACATAGTAATCAATTTAAAAAAAAACATTCATAAACATAAGATTACTTATTGGTACAAGGTTTTTTTAACAAAGTTCTTCATCATAGACAAAATAAAGATATGCCCGAATTTTCTTCAATCGGGAGTTGAATTCGTTTTTTCAAACCCGCTACTTCAAGCATATCAAAACGTTTAATAAGTTCATAGTCACTAGCTTCCTTAATATATTTTTCTCTTGCACGCTTAACTTTTGCTATGACTTCATTATATTGCAAAAATGAAAAACAAGCACTATTACATTTTCGCGAGTAGGTATCTAGTTTAACTTAATTTTGCACAGAAAATTTCTTCCATAGGGAAAATACCGCACAGCACTTTTTACAACGATAACAAAAAATTATACATAACCACAAAAAAACAAAGCGAATTTACGCCAGATATCTGTCAACGTTGCAAACGTTTAGCCCAATTTTATGTTATCCTTATATTACCTATTATTCAACTTATCCTTATTTATCCATATATTTTCCAATATGTGGCGACCGCGCTAACTGAATCTTTCAAACTCACTGCTATCGTCCAGGGAATGCTAGCTAGCATTCGCTAGTAAAAGTTGGTTTCAAAAATAGCTGTTAAACTTTTACTGGCGTATTATTAGCAAATCAGTAAATGTGAGAGCTTTTACTAGTAATTGTTAACAATAACTGATTTCCAACTTTTACTGTAACATATACAAATACACGGGATTAAATAGCGAGCATACAAAAAAAAATATTATTTAATTATTCTAAAAGTGTTAAGAACTGTAAAAATTCTAAAAATAAAAATAAAAAAATAAATATTTTGATAACCTCAGATGGTCTAACTTGTATTATAATTTATTATTGAAGCTAATAAAACTTTTTAGATGTGTTCAACTATGGTAGTGAGCATAGTTTTACGCACAGGTTTTGCTAGTGGGGACATAACTTGAGCTATTTCGGCTACAACGAAATTTTTTGCAGGTACATAATTATAATTTTAGAAGATATTCTAAAAAATTTCGGCACTTTCTATACACCTCTTTCCTTTTGGACACTCCTGGATAAAATAGCTGATTAGAATTATAACTTTTTACTTTTGCTATCAATAAAGACATTCTGTTGGCATTTTCGTATTATTTTTTTATTTACTCATCAACATAAAGAGCTCAGAGAACACAACATTTCAGCTCTGTCCCCCAGAATATTTCCGTACCCCAGAAGCAAACTATGTTAAGTCACAAAACACAGTTTCGAGAAAAACGAATTTAAAGTTCTTTTTTGAAGATATTTCCTAATAGTACGAGAGCTAACAACGTCGGAAAAACAAGTATTTTAAGACGTCTGGCTCTTTGATATATCATTTACTATGCTCTCTAGAACAGCATGCGGCCCGTCTGGCTGCCGGTAAACGTTGCGTTCCCTACTGCGCATTGAAAGAAGAACCTATATTTTTATTAGTCCTTTAAATTCTAGTATTGAATATAATTCGAACATGTTTCCATAGCGCAGTGCGTAGAGTATGTATATAAATAAAAAAGTCTTTGTCCTGACCCGGATTCGAACTCTGAATCCTCGTAGTCAGAAACTCTACGCACTGCGCTATGGAGACATATTCGATTTATATTCAATACTAGAATTTATAGGACTAAATTAAAAAAATATATAGGATCTTCTTCCGATGCGCAGTAGTGAACGCAACGTGTATCGGCAGCCAGACGGCCTGCACGCTGTTCCAGAGAGCATAATAAAAGATATATCAAAGAGCCAGACGTCTTAAAATACTTTCTCGAAAACGTTGCTAGCTCTTAGAGTATAATTACTCGGTTATTTAAAAAAAAATGATTGCAATATTTGGTATATGACTATAGTCCATCTATAGTCAGTGATAGATGTGTCGGTCATTTTATTTTCAAAGTACATAGTTTATGTGTTGGATAATTGGAATGGATGTGTTGAATAATTGGAAAGCATAGCAGAAAATTAATATATTATACAGGGTGGTCCGAACTGTATTCCGGAAACTTCAGCAGCATATTCTGCAGATAAAAATAAGTAAAAAAGTTCTTATAAATGTATGTCCTAAAATGCTTAGTTTCGGAGATACAGGGTGTAGAAGTTTCATTTTTATTTCGATTTTTTCCAAATAATTTCTGAATTAACATCAATATTAGGCTTGGGAGTTTTTTGATATGAGAAATTCGATTTTGATATCAATATGACTCCTACTTGTAGAGGGCGCCACCTACAAGTAGGAGTCATAAAACTATACTATCAATAAAACTACCAAGTAAAAAAATATACATTTACGACGTTTTTAACGTAAAAAAGATCTCTTAATAAAAATCGCTACGAGTAATAGTTCTCGAGATATTTGAAATCGACATTATCAATACCTGTCATCATTGGCATAAATTAAACAAGTTGTCTAAATAGTTAATAGAGGGAAATCATAAATTTGAAATGTTTTTGTGCCAAACCATCATCAATCATCATTTTTTCGAAGAAAATTTTATCATTAATTTAAAAAAATAAAAATTTTCCAAATTGATCTTTTTAGTCAAATAACTAGTCACAACAGACAGTACTTTAGTCACAACATGTTTATTTTTTGTCAATAATGAAATGTTTGTATTGACTATTCCCATTCTAAATATCTCGAGAAGGGTTACTCGTAACGATTTTTACCAACAGACATTTTTTACGTAAAAAAATACGAAAATGAATATTTTTTCACTCAGCAGTTCTATACAGGTACGGACAAAAAGTTATTACTCTTCAAAACAGTTAAAACACATGTAAGTGGCGCCCTCTACAAATAGGAGTCATAATAATAATAATAATAATAATAATAATAATATGTCTTTATTTTAATAATCCTCGGCGAATTTCAGTAAATAACTGCTTAGTTAACCGAGTACCATTACAGTATAACCTAACAAATAATATCAATATCCACTACCTTATCTTAAATTAATATATCAAATGTATAAATATAATAACAAANNAACAAAATATTGATATTTTGGTGAAAGTTTGAAACACCCTGTGGAGTACGTTAACAAAGCAAGGGATTTAAAAATCAATTCATCATCTAGGTGTATCTTTTCTGGATAGTTTGTTTTTTGATTCATCTCAATTAGCTTTATTTTTTTTTAAAGTATTTGCTTTTGAAGAAGACACTAACATGTTTTCGTATTTTTTACATTAAAACCATGAGTTTTTTTCGACAGTCCTATAAAATAGTGGTTGTGATTTATGTTATGTCACTGTCTTTGAAAAATCATATCTTATTGTCTGTTGGGCAGTTACTCTAGCAGATATGGTTTAAGATCCACAAGTTGAATTCTACCATGATCAATTAAATCAACAATAGCCGATTATTTAGCACTTAAAACTAGTGATGGGAAAAACCGATTAATTTCAATAATCGAGTACTCGAGGTTCAAGCGATTTCGATAATCGAGTACTCGATTATTGAATCGAGCGAAATATCGCTCGTATTTGAAAATACGGTTTTTCGCCCGTCGCTTGTCTCTTGTTGCTTGTTGTACTCGTAACGCCAAGCAGTAAGTTGCGTGCGCAGAGCACATATTCTTTCGGTGATGGATAGCAAGTAGCAAACGACGAGCGATTCCCTTGATCGCTTGCTTGACTTAGTTTATTTCAAGGCATTGTCGATGTAGGTCGTAAAATTTTGTCGCTCAGATACGCAACGGATAACGTCGTATAAATTTGCTACCTGTGATATATGTAGAAAATTCGCTCGGCTTTTTATCGAGTATGTCACATTAAAATCGGATTTCAATTTATTTCATTCTAGGATCGCTTGCGTTTGTCGCGTCGCTCGTAACTCTTCACTTGCATCGTTCGTTCATAATCGAGCGATGTCGGTTATTTCAATAATCGAGTACTCGAGCAAATTTTTGCTCGAATTATCCCATCACTACTTAAAATCATCTCTACCAGAGTAAACGTCTTTCAAAAGCAAATATCTCCAATAAAAATAAAGCAATTGAGATGAATCGAAAAACAAACTATCGAAAAAAGACGTACCTAGATGATAAAATAGTTTTTAAATTCCATGCCTTGTTAACATATTCCACAGGGTATTTCAAACTTTCATCAAAATATCAACATTTTGTTTTCCCTCGTATAATTGACAGATGGAAACATCCATTTTTAATTTAGTAAAAGATAATAAAAAGTTAAATAATCTAGCTACAAATTGCTTAAAAAATAATCAAAATCGGCCAATTAGTACAAAATACAGGGTGGTCCGAACTGTATTCCGGAAACTTCGGCAGCATATTCTGCAGATATAAATAAGTAAAAAAGTTCAAATATATGTCCAAAAATGCTTAGTTTCGGAGATACAGGGTGTAGAAATTTCATTTTTATTTCGATTTTTTCCAAATAATTTCTGAAGTAACGTCAATATTTGGATGAAAACTGGTTTCCGGGAGTTTTTTGACATGAGAAATTTGATTTTGACGTCAATATGACTCCTACTTGTATGAAGAATAATAACTTTTCGTCCGTACCTGTATAAAACTACTGAGTAAAAAATATACATTTACGACGTTTTTTACGTAAAAATGGTCTCTTGGTAAAAATCTCCACGAGCAATGGTTCTCGAGATATTTGGAATCGAAATTATCAATACCTGCCATCATTGACACAAATTAAACATAAAAAATATCTATACCTATGTGGCGGATTCATCTATTCAAAAAAATCCTTTATGGGTTTTTCGCCACTGAACTGCAAGAAGAATCTACAAAATAAAATAGTTATTTTTGGTAAACACTTGTGGCGTTAAACCTAAACGGACGCTGCTTGTCAGTTGTGTTTACAGTTATAAAAATTTGCCTAACAAAGAAAAAAATGCTTAACGTTTCGGAAAGTTTTTTCTTTCCGTCGTCGGAAGCAAAAAAATATAAAGAATCAAGAAAAAAACTATTTAAAATATTTAAATTGAACTATTCGAGAACACTTTACTTTTTAAAACAGATACGTCTACAAGAAACCGTTGACGTTCTGTTAAAATGACATTATATTAATGTATGAATCGGTGTTATTTGCAATCGGATTTAATATGTCTAGTAAAAATTTTGCTAACGATGGCATGGAGAATTTATACCTACTGACTATAGGTCTAAAAAGGTATACCCTGTTTATGTATTTTCGGTAAAACCGTATAAATGAGGTGGTTTACTGTAATGGGGTGTTAATAATGTTCGTTAATGTCTGTTAATATATGTATTTTGTATAAAGTTCTGTATATTTTCTTTCAATAGTTGGTGTTGGGTCTTGAAAGTTTTGTGTAACTACCGTAATTTATAAGATCTGTAATTTATTTATTATTTTTTTGTACTTTCAACAGAATGATTTCTTTGTAGACGTATCTGTTTTAAAAAGTAAAGTGTTCTCGAATAGTTCAATTTAAATATTTTAAATAGTTTTTTTCTGATTCTTTATATTTTTTTTGTTTTCCGACGACGGAAAGAGAAAACTTTCCGAAACGTTAAGCATTTTTCTTTGTTAGGCAAATTTTATAACTGCAAACACAACTTCGACAAGCAGTGTCCGTTTAGGTTTAACGCCGAAGTGTTTACTAAAATAACTATTTTATTTTGTAGATTTTCTTAGTGCAGTGGCGAAAAGCCCACAAAGGATTTTTTTGAATATAAATTAAACATGCCTTGACTAAATAGTTATTAGACTGAAATCACAAATTTAAAATGTTTTTGTAGCGTTCAACAGAGACTGTTTTATCAACATTTTGAAGAAACATTAATGAATAATTTAAAGAAATGGCTTCCAAATTTATCATTTCAGTCAAATAACTATCTACTGAATAGTTTATTTGTCAATAATGACATGTATTGCCTAGGTATTTCCATTCTAAAAATTTTGAGAATGTTGTCGTAGCGATTTTTATCAAGAAACATTTTCTATGTAAAAAATCATGGAAATATATTTTTTTCAATTGTGCAGTTTTATACAGGTGCGGACGAAAAGGTTACCTTCAAAACAGTTAAACACATGTAGGAGGTAATTCTACAAACAGGAGTCATATTAACCTCTAAAATCAAATTTATCTTGTCAAAAGACTCTAGACACCAATTTTCAACCAAATATTACTTCAAAAATTATTTGGAAGAAATCGAAATAAAATGAAACTTCCACACCCTGTATCTCCGAAACTAAGCATTTTAGGACATGTAGAATGTGATCGTTAGGAGGGGATTAATCACCGGCGACCTTATAGATCTATTGTGTGTTCCCTTTCTAAGTTATAACGAGTTATAACTCGTGTATCTGAGTTAGTCTCAGGGCTTTAAGAAAGCCAGTATCTGGAGACGGCTCCACAGTGGCCAGCTCTCCATCCTCGACATCAGACGTACCAAGGTTCATGACACGAATGGTCGTCGTCTGGCGCACCCAGATAAGGTGTTCTGGTGTTTCCCCATTTTCCCCACAAATCTGCATTCGCCGTTGTTTCGGGGTTTCAGCCTACTGAGGTGTTCTTCCGTTGAGGAGATGTCCGTTAGAAACCCCGTGACAATTCGAAGATTGTTTTTACTTAAATCAAGTTTTTGATTTTTCTCGGTCATAAGTTCTAAGGAACTTTTTCGAGTGTCTTAGACCGTTGGATACACCCATTCCAAGTTACGGATGAGTCTTCCGATTCTTCAGTTCCGCTTTCAGTTGGTTCTCGTTTGGAAAACAGAACGGTTCTGGTCCAGTTAGTGGAGTGTTCGCTCCTTTCTAGTAGATCATTTGCTTTTTCATTGCCTTCTATCCCTTGGTGAGCAGGCACCCAGAGTAGGAGGACTTTATTTTCTTTGCCTAATTTGTTGAGCTTCTCTAGGCATTCTTTGACCAACTTCGAATTGATGGTTACTGAGTTGATCGCGTTAAGTGCTGCTTGACTATCGGATAGGATGGCAATTTCCTGTTTTCGATAGTTCCTATCCAAGATAAATTGTACGCATCTTTCGATAGCGCAAATTTCTGCCTGAAGGATACTGGGGTAGGTGCCCATTGGTTCGGAGTATTCAGTTTTCGGCCCAAATACTCCTATCCCTGTCCCTGCTTTGGTTTTGGAAGCATCAGTATACCACGTGATGGTATGGTCTTTTATATGCTGAGTAAGCGTTTCTTTCTTCCAATCCTTTTTATTACTCAATACTACAGTGAGGTGTTTCTCAAAGTTGTAAATTCTTGGTATGTCATCCACTGGGAGTTGGAGAAGTGGAATTTTCTTTTTGAGGGTGTTCCAAGCCCCTGACCTGAAAATTCTCCCAGTACTGTTTCCGTCAATGACCATTCTAATCATTGTCGCATTGGCATAACTACCGACGACAATATGCAGTGGTGTTAGGTCTAGAATGACCTCCATTGCTGCTGTTGGACATGTTCTCATGGCACCTGTGATGCAGATACATGCCAGTCTCTGTACTTTGCACAGGGTTTGCCTTGCTGTACGTTGCTCTAGTTTTGTATACCAAGCAACTGCTCCATAAGTAATCATGGGTCTTACTATCATGGTATACATCCAGCGCAAAATGTTAGGGGCGCAGCCCCACCTATTTCCCGCCAGTCTTCTGCATATCATGAGAGCCTTTGTGGCTTTGCTGGTAATGTTCTTAATATGCCTGTTCCAGAGAAGTTTACTATCCAGGGTTATTCCCAGATATTTCACTTCCTGTGATGGCAGTATTTCCTTTCCATCTAGATGGATTCTTTTCAAGTTTTTCAAACTTCGCTTTCTGGTGAATGGCACTACTGCGGTTTTATCTGAGTTAATACTCAGCCCGACAGTCCTGCACCATCTCTCAGCGATGCGGAATCCTCTTTGGATAATATCACACAGGGTGCCTTCATGTTTCCCCTGTGCAATGATGACTATGTCATCTGCGTACCCTATGCAGTGTATTCCCGCTAGAGTTAATTCTTCCAGTAGTTCATCCACTACCAAGCTCCACAGTAGGGGGGAGGTCACTCCACCTTGTGGAGTTCCTTGCGTTGTTTTAACAACTACAGTTTTGGTACCTATCTCAGCCTCTGCTGTTCGTGTTGAGAGCATTTCCCAAAACCAGCGAATTATCGTACTGTTCGTTCACCCCTCTTGTTTCAAGAGATCGCTTAACCACCTTGTGAGGTATATTGTCAAAGGCCCCTGCAATGTCCAAGAAAAGCACAAAGTGCTGTTTCTTTGCTATCCAGGCTTGCCTGTATTAGCGCCCAGTTAACTGGTTAGCAGTTTCTCGTGATCTGCCCGCTCTATATGCTGCTGACTATCGTGCAGTGGTTTAACCTGTAGATGATTTACTCTAATATGGTTGTCCACTACTTTCTCCATCGTTTTTAATATGAACGATGTGAGACTAATAGGCCCAAATGATTTGGGGTTAGCCCAGTCAGTTTTGCCTATTTTGGGTATGAAGATGATTTTCGCTCTTCTCCAGATGGTTGGTATATATCCCATCGCTAAGCTGCTTCTTGTAATGTTTAATAGATGGAATGTAGCTATTTCCTGACCCTTCTTTAGAAGGGCAGGAAAAATCCCATCTATTCCTGCTCAAAGGATTCAGGCTCAAAGGATTTTAGGACATACATTTATACGAAGTTTTTTACTTATTTTTATCTGCAGAATATGCTGCCGAAGTTTCCGGAATACATTTCGGACCATCCTGTAAACTTTAAATAACATCAAAATGGTATTTAGGTTCCCGTTTTTCGTGCCGGTGAGTGTATTTTATAATTTGTTTAATTATTTTCAGATGACACATATGCCAAGGAATATAATACAAAGCCTGAGACTGATTTTCATAATATATTCAGAAGAGATGAGTCGGCCTTATATGTTGAACTCCTTGCCATAAAGTTACGAAAGTTGGACGATCGTTTGCAACGCATAGCTATGCACAAAATAGACACTATAATGTTTGATCTTATTTCTGACTCCTCACAGTCACCCAATTCTGTCATCTTCAAAGTCATCCAATCAGATATGCCTTCTCTTAGATTTTTTCTGCTCATCAAACCCCACAGCTGCGGTTTGATGTTACAGCCGCAACTGAGGCATTTCCAGCTCCTACTAAACCTGTGAATGCCCCATTTGACCTGGTTCCGACTGACCAGCGCTACAGACAACACAAAGCGGTTTACTGAAACCATCGGAGCGTCGTAAACAACTAGTACATATGTTACAGTGAAAGTCTGAAATTAAAACAGCAACATTCACTAGGAAATGCTAGCCATTACGTATTGGGCCAGTGAATGTGTTATTTTAAAAAGATTTGTCGACTTTCCTAGTAATTTCCAACATTCACATTTACTAAATGTTACCAGTATTGTATTGTACAGGGCTAGTGTGGCAAGGAAAAATGTTGGTGGAAGTTAGAACAAATACAACTTTTAAAAATATTGGATCACCTCAATATTCAAGCTGATCCACATATCTTAAAATCACAATTTACTTCTTTAGTATATTTATTAAAAATTATAGAAAATAACGACATAACATTCTAAATATTATAAAGGAAAACATAGTAATCAATTTAAAAAAAAAAACATTCATAAACATAAGATTACTTATTGGTACAAGGTTTAACAAAAGTTCTTTCATCATAGATAAAGATATGCCCGAATTTTCTTCAACCGGAGTTGAATTCGTTTTTTTCAAACCCGCTACTTCAAGCATATCAAAACGTTTAATAAGTTCATAGTCACTAGCTTCCTTAATATATTTTTCTCTTGCACGCTTAACTTTTGCTATGACTTTCAGTGGTGACGCTAGAACTTTTTTTTTGGGGGGGGGAGGACAAGCAATTTTCCCATCTTCCTACTTTTTTTTAAAGGCCATAATACATGTAATAATGTATCGTGATATAAAATATAACTGCAACCTGCACATTAAACGGGGAACTCCAGTTCAGCAGAACGCGTTGATATAATAAAAAAACACAAAAGTGTGGCGTGTGCCTGTGGCCTTACTTTGAGCGTCATATGAAAGTAATTTCTATCTCTTTTTAATGACGTACAATAATAAGATAATCCCCCCTATCACCCCCTCATAGCTCCACCACTGATGACTTCATTATATTGCAAAATAAAAAACAAGCACTATTACATTTTCGCGAGTAGGTATCTAGTTTAACTTAATTTTGCACAGAAAATTTCTTCCATAGGGAAAATACCGCACAGCACTTTTTACAACGCTAACAAAAAAATTATACATAACCACAAAGCGACAGATATCTGTCAACGTTGCAAACGTTTAGCCCAATTTATGTTGTTATCCATATTACCTATTATTCAACTTATCCTTATTTATCCATATATTTTCCAATATGTGACCGCGCTAACTGAATCTTTCAAACTCACTGCTATCGTCCAGGGAATGCTAGCTAGCATTCGCTAGTAAAAGTTGGTTTCAAAAATAGCTGTTGAACTTTTACTGGCGTATTATTAGCAAATCAGTAAATGTGAGAGCTTTTACTAGTAATTGTTAACAATAACTGATTTCCAACTTTTACTGTAACATATACAAATACACGGGATTAAATAGCGAGTATACAAAAAAAATATGATTTAATTATTCTAAAAGTGTTAAGAACTGTAAAAATTCTAAAAATAAAAATAAAAAAATAAATATTTTGATATCTTCAGATGGTCTGACTTGTATTATATTTTATTATTGAAGCTAATAAAACTTTTTAGATGTGTTCAACTATGGTAGCGAGCATAGTTTTACGCACAGGTTTTGCTAGTGGGGACATAACTTGAGCTATTTCGGCTACAACGAAATTTTTTGAAGGTAAATAATTATAATTTTAGAAGATATTCTAAAAACTTTAGGCACTTACTATACACCTCTTTCCTTTTGGACGCTCCTGGATAAAATAGCTGATTAGAATTATAACTTTTTACTTTTGCTATCAATAAAGACATTCTGTTGGCATTTTCGTTTTATTTTTTTATTTACTCACCAACATAAAGAGCTCAGAGAACACAATATTTTAACTTTGTCCCCCAGACCATTTCCGTACCCCAGAAGCAAACTATGTTAAGTCACAAAACACAGTTTCGAGAAAAACGGATTTAAAGTTCTTTTTTGAAGATATTTCCTAATAGTACGAGAGCTAACAACGTCGGAAAAACAAGTATTTTAAGACGTCTGGCTCTTTGATATATTTTTTACTATGCTCTCTAGAACAGCATGCGGCCCGTCTGGCTGCCGGTAAACGTTGCGTTCCCTACTGCGCATTGAAAGAAGAACCTATATTTTTATTAGTCCTTTAAATTCTAGTATTGAATATAAATCGAACATGTTTCCATAGCGCAGTGCGTAGAGTATGTATATAAATAAAAAAGTCTTTGTCCTGACCCGGATTCGAACTCTGAATCCTCGTAGTCAGAAACTCTACGCACTGCGCTATGGAGACATATTCGATTTATATTCAATACTAGAATTTATAGGACTAAATTAAAAAAATATATAGGATCTTCTTCCGATGCGCAGTAGTGAACGCAACGTGTATCGGCAGCCGAACGGCCTGCACGCTGTTCCAGAGAGCATAATAAAAGATATATCAAAGAGCCAGACGTCTTAAAAATACTTTCTCGAAAACGTTGCTAGCTCTTAGAGTATAATTACTCGGTTATTTAAAAAAAATGATTGCAATATTTGGTATATGACTATAGTCCATCTATAGTCAGTGATAGATGTGTCTGTCATTTTATTTTCAAAGTACATATAGTTTATGTGTTGATAATTGAAATGGATGTGTTGGAATAATTGAAAAGCATAGCAGAAAATTAATATATTATACAGGGTGGTCCGAACTGTATTCCGGAAAACTTCAGCAGCATATTCTGCAGATAAAAAATAAGTAAAAAGTTTTAAAATGTATGTCCTAAATGCTTAGTTTCGAAGATACAGGGTGTAGAAGTTTCATTTTTATTTCGATTTTTTCCAAATAATTTCTGAAGTAACATCAATATTTGGATGAAATTTGGTGTCTGGGAGTTTTTTGATATGAGAAATTCGATTTTGATGTCAATATGGCTCCTACTTGTAGAGGGCGCCACCTACATATTTTTAATTGGTTTGAAGAGTAATAACTTTTCGTCCGTACCTGTATAAAACTACTAAGTAAAAAAATATACATTTACGACGTTTTTAACGTAAAAAAGACCTCTTAATATAGATCGCTACGAGTAATAGTTCTCGAGATATTTGCAATCGAAATTATCAATACCTGTCATCATTGACATAAATTAAACATGTTGACTAAATAGTTAGTAGACGGAAATCATAAATTTGAAATGTTTTTGGGCCAAATCATCACCAATCATCATTTTTTCGAAGAAAATTTTATGATTAATTTAATAAAATAAAAATTTTCCAAATTTATTTTTTTAGTCCAATAACTATCTACTCAACATGTTTATTTTTTGTCAATAATGACATGTATTGACAATTCCCATTCTAAATATCTCGAGACATTTTTTAAGTGAAAAATTACGAAAATGTATATTTTTTAACTCAGCAGTTCTATATAGGTACGAACAAAAAGTTATTACTCTCTTCAAAACAGTTAAATCACATGTAGGTGGCGCTCTCTACAAATAGGAGTCATAATGACATCAAAATCAAATTTCTCATGTCAAAAAAACTATTAGAAACCAATTTTCATCTAAATATTGACGTTACTTCAGAAATTATTTGGAAAAAATCGAAATAAAAATGAAACTTCTACACCCTGTATCTCCGAAACTAAGCATTTTAGGACATACATTTATAAGAAGTTGTTTACTTCTTTTTATCTGCAGAATATGCTCCCGAAGTTTCCGGAATACAATTCGGACCACCCTGTATATAAAATTTGAGTGACAAGTGATTACCTACTTCAAAATATTGTGAAAAAAAATTGTATAAAATTGAAAAAATCTAATGGAGTTATTTTATTAAAAACAATTACAGTATGTGTTAATACAAAACCAGCAAGGGTGTATTTTAAAAAAAACACCACATACCAAAGAAAGATATAAAAAAGATTTCCTGCTTTCAAGCCATGTTTCAGGCTCAATCAACTTCCTGCATTTATTGACAAATTTATCAATATGATTATTATCATGGCTGGGAAACTTAAATGGAAATGACAGTTCATTAAAAATAGTTTTTCCTCCAAGATGCAGAGGCGCAAAATATTAAAACTGTCAATATTAACAATGCAAATGTCAATATCTGACAATAATAAAATTTGATTTTTAACTGTCACTCAGAGAAGCTTTTGTTGTGATTTTACGGTTTGATTTCGTTTTGATTTGTCGAATTATTGTAAAATTAAATTCCTTCAGATTTTTTGCCAGTATTCTGTTTTAGACAATGTTTTTTAAAAATGGTGGGACAATTTGTGTTTTGTAATAACTTTTAATTATTTTTTATCATGGAGTTTAATTGTTGTACTCCTGGTTTCCGAAGGATACAATGGTAAGTAAATTAAACATATCTACTTACAGTTATAGATTTTTTAAATTAGTACTGCTAATAAATGCTACTTGCAGAGCAGTTATTTAAATTTTTTTACGGTGCATGTAAGGAATTAAGGACGCGCGTTTTATATTAGCATGATCAGCAGATGATTACATCTGATTTAATTTGTTTTTATTATTTCAGGTCCCAAACAGAAACAAACTGGGAATCTTGCCTACACCAAAATTATATACCTAGCCGTTTCCAATTCACTTCAAAGGGAGGAAAATTATGTAAAACTGCCTGCTATTTGCTGAAAACCGCCAAAGATTAAGTTATAACTGTAACAACTTAATATACTATTTCTAGTATTTTTAATATATTTTTTAATTAATATCCGACATATAAGAACACTTTGTGTGCTTTTAATTCAGTTGATTTATCGTTTATAATATGTTCGACCTAATTAAAAGCACACAAAGTGTTCTTACATGTATGTCTAAATTTATTTTAAATTAACTAAAACAACCCGCCTTCCCCGCACCCCTCTCTTACAATAGTATTTCTTCCTCCATCTACCAGAGGCGCCCTTGTATAATAAAATTGAAATGTATTATAAGTTGCCTATCTATTTAATAGTATAAGTCTTTTATCTATGATTATTATTTACCTATCATGTGCTACTATTTTACAGATAGATTGGCCATAATCTCTGGCAAACTGTCTCTGAGTACCGAATATTAACTGCTCGATTAACTGTAAACTATGGTCTGGGTCAACACTTAATTTCCCCTTTGAGTTTTCCTCCACTTAATTTTAAAAAACACAAAACACACGCAATAACAGAGTCCAAAATGCAAAATGCCAAATATTTATCTATTTGACATAATTTGACACAAAATTATAACCTATAATTTGGCAAGAGTTTGACAACTCTCAGAAATTTTAAGTCGAGTTCATACGCATCGGCGTCCGTTTGTTGTTCATCGTGCCGTTAAATCAATAATATTGACATATGATCTGTCATTTTTGAAATAAACCAATAAAACTTGTTAAAAACAACAAGAGATGACGCATGACGGATTTATATATAAACCCATCCATAGTTAACTTAAAAAATATTAGAAACTTTTTTTAGCTAAATAAATGGATTGGTATGGACGTCATTTGCTTTTTTTCTGCCATCGTTTGTCGAAATATTACCTGAGAAAAAAACAGAGTATAACTTATTTTCAACTTAAATGAAATATAAAACGGTTTTTAAATAAATTATACCAACATATTTTGGAGTGACTTAAAGACAATATATATTTAAATAAATTATACTAACATTTTTTGGAGTGACTTAAATATGCCATGCCAATTTTGGATTTAACAGTTTGCTTCTAGGGTACAGAAATCTTTGGTACAGATTTTGATGTGTGTATTACTGGTCAAAAATTCAGACGTATTGACAAGGTAGGACTGGGCTAGAGGGATCCGGGTGGAATTATTGTTTTCGCCTTACGTTTTGGTCAATTGTTCCCTATATTGATTTGTTGTTAGTGTTTGAAATCAGGAAACTACCCGTAATGCAATGCAAATGTAAATATTGTTAATCAAAAAAAAGTTTTGGGAATAACCTCAGTATATTACCGTAATTTTTTTCCATTTCTCTCCCTGCCGTAGAATGTAGAATGAGTAAGGGGGGGGGGGTTAATCACTGTGACCTTAAAGATCTATTGTGCCCCCCTTCCTTGAGTAATCACACAGTCTATAACCCATCATACCCCTGTTGTAAAGGGGACAGGGTATTTCCCATCCTCCTCTGACAACAGTGCTTTCTCCGAGGGTACACACCCTTCCACGGTTGGAGTTTGGCCCTCCGTGCCGCCCTTTACAGTCGAGGAACTTGCCTCCGGCTGAGGAACCCGTGAACTGGAGGCTGGAGGATCTGTCTCCATTTTCTCCACCTCTTTAACTTGGTCTCTCCTTAGACCTGATACCGGTGTTGTCCGTATCTATAATAGAGGATATGTCCCTCTTTCAATTCCTATTGTGAGGACCTGACCATGACCCTCCTCCCTCGAGTTGGTGACTCGCTAACTCGGTGTCCTTACATTGAAGTTCTGACCCTGGATAAGGCTCAGCAGGTAGGTGGTGTCTTTCCCCTTGAGATGTTTTCTCCCTTCACTGCAACCAGTTCCGGCCCTTGCCAATTTTTAAGCTATTTCCACCAACCAATTCGCCGATTCTTGAGATACACAATCTATGAGGATCATGCCCACCCGAAAGTGTATCCCCGCAAAACGCAGATGACCCACATTTTGTAGATTGTTGTGTTGCGATCCGATACTACTTCGTCCAGTATAGCCTCTTCTAGAGACGTTTGCTGGTCGGTGGTCAGAGCAATCTCTGGGAAATCCTTTGGCAGCACCGCCATTTTCACTTGTCCAGCAATAGCGGCAAGGCTGGTGAAACGCTTGCCTCCCGGTGTTGGACGGCTTTCCATCCTGGCTTTTTGCTCTCCCTGCCGGAGAAGAGGTGAGAGGTTCTCGCTCCCTCTCTTGCCCTTTGATGGAGATGAGTCAGGTTGTTTCTTGGTTTCTTTACTCTCCCCTTTTTGGAGGAGCGTTTTCGCTTTTGCTTCCTCTGCAGCAAGTCCTTCGTGGATCAGTCGGAGGTATCTCCGTGCTTCTGTTCCGCTAAGACCTACTCTCAGAGGATCGTCTAGCCCGCCTGGTTGACCCAGGCCGGGTAGGCGAAACGGTAGCTTGTGTCACTTATTGGGTCTAGGGGTAGGCTCCCGACCCGTGCTGGAGAAGGTGGTAGCTTGTGTGCCACTTGTGGAGGATGATCCCAAGCAAGTGTCAGCCGCTCCTCTTGTAGTTTTCCTTGGATTTGGTCCCTTGGAACTTTCATTTGTAATGTTCCCAGTGTCGCTAGGGAGCTTCCCCACAGCTTCACCGGTGGTGTTTTTAATGCTAGATCTCATAGTGCTCCCACGAGTCGCTAGGATAGTCGGTCCACTTCTACAGAGCCCCGCATGTAGAAGTAAGGGGTAAATACAATGGGGTGCCCCCTGATGCCCTAAGGTTGAGGCCAGTATCAGACCAGTATATAGCCACGCATCCCTTTGACCTGGTCCCGCCATCGTAGGATTTAGGTTTTTGGTGAGGTTGTCTGCTCTTTGTCCAGGCGGTTAAGCCAAGACCCCCACACCCTCTACCCGCGACACATGACCACAGTCAGTAGAGGGTGCCTGGCATGACGGACAGGGGTAGCCTCGTCCGGCATCGTTATAATATGTCTGGGTGCAATTCCCTGGCCACGACACTACAGCCAGGGACAAGACGATAAGTGAGATGCTTGTTAGACCAAGCCAGGTGCTAGGGGGATTCCCCCCAGCACCTGACCAGGAGCTTCCCCACCAACGACAAGGTCTTGCATCTCCTAGGGGAAGTTTTTTCCATTTCTACACTGAAAAAAACATAAAAAAAAGAAAAAAAAAGACTACAACATTGCACCACAGATTGTACTTAGATTTTTGTAAACATATGACACACAGTTGTTATATTAGCTATCCCATACAGCACGTCCAAATGAAATTACGTTTCTACAAAGGAGACACATGAGAAACAAAACATGTTAAAGTGAACCTAAGTGTTCATCTAGTTCTAACATATGAGATACACGCAGGTTTATATTGATAGAATTGTGTGATACAGTGTTTACTAGTTGTATACCGTATGCACTCAAGATTCTAAAGAGTTTTTTGTAACGTAACAAATAATTATTAAAATGATGAAATCTGACGTCGGTATATGAGACATACAATGTATAAGTCATATGTATATGTGATACTTCGTATCATAGTTGTGCCTATAGTACACACCTTGTAAAAATGTTACGTGTACATATAATATAAATATCTATATAGACACTTTGTAATAGTGTACTGTTGTGTCTACATTCTAGCATGAAATGAAGGTGTGCGCACGCGCGGATAGCCTCAGCGTAGACACACCGACCATTTGCCGACCAAGTGTATCTTATGTGTCCTTCTCCTTTCTCCTTTCTAGGAGTGGTATGTGTTAGCAGCCATTATTGTTTTATCATTCGGAAGCTCTATACGAGTATAAATGTTCTGTTTGTGTGTAGTTTAAAAGAGATTTTAAGGTAAGCACAAGTTTTTAATTACCTTGTTACACTTTCCTAAGAGTATTATTAATATTATAGCAGCCACTCTTCCCTTACTCGATACCAAGTTTACCAAATTTTGACTCCAATGAATGAAAGCTCCAGATATTCTCGTATAATGATAAAGATGTTATCTCTGCAATATAATTTTTTTTAATTTGGAAATAATAAAAATATAAATGGACCAGAGAAAGAAAGATTTAAACACTTCAAAGAATACACTGATATTCGGTAAGTTATTGATGGATCAATATACAGATATGTTTAATATTCAATAATCAGTTTCATATAAAATTTAAGGGTGAGATTGTTAATCTGGAAATAAAATGCAACAAAGTCCAACAGAGTGCTCGATGAATAACTATGCTAACAAACCAACTGCTTGGAGGGAAAAGAGGAGAAAAAAATGACTAAACGAGGTCCACCAAATCGTGGCGATATACCAGTGTTTACCATTTTAGTATGTTGTTATACTAGGTACTTATATTTTTAATACATTTTGATACAAATTCTGTTCTTTTACAGTGTTTTCTTACTTCTGGTTTCTGCAGTGTAAATAATTATTATTATTGTGTTATTTGCGCTATTGCGTTTCATGATATAAAGAAATATAAGAATTTTATTTTTTAACCACTTAATCCATTTTATGGAAGAAAAATGGTACATTTAATACGTATCGAGATACTTTTGAAAAATACAAAGTTTTGCCTTCCTAATTTTCGTTCTAAAATTGTGATAGAAATAAAAGTTACAACGTGACGCCTAGTACTATTTTAGACGCAAAATGCGGCAGTAGTTTCTACAATTGTGGCGTTTATTACAATTTATTTTTCCGTGTATTTAAGAATAAATAATGAACTATTTTACATGTAGGTCCTAAGACAGGGGGCCCGCGAAGGCTGGGGCCCGGGTCGCCACCCTGACTATATGACCAGTCCGACCCTGCGTATTGAGCAAATTTTTATTTTTTAATTGTCAAAAAAAATCCTATTACATTAATACTCCCTCGGTATAAAATGTTTAATATATATAAAATGCATTTCCGCCAAATAATACACCTGGCATATATTTTTTTAATCGATTTATTATTGCTCCAATCCATCCGTTTCAAAGTTCCGGCGTTAAAAAAGCAATAAATCCTTTTCGTTTAATTAAAATAAATTTGATTGTTTCCTTTTTTTATATATATTCTACTAAAATACATAAAAATCATACCAAACTTAAAATTGGTCCCATTATTAGTGTGAACATATAAAACATATAAAGATGAAGGACTACGCGAACATTCTTTTGGCATGTGTTCTGGTATTAGCCCTTGCCAACATCAGCAGAGCAGCTGATGATGGTAACGTATTTTTTTTGATTCTGACAAATTTATTGTTTGTTATTATGTTAGTTATTATTAGGTATTAAATATTTATTTGATTTTGTAAGACGGAAAATTTACTAAAGTTGCGAAACTTAATTTAAGTTTAATTCAGAGTTTAACTAATGACATGACTAACTAACTTTATGACAAATATATAGATATTTTCTTCTAAAATATATTTGTAATACTTAATCTAATTTCTTTTGAATATTAGATTAAGTATTACAATTACACAATTATGATAGGGTTGAAGATCGAAGATTAAAACTAAAAAAAAACAACCTAAACTTAACCTAATAACTGGTCCTAAATAAAAAATAAAGGTCAGGATAATAAGTTTTATTTTTTTTTAAATATTTGGAGTTTTGGACTATCAAAGAATGTTGAGTAAAAAATTAAAAATTCTTTAAATATTTTATAAAATTATGGGATTTCATCTTCCGTATGTTCATATAGAAAAATCAATAAAAGTTGTAGTTCCCGTCATCAAAATATTTGACGCATGCACGTTGCAATGTTGTTGCCACGGCTGCTTTTTGTACTTTGACTTTTGACATTATAGGTACTTGTAAGCCAATGACTAAAAAATATTAGGACGTGTAACGCCCATATACGGACTGAAACAGAATTTGTGACGTTAGACGCCATTTTTTTTTGAAAGTAACGAATGAGTCATCAGCTGGCGATCAGTGACTATTTTAGCGGTTTTTGTACACGTCTCTACAGATTTAAATCTATTTTTTACCGTAGGGTGGTGCCCCAAAAAGTTTGAAAGTTGATTATTATTGGTTTTTACTGTATAAACAACATTTCAATTCGTGCTTTATGGTGTTTTTCGATTTTGATAGTGAGTGTGACAGGTGATCAACATAAAAAATATTAATAATTTTCTTAAGTTTTTTTTTGAAATTATTTTATATTATGTTACGTTTATCTCTATTCGGTTCGCTCTATTTTTTTTAAATGAATCAATTTTTTTTAATTTTTCAAACTTGAATAACTCGGTTATTATAGACTTTTTTGAAAAACGGTAAGAGAAAATATGATTATTTTACCGAAATCTACCAGCCCTGAACATATTTGTACTTATTTAAGACCGACCCTGTATAGTTTTGGTCCAAGATAGCAGTAGCTAAATGTTGTGTATATGTTAGGCAATGGGCTCTTTCACTATTTTTTGGAATTAGCATAATTGAATAAAGCAATTAATTCTAGAATTTTCTGCTATCTCACTTTCGAAAAATTTGAAGTCGTTCTTAAGAAAATAAATAAAAACAAAAAAGCCCAGAATAAAAATCGGCACTTTATTTTTAATACGTCACACCTGGTATGTTGAAAAGCGACATCACGGCCGGGCCACCATGCTGACCCACCACCACCTCCACACAAGGCCATTCAACCTTTTCCAATATGGCGGAGATAGAAGTGCTTTATTTGGCGCGTATTTTAAAACCTGTTTTATTTCCAAATAGACATTTTTCACACAAATGTCGGGTTAGATTATGTAATATTTCACTAATTTTTTAATATACAGGGAGTCTAAAGCTCTCCACATAAGTATGGAATTTTTAGTATTATTACTTTTATGAAAACATCAGTTAGTTACTTTTTACTTTGTTAAAAAGGTCTGCTTTCTCAGAAAATAGGTAGGTAGTGTTAAAATATTCAAACTTGAGGTAGCATATATAAGGTGTTCAAAATCATCGGAAAAAGAAATAACCAGAAATATATGACAGAAAATATCAATATAAACTAAATATTCAATTGCAAACACTTACCTACCATAGTTCACAATTTACTGCACGTTTGATAAATATATACTATTATAGACAGTATAGGAAGTTACTTGTCTTAGTAAAAGCCTTGGTAAATGCTCTTGGAATTATAAACTACACTGGCTTGGGTCAAAAATTATGGAATATTTTCCCTATGTTTTGCAGCATTACACAAATGGGAATAAATTTAAACTATAATATAGGTGAGGATAATTAAAAAATATAATGTGTTTCAAGATTTTATATATAAAAAAAACTAAATACCTTTTTGGGGGTTCGTCAGTAAAACTTACGCTTAGTTTAGTTTTCTTTACTCTTTCTCTTTACATAGGGCATTGTCTTTGTGGTAAAGACGTCATTCCTTTTTTGCATAGTTCTTCAATAAAATATTGGATATTCTGAACAAGATGGATTTAATAACAAATTCTGACGTATGTGAGGGGCAATTGTGACCTAAAAAAAGACTTACATCCAGGCCATTTATATTTTCAAATGTTGTCAATATCTTTCTGTAATCTTTTTGATGTAAAAAGCTTGATTATTCTTCCAATATTTTACTTATAGTGAGGTAAGTGTAAGCAGTAGCCATAACTACATCCTCACTAGGGTAACAGAGGCTTTGGGGCCTTTGGCCTTTTTGAGGCATATTTAATGCACTTCTTACCCGAGAACTACTAGTAGGAGTGAAATTATCTCTTTTAATAGCTGTCAACCATTTTTTACGAAGCTCGTCATTTTTGGGGAATATAAAAGCAGAAAAAGAAAAACCAGAGCATGTAAAAGGTATGCTACAATAAAATGTTAATACCTATTCTTTAATACCTATCTTTTGATTATTGTAAGTAACCATTATAAAGTACTATCCAGACTGGCGGTGAAGGCTTTTTACTCATTTAGGTGTAATATCTTGATAAATACTTCTAGTTCTTACCTTAAAATAATTAATAATAGAGGAGTACGACAAGCACACAAGTTTGAAGTTCCCTATGTAGAATGTCTGGTTTGGATTTTTATTACACTTTTATTTTATCACAATTTTCTGATCACACCATACACTGAACACTAAGAACTAAACAAACGTGTTGCAGAAGCACAACAAACTAGAGATAATTAATTATTTCTGGTATGCAATCGGAACGAGAATTTATATTAATGCGCTGCCATATTTGCTTTGCCCATATCATGTTGATTGGCCTTGAGTTGAGGTGGTGCTGGTCAAATCAAATCGCAATGCTGCCAGTTGTTGGCTGGCGCACGAGCACGGTTCTGCAATGTGATTGACGTATCCATACGTCATCAATTGGCACTTTAAAATTATTTCAAATTAAAGCAATTTTGAGGGCCTATAAAAAAATTATTCAATGTCATGGAAGTATTTTTTTTGGATAAATATATTGAAAATAGTCTTCTATTTCAGATTTTGTCCTTGAATTGAGTATTTTTTTTGTGTAAGAGCCCATTGTGCATGGCTCTTTAGAGTCTTTGTCTCATAGAGATAATGACTGAGAGATAATTTTGTTCTGAATATAAATTGTGTACTAAGTAAATCAAAGCAAATACCAAAATGCTACATACTTACTAGTAAATCACCACTACAAAATTCCTTATAGAAGGTGTTCCAAAAAATATGTGCCGTCTCTCGTGGTCATAAGTCCGATTCTGCTTTGTTTTGTAGCTACAAAGGGCTAAATTCTTAATTTTTTTCCGATTTATTATAATTTTCTTCCCAAATGCTTTTAGAGATTCGAATAAAATTTCGGGGTTAAGCTGACACACTGACTTTTTTCTCTTGTTAGGTTAGGTTAGGAGTCTCTTGTTAGCACAGTTGTGTAGGTCTTTTAATGCCAATTGAACTTGTCTCTTGATGTTTTGTTGATTTCGGTCTCCTTGGCGAGATAAACACAATTTTATTAATTTACGTTAATCCAAGTTTAATAGCAACCTTTAACATTTTTAATGTCCTTAAGTGACCAAAGTGTTAATAGTGTAAGTGCCCATTGATTCCTCAACAAAAAATATGAAAAAAAGTTCCTATAAACATAATGTGGAAATGCATAGTTTTAAAGTTACAAGTTACAACTTTAAGGAAATAGGTCTTTTCGAATTTTTAAAAAAATTTTAATTCTCTGTTAACATAGTATTATTCTGCTATGTTATGAAGCAATTGAGAATAAACCCGTATTTATGCCAGAACATTGTGTTTTTTTTAATTTTATTTGAAATGTCCCTTATACAAGGTGTCCCAGAAATAAGTGCAGACATTTTAACTGGTAGTATATTTCGGCTCCAGAAACACGCCTATGAGTTTTTTTGCGAAAAAGAATTGTTGAAAATTTTATATTTTTCTTGACATTTTCCGGAAAATTGAGCGGTTCTCAAAATGTTGCCATTGTTTTTAAAAATTTTCGAATTTTTTAAATAACTTTAAAAAACATTATTTTCAATTTTTTTTAAAATGGTAATGTTTTTTTTACTAGATGTACCCTACCTTAAAATATCTGCACTTATTTCTGGGACACCCTGTATAGAAATTTGTATTTTTTCTAAATACCTTTTTATAGGCTTACTAATTAGAAAATGATATCTTCTAAATAGTGAAAATAAATATAATGTTAAATATTTTTCAGAAGCTCATAGCAATATCGGATCATATGCTTTATACAGGGTGTTCTATTTGAGAAAACATAAGTTTAGTTCATATCTTTAAAGCATCTTTTTCTTAGATAAACAGACTACGCCACCGTATTCTACGTAAAAAGTTACAGTACAAGAAACAGATACCAGGGGTGTCCCAAATTGCAAAGTTTTTAAAAAGACCCTGTAGCTCAGAAATGAAAAGGGCTATAAAAATTTCGTTGGCACCATCTTCCCTGTGACAAAAAAATGGTGATAGGTTGGTGCAAAGCCTCATCCTTACTAATAACGGAGATAAACTTATAGTTTCATATTATATTCTTTAATTATCCATCTAAAAATAAAATATTTATATACCTAATATAATACTTTAGTATCCAACAAGTGGCTATGAAAATCAAAATAAATATAAATCCATGTCCAAAAATAAAAAATGTAAATAACGCTTTGAGGTATAAATTCGGTTCGAATCAGATAAGATTTTTTATTCTTTACCGAGAATTAAATTCGAAGAATTCCTAGTCCCTACTTCTTTGCCAAATTCAATAGTCTCCGCCCCTTTTTACGTTTTAATTTCTGCCACCAGTTGGCAGCATCGACTTATACAGGCTCATTGACTAACTATTAATATATAAACAAGGGTAGTACTTAAATTATTGCCGGAGCGTCTAATCAACGTTTTCATTCCTAGAAGACTGGCAGAGTACGTTTTTTTCGATAAAAAGTATTAAACTAACTTCCTGTTGTTGTAACAATTAACAGAAAATACACTGGTCTTCGTACAACGAAAATGTGTTTGATTTTTGTTTTATCCTTACTGTTAAGTTATCCATAAATGTCTTCAGGTTTGTTTATACAGGGTGGTCCGAACTGTATTCCGGAAACTTTGGCAGCATATTTTGCAGATTAAAATAAGTAAAAAAGTTCGTATAAATGAATGTCCTGAAATGCTCAGTGTCGGATATACAGGGTGTAGAATTTTCATTTTTATTTCGATTTTTTCCTAATAATTTCTGAAGTAACATCAATATTTGGATGAAAATTGGTGTCTGGGAGTTTTTTAACATGAAAAATTTGATTTTCATGTCAATATGACCCCTATTTGTAGACGATGTCACCTACATATTTCTTAACTGGTTTGAAAAGTAATAAATTTTCGTCCATGCCTGTATAAAACTACTTAGTAAAAACATATACATTTACCACTTTTTTTTACGTAAAAAAGGTCTCTTGATAAAAATCGCTACGAGTAATGGTTCTCGAGATATTTGGAATTATATTATTTAATTATATTATACAGGGTTGTTCACCACATACGACAAGAAGTATTGTAGCTAAACGATTAGATTTTTACAAATTGTAAGTTTTGGGTTCGTTAAAGGACTATTAGAGCTACAATTTAAAAATATTTTTGCAAGATACAGATTGTCGCAAATAAGTAAAAAATCGAGTAAAAAATATTATAGGTGTATTTTTTAAATGGAACACCCTGTATATTATTCTATTTTTAGATTCTACGATTGAAGTAAAGGTAAATTTAATTAAGGTTTATTACACTTAAACCTTTTACCGTTTTTGAAATGTTTTCAATTTTATGAAATTGCAGTAAAAATTTTAAGGTTCCATTTCTCCAAGGGTATCAAAGTTTTTAATATTAAATATTTACTGAAGATTACTTATTGATCAGATATTGTCTTGCAATAACAAAAATTTTACAACCTTATACAGAGTGTCCAAAAATTTATATTAAATAATTACTAGCTTTAAACGACAATAACTTGTTTAATTTAAATGGAACATCCTGTATATTTTACGTGAATCAGATGTACAATTTAATTGTCTATCAAGTTGTATTTTTGTATACCATTTTTACCTATCTCTTCAAGTTTTCGTAGAAAATGCATTTTCTTATAATTAAGACTTTATTTATCACTATACCAATTGAATATTGATATTTCAGATTTTTTTGGAGCAACCTATATATACAAAATATACAGGTGGTAAATTAACAATATTGCAAGCCTATTTGTTTACAAAAAAACTATTTAAATCTTAAAATCGTAAAAGAGTATACCAATTAAATATACCACCATTATTTCCGACCAAAAATTAGTTAATTATATTCTTAATTGTTTTAATTAATAAATTATTCTAAAAAATTTGACTCAGAAATCAATATAATAATAAGTTATGAAAATGAACGTCTCTGTTGTTATAAATAAGCATTCTTCAAAAAATGAAATAAAATTTATAAGGTGTTACTTTTTACCACAGTGTTTAATACACATACAAAATTCAGTTTTTTAATATTTGCAGCAATTATTATTAATCAACGTAAACAGCCAATTGTAGTTTGAATAATACTGGGATCATATTAACTGGTTCTCTGTAACAAAAAATATTTAATCAGTTTTTTTTTATTTTATAATGAAATAAAAAAATTATATCGACAATATTAGTATCTGTACTCTCTGAAAAATTGTTACATCTTTAAAAATAATCTAAAATGTCACTATTCCATGGGTATAGTGATAAATGTGGACTAAATTATTAGAAAATGCATTTTCTACGAAAAATTGAAGAGATGTGTAGAAAATGGTATAATACAATTTGATAGACAATTAAATTGTGCATCTGATTCACGTAAAATATACAAGGTGTTCTATTTAAATTACACAAGTTATTGCCGTTTAAAGCTAGTAATTATTTAATATAAATTTTTGGACACTCTGTATAAGGTAGTTAAATTTTTATTATTGCAACACAATATCTGATCAATAAATAATCTTCAGTAAATATTTGGTATTAAAAACTTTGATACCCTTGGAGAAATGGAGCCTTAAAATTTTTACTGTTATTTCATAAAATTGAAAATATTTCAAAAACGGTAACGTTTAAGTGTGATAAACCTTAATCAAATTTACCTTTATTTCAATCATAGAAACTAAAAATGTAATAATATATAGGGTGTTCCATTTAAAAAAATACAACTTTGATATTTTTTACTGATTTGGAACACTCTGTATCTTTTTAAATTGTAACTCTCATCTCATCAGTCTTTCAACGAACCCAAAACTTACAATTTGAAAAAACTCTAATTGTTTAGCTACAATACTCCGTGTCGTATGTGGTGAACAATTCTGTATATTCACCCACTGGGAAAAATAATTACAAAAAAATCTACTGGACTATGAGTTAACTTTATGGCTAGTTAATGATATATAAGTATTTAAAGGTTGCTATTAGTCTTGGATTAAGGCAAATTAATAAAATTGGATTTATCTTTTGAAAGAGACTGAAATGGAACAAATTAATGATTGCCACAGAACAAAAATACTCACATCACTCTTAGACCATACGAAGTTAGCAGCTAATTATTAATAAACTTAACTAATAAAGTTTTGTATTTTAGAAGGAGATACAAAAGATCGTACATTGCTCCCCTATCAGAAACTTCTTGAATCCATCATATAATCCGTCATATAATCCATTATGGAGCAGATTGATAAAGTCAAGTAAAATAGTGAAACCTGATGGTGAACCATTGAGAGAGAACAGCGTCGTCAAAACAGCCAGTAGGAAAATCCGTACGATAATTAATAAAGTTATCTTGACCATTTTGGACGCATTGTTACCAAAGGAAGCATTTGAGTTGCTCTACAAAAGTAAGCATATACTGTATTAAAGCAAATTACTAATATTCTCATTTCAGTTGGATGTAACTAATAATAAAGCTGCATTTATATTCATAAAAAAAATTATTTCATTTGCGATGTTCTTAGTGAAAAGATATATTTACGAATATGTGTTTTAAAATATTTACTCGTTTTCTATTGTTAACATTTTTAAAAAATGGAGGATTATTATTTTATGCCGTGTGTTTGGGGGGGGCTCGCCGACCTGGACATACGAAATCCCATGTAAATTTTAAAAATGATGAATAAGTTTTCAGAAAAATTTATTTAAAACTCTTTAAAGAACTTCTTAAAATGCAAGCAACTTGTTCATTTTGAATGGTTTATTACAATTCGCTATTGAGTTAAGAGAGATACAAAAATACTAAATTAGACGAAAATCATAAATAATGCTGTCCTGATCAAACAAAAATAACAACCACAAGTTATGTCACAATATCTATAGGTACTAACATACAGACCGGACCACCGTAGTAGTAACATAGGCAGAACCGGACGAATTAGCTTTTATACCCGTCCGCCGGATAAAAAGCAGGCGAAAAAATGCGATAAAATAAAAATAGGTAGATATGTGATAAGAATGTTTCATAATTTATATTTATTCGTGTTTTAATAGCCAAAACGAATACATAGATTCTCGCGACAGTTCTCGTGTAAAATTTATTTTTAAGTAAAATAATGGATGTTTACGAAGTTCGTGAGAAAATTCAAATTGTAAAATGGTATTTCCAAAATAGGTCTTATCGGGATATACAAACAATTTTTCCACAAACTTTTGTAAACAGGACAATTCTATCTTTACCTACTATATCAAGAGTTATTAATAATTTTGAAACACATGGGTGCGTGTCCCCACAAAAACACAACAAGCCTGATGTGTTGATTAATGAAGAACAGGAGTTAAAGCAAGTGTTTAACCGTTTAATTAGTGGACGTGGAACTATTTTGTGGCCCGCTACATCCAGTGGTGAAGCTATGGGGGGTGTTGGGGGGATGCTCCCCCCCAATGTATAATTGAGTTGGAAAATTAGTCATTAATCCCAAATTAAAAATATTAAGGATGGTACGATTTTATTTTAGTTTTAGAGTTGTCATAACAATAATTATTTATGCATGTTATAATGTTCAATAATATTAAATTTAAATTTTAAATTAATAAAACATTTTTTTTTAAACTAGGGTTTTTATTCCTATCACGATACATTATTACATATATTATGGCCTCTAAAAAAAAGTAGGAAGTTGGGAAAATTGCTTGTCCTCCTCCCCAAAAAAAAGTTCTAGTCACCACTGGCTAGATCACCAGATCTTTCTCCCAATGATTTCTTTTTGTGGGGTTATGTAAAACCCAAAGTGTATGGTCATAATAGGGCTAATAATCTGGATGAGCTTCAAGTAAAAATACGAGAGGCTTTCCAAACTATTAGCCTAATATGTTAGCCAATGTGAGATTTGGGATTTTACGACCGCCTAGGCTTCTGTCTAGCAATAAGAAGGTGGTCTTTTTTCAACGCTTGTTATAAGTTTTTTTTATTTAAAGTAATATTTTAGTTTTTTTTTTGGGTTTAGAGAATTTATTTATTTTTATTTTTGGCTTGTAAACACACTCAAATAATAAAGATTCAAGTATTTTTATTTTAAATGTTACCTTAAGTGAAGGTAAACAGTTAAAATGAAAATAATAAATACTCGGCACTCCTCGCGTCGTATTCCTAGTCTGTCACGACCGACCCGTCCAAGCACAACTGTAACTGCGTACTGCCTGACTAGCCATGATACAAAGAATACAAGGTATGATATTGCGCAGGTTGATAAACGGCACCATTGGTCGGCAAGTTCCGCGCGCCAATTTCAAATTGTCAAACAATAAATGTCAAAATAATTTTTCAAATGTCAAGCACGATGATTTGACATAACTTTTAGGGTTATGTCCTAAAGTCGGAGTCTCATGCATCCGAAATCCGATGGTACGACATCCGAAATTTGAAGTTATCGTGTGAAATAAAAAAAGCCTGTCACATACATCCGAAAGTTCGTTCCGAAATTTGACAGTTTTAACATTTTTCTGCTGCGCTGAATAGAGTTCATGTCATGTTTTATTGGAGAAACACTTATAAAAATAACTTCCTCGCCAAATATAATTTAATTATATAATTGCCCACTTCCCACTAAACTTGTTTTTAAAAACAAATGTTTTAAAAAAAAGTGAGGTTAAAAAACACACGATATCGTACAAAAGTTAAACAAAATTTAACTTTATACGACGTCGGATGATTAGTTAAAATTATCGGATAAAAATTGTTGTCAAAATATTTCGACCAATAGGAGCACCGTCGGATCGTCGTATCATCGGATTTCGGATGCATGAGACTCCGGCTTAATTCTTCTCTATTTTAGGTCTCTTTTTATTAGTGGCAATTGCACAATATGGATATTTTTTTGTATGGCGTATGACGTCACAGGTGGTATGCGCAGACTTAACGAAATTGGGGTCGATATCGATCATACCTTGTTTTCTTTGTACCATGCTGACTAGCCGACTACCCGTCAGTGAATCTCGAGTACGCACGCAAATTGGATAAACGTAAATTCGTCCGGCAACTTGCTATGTTACTAGTAGCCTGGTCTTCTCTGTATAAAATCCTTAAGTAACTCTGGTTGATTCTAGGGGGTAGAGGTTCGATAAGAAGGGATTTTTCGAAATTCCAGTTCCAAGAGGTTGAAACCACCCCTCAAATATTACAATATTTTTTATTTAAAAAACGGCCAAGTTTCCGAAAAAACGCTTAAACACGTATATTTTATTTTGTTTTTTTACATATTTTAAGATTTTTTAAAAATGTATACAGGGTGTTTCGCAAATCTGGTCATTTCTTAATTACGATCCTGCTTAAAGCGCTTGACGTAAAAAGCTGATTTTTGGAAAACAGATTGACTTTAGGGTGTAGAGGTTCGATAAGAAGGGATTTTTCGAAACTAATAAATATTAAAATATTTTTTATTTAAAAACTGGTAAGTTTTTCGAAAAAACTCTTAAATACGTATATTCTATATTGTTGTTTTACATATTTTAAGATTTTTTAAAAATTTATACCGGGTGTTTCATAAAATATGACCATTGAGTAATCACGATTCTGTTTAAACTGCTTGATGTTTAAAGCTGATTTTTGGCAAACGGATTGACTGTGGGGTGTAGAGATTCGATAAGGAGGGGTTTCTCGAATCTCAAATTCCAAGAGGGTGAAAACGCCCCTCAAATATTACAATATTTGTTATTTAAAAAACGGTTAGTCTTTCGGGAAAACGCTTGGACAAGCATAATTTATTTGTTTTTTTTTTACTTGGTTTTATATTTTGAAATTCTTAAAAAAATCATACAGGGTGTTCCAAAAAGTTGGGTAATCTCTTAACCACGATTCTGTTTAAACTGCTTGACGTAAAAAGCTTATTTTTGGCAAACGTATTTTTTGAAAGTCAAATTCCAACGAGATGAAACTACCCCTCAAATATTACCAAGTTATATAATAATATCGCCATATTGTTTTTTCTCATGCTGACATAAATGTGAGAAAATTTTATCCAGTTTGTATGTTAATGGAAATGCTTGCTTTGCTTTATCATCACCATTACAAATGATTAATTCGACGCGAACGAAGTCGCGGGTACACGCTAGTTATGAATAAAATGAACTAATAAAGTGTTTTATTTTAGATGGAGATGCAAGAGATCGTGCGTTGGAGAAACTCCCTTCAACAAACGTATTTTATTCACTTAATCAGCCAGGATCATTTCCAAGAGATGCATCAAATAATCCAATCCTGCAATCATTGTCAAAGCGAAGTGATGAAATCGTGCAACACCCGCCCCTCCGAGATCGTGCGTTGTTCCGTTTGAGAAATCTCTTCAAGTCAAATTATTATCCAGCACCATATCCAGGAGACGAATCAAATCGTTCATTCCTGAAATTATTGTCAAAGCTAAGGGATAAAAACGTGCAACGCCCGGTTCACCCAGCTAAGAGGATGATCAGCTTCTTCAAGAGGGTCGGCCTGAAACTCCGCCAACACGTTTTGAGAGTTATCGCGCTCATTTGGCACTCATTGTGGCCGGAGGGCTTAAATAAAGCAAGCTATTAATGTTCTGGTTTCAATTGGATGTAACTAATAATAAAGTTGTCGCATTCATAGAAAAAAAATATTTTGTTTCATTTGCGATTTCCCTATGGAAAAAATATATATACAGGGTATCCAAGGGTGAGCGTACATTAGAAGTTTCTATCGATTAAAAATATTTTCAATATGACAGCATTTCCGGAAGTTGACAGCAACTTTCTTATTTTAAATAGGTACCCCCATTATTTATTACATAGTCAAATTCTTTGTAAAATTTTACGAATTTTGATAAACACTCTATACCTAATATTAACTGTTTTTGAGAAAAAAAAATTAAAATTTTTGGAGGAAAAAAACTGCCTGCCAAAAAAATCGGTATAGCCTAAACGACAAATTTGGTGATTACCACAGCCTCTGTGGCATAAAGTGAAGACAGGTGGCTATCTATTTCAAAATTTAAATTATTCGAATGTCATACAATATTGGCAGTAGCTGTCATGGAATTGAGCGATTAAAAAAATATCCTAAATCACTTTTTTCAAATGAAAACCCACTTTTTTTATTTCACCAGTCAAAAGGTTTTTTAATTCGTTACTTTTTGATGATACATGTTCCTATACCTAAAATCAATCGTTTTTAAGTCATTTAAGATTTAGATTTAAGGGGTATATTTTTTTGTTCTTTAGCCAGTAGCTTATGACTTTGAACGTCACGCCATGTAAAAACTATAGCTGGACATGTCATATTGCCATTAGCTATCACTAAAATACGAGATATATTTTTATCAATACACTTTATAAAGTTTTACCAACAGTATTTATAATATACAAAATTCAAATAATTAGTTTTTTGAAAGAAGGAAATAAATTGTCTGATAGTTTGACACTTAATGTCAATGGAAGCTACATAAAATCAAGAAAAAATACGCTTTAAAACTAAATCTTAAGTAACTTAAAAACGATTTATTTTAGGTATAGGAACATGTATAATCAAAAATTAATGAATTGAAAAACCTTTTCACTAGTGAAATAAAAAAAGTGGGTTTTCATTTGAAAAAAATGGTTTATGATAATTTTCTCTCATGAAAAAATGATTTGTGATCGCTCTTCTATTCAAATTATTATCCAGCACCATATCCGGAGATGAATCAAATCATTCATTCCTGAAATTATTGTCAAAGCTATGGGATGAAAACGTGCAACGCCCGGTTCACCCAGATAAGAGGGTGATCAGCTTCTTCAAGAGGGTCGGCCTGAAACTCCGCCAACACGTTTTGAGAGTTATCGCGCTCATTTTGCACGCATGGTGGCCGAAGGGATCGTTTAAGCATCTAGTTCCCAAATCGTGGTCTCGATACGTCCATCAGCGCAGATCTTGGCTTAAATAAGGTAAGATATTAATGTTCTGATTTCAATTGGATGTAACTAATAATAAAGTTGTCGTATTCATAGAAAAATAAATATTTTGTTTCATTTGCGATTTCTCTATGGAAAAAATGTATACAGGGTGTCCCAGGGTGAGCGTGCATTAGAAGTTTGTATCGATTAAAATGGCGGCACTTCCGGAAATACCGGGAGTTGACAGCAACTTTCTTATTTTAAATAGGTACCCCTATTTTTTTACATAGTCAAATTCTTTGTAAAATTTTACGAATTTGATAAACACTCTATACCTAATATTAACTGTTTTTGAGAAAAAAAATATTTAAAATTTTTGGAGGAAAAAAACTGCCTGTCAAAAAAATCGGTATAGCCTAAACGACAAATTTGGTGATTACCACAGCCACTGTGGCATGAAGTGAAGACAGGTGGCTATCTATTTCAAAATTTAAATTGTTTGAATGTCATACAATATTGGCAGTATAGTCTATAAAATGAATAACTTTGAATTTTGACCGTTATTTTTTACCAACATGGCAAATGTAAAACCCCTCTGTCAAAAAAGTTACTGATATTCTTTAAACTGAGTGCCTGAACGAATCAGATAGGTAACTCTTTTTACTTTCGTGAAATAGAAAAGGAAAATAATAAAACAAGTGACAGTTCTTCCTTTTCTTGCAAAAATCAACACAAATTGTCATAATTGCCAAAAGTAAAATGTCATCAGCTTTTGACATTTCTAAATATCAGACCAATGCCGTCTCTAATAGAACAGCCTCGGAGCGAGATTGATGACGTCACGCTAGTTAGATACTACGGATTAATAAATATGTTGTAGAATACATGGAAAACATGTATTCATGATACATTGTTATTGATACATGTTCATTCATACTAGTTTACATGAAATATACATAATATACAGTTAATAAATACAATACATATTCCTATTTATAGTAATAAATACTTTGGCAAATAAACTATGAACCACACAAATGCAGCAAATGTTTTACAATATACAAATAATGAATAGGTACATCAGATAATGGATAAAATGTAAAATATATTTTAAATTTTGTGGTTTGAAAATTGATCTAATTTAACAAAAAACATTCAATATCTACTAATAGTGATGTATTATTATTTGCATTCACAAAATGTATATGTATATTTGCAAGTATCAATGTTCGAAAAATTATATTTGCAAATAATACAATATCATAGAAAAAAAGGCGTCAGCGATGGCTATGAAATAAAGATCGCTGTCATTTTATATGTAAAATTATTCTAAAATTTTTGATTTTCTTGGGATTTTGGTTCGGGAAAAACACTGATTAAGTTTTCATTTGGTTTTTCATTATTTTTATTTGGTTTAAAAAAAACGTTTCGGGTAACATGATAGCCTTCATCAGTGTTGTGTCATATGAAAAAAATAGTGTCGAATATAATCCAAAAAACTACATATAAAATATTCACACCACACATCACATAATAATGTTTACTACAATTAATAAACTAATATAAACTTGTCAAAAAATGACCACATATTTTTTAAAATTATTATTCTTTTCACTAAAACTATCTACATTGACTATGGAGTGCGATTTCAGCCATAGTCAAGTGAGGCTGTTTTATTAGAGACGGCATTGCGTCAGCAGAGCCACAAGTTGCTAACCTAATAAATTAACACTAGAAAAGCCCGCGGGAACTGTCAAATTCAAAGTTATTCGCTTCACAGACTATAGCTATCATGGACTTGAGGGATTAAAAAATTATCATAAATAATTTTTTTCATATGGAAACCCACGGTTTTTATTTCACCAGTGAAAAGGTTTTTTAATTCGTTACTTTTTGATTATACATGTTCCTATACCTAAAATCAATCGTTTTTAAGTCATTTAAGATTTAATTATGAAGGAATATGTTCAAGGTTGTCTTGAAAAAGAAAAAAAAATATTATTTTTTTTGCTGCACCCATGTCTACTAAATAATAACCATCACTTTTATAATAATATACAGGGTTGTTCACCACATACGACACGGAGTATTGTAGCTAAACAAATAGATTTTTGCAAATTGTAAGTTTTGGGTTCATTGAAGGACTATTAGAGCTACAATTTAAAAACATTTTAATAAGATACAGAGTGTCCCAAATAAATAAAAAATATCAAAGTTTTATTTTTAAAACGGAACACTCTGTAGATTATTATTATTTTTAGTTTCTACAATTAAAATAAAGGTAAATTTGATTAGGGTTTACCGCATTTTAATCTTACCGTTTTTGTAATATTAAGTTTTTGTCAAAATACAGTAATAATTTTAATGCTTCATTTCCCTAGACGTATTTAAGTTTTTAAAACCAAATATTGTACTGAAGTATTTCTATTTACTAAATTTTGTGTTGCAATAATAGAAATTATACTACCTTATACAGAGTGTCTAAAAAATTATTTTAAATAATTACTAGCTTTAAACGACAATAACTTGTTTATTTTAAATAGAACACTCTGTATATTTTATGAGAATTAGATGCACAATTTAATTGTCTATCAAATTGTATTATACCATGTTTTATCTATCTCTTCAAGTTTTCGTAGAAAATGCATTTTCTTATAATTTAGAGCTCATTTATTAATATACCCATGGAATATTGACATTTTAGTTTATTTTTAAAGATGTAACATATTTTTAAAGAGTACAGATACTAATATTGTCGATACAATTAGTTTAATCCATTAAAAAGAAAAAACTGTTTAAATATTTGTTATAGAGGACCAATTAATATGATTCCAGTATTCAAACAACATAATAATAATAGCTCCGAATACTAAAAAACTGACATTTTTTGACGAATGTTTATTTGTGACAACAGAGAAGTTCATTTTCATAACTTATTACTATATTGATTTTTCATTCAAATCCACATTTATTTAGAATAATTTATTAACTAACAAAATTAAGTATGTAATTAATGAATATTTGGGTGGAAATAATGATGGTATATTTAATTAATAGTATACTGTTTTACAAAGATTTAAATAGTTTTCTTTTTATATACAAAATTGAGCTAGTAATAATATAATTTTTAGCACCTATACATTTTGTACATTTGTTGCTTTAAAAACAGTCTAAAATGTCAATATTCCATGGGTATATTCATAAAAGAGGTCTAAATTATAAGAAAATGAATTTTCTCCGAAAACTTGAAGAGATAGATAAAAATGGTATAATTCAATTTTATAGACAATTAGATGGTACATCCGATTCTCTCAAAATATACAGAGTGTTCTATTTAAATTAAATGATAGTTTATTGCCGTTTAAAGCTAGAAATTATTTAAAATAAATTTTTAGACACTCTGTATGAGGTAATATTATTTTTATTATTTCAATGTAATAACTGATCAATAAACAAACTTCAGTAAATATTTAGCATTAAAAACTTTGATACCATTGGAGAAATGAAGCCTTAAAATTTTAACTGCAATTTCGCATAATCGAAAATATTTCAAAAACGGTAAGGGTTAAGAGTGATAAACGTTAATCAAATTTACATTTATTTTAAGCAAAGAAACTAAAAATGTAATAATATACAGGCTGTCCCATTTAAAAAATACAACTTTAATATTTTTTATTTATTTGGGACACTCTGTATCTTGTAAAATATTTTTAAATTGTAGCTCTAATAGTCCTTCAATGAACCCAAAACTTACAATTTGTAAAAATCTAAACGTTTAGCTGCAATGCTCCGTGTCGTATGTGGTGAACAACCCTATAGACACTGATTTCTTTATTCTTTATTTTTTTTACATTTCAATAATTAAATGAATACTACATCTATACTTTAACATTGTGGCACAATGAGACCTGAAATGGATGGAACAATTATAACGAGTAAACGGGGTATCAAACACTGGCGAAACCACATTAGAATGGCGTCCACACCCAGAATAGCCCAGATTCCATTAAAGGTTCCTACAAGGATGAACATAATTGCGTTTAGAATTGATGTTTGGATTGTTTTCAAATTTTCTCCAATAAATGACAGGATGCTCCAACAAAAGTCTAAAAATAAAATAAAAATATAAATACTTTTTTCAAGAGATTACTTATGGAAAAGAGGCCAAACTAACAAAAAATAATAAAAAAATTGTGTGTGCACTATGTGCGCATATATATAGTGAAACTTCTTACTAACAGTTATTAAATTGAAGTATTTAAAGAATATACCGGGTGGCCAACTAAAAATGGACGCCGGCTGTATGCAGAAACTACTTGTCGTACAACTTTGGGAAAAAATTCTAATAAGTAAATCGACTAGGAGAAATCGCTAGAAATTATTTTCAAGTGCGAAAAATGTCCGCTAGAGGGCCTTTCTCTGATAGCCAATCAGAAAACAGAGTTTTTCTCAAAAAAAGCAGGTGAACAGGTATTTTAAATATTACTATTGTAATCATCGAGAAAGTTGTAATTTTTTTGACATAGACTATTTTGCTCTATCTCATAAAATAAAGTGGTGGGGGAAGGTTAAACTTGCTTTTATTAAAATAAGGATAACTCTGGTTTAGGTTATCCGATTTAAACAAACTACGGCTCGTTTAAATGTGCCTTTCTTACTTAATGATCTTCAGTATAAATTTTGTTTCCATAATTTTTTTCGTGGCTGTTAGGAATTTTTGGAGCTTCTTGGATACCACCAGATACCACTTACTTTAGCAGATAGAGACGCTGGAGCGGCATATTTCCATGGCCAGCTGGGTCATCGGATTCAATATGCCTGGGTTTTAATTTATGGGGTCGAATCAAGGACGAACATGGATAAAAAACAATTAAATGGTATTAAAATATATGTTTTGATATTTTGACGTAACCAGTTTACCTCTTTTTGTTTCCTAGCCTTCTACTATAATTTTTAGACCATATAATACTAAGTGGCAGCCTAACATGATTTGTTCTTTTAATATCTCCGGTTAGAGAGAAGATAGAAACTTGCGGTTTGCGCTGATATTTTGGAAATTTTATGCTCTATTTAACGGTGTAAAGAAAAATATAGCCTCCTATTTAAATTTTTTATGCAAAACCGCAATATCTGTTATGATGTCAAACAGCGCCCTCTGGCTACCACGAAAAAAATTATGGAAACAAAATGTATACTGAAGATCATTAAGGAAGAAAAGCTCTTATAAACGAGCCCTAGTTTGTTTAAATCGGGTAACCCAAACCAAAATTCTCCATATCAAAAAAATTACAAATTTCTCGATGATTATAATAGTAATATTTAAAATACCTGTTAACCTGCAGATTTTTGAGAAAAACTCTGTTTTCTGATTGGCTATCAGAGGAACGCCCCCTAGCGGACATTTTTCACACTTGAAAATAATTTCCAGTGATTTCTCTTGGTCGATTTACTTATTTGAATTTTTTTCCCAAAGTTATACGATAATTAGTTGGCCACCCGGTATATATTTTTTTAGAATGCTTCTTATAAACTTCAAAAAAAAAATAAAGTTAATATAAAACCGTATACTATTCTAACTTTATAATTTTATGTTTTTTTTTAATTTTTATTAAAAAACGATAATTCTATCACTCGGCCGGATAGCCTGGCAACTGTGGCCATTAAACCAAAATATTACTACATCTATATCTCTGACTACTCCTAACTGCTACTAACCAATAATTTGTTTTGTGTGATCTGTGGTCTGTTTTTGTTTAAATGTTTTGTTCAATATTCATGTTGGGGGTTTATTTTTAAATTAATGCTAATCGTTAGGCAAACTCACACATAATCAAAATTGTCACTCTAAGCCTAAGCCTAAATTGTTTTACACAGGGGTAGATTTATCCCGAATCAGGTAGCTGTGGCAACACTGCCGCTATGGCTGTTCCTCTCGCGCATCACGGCCGTCTCGCATGCGCCTCGCGGCCTTGAGTTTTTACTCCCAACACGCGTAAAGAAGCTCCAGTTCAAGAATAATATACACGGTGAGTTTCCTACAATGTTCTCTATGAGTATCTCGGAAACTACTGAAGATAGAGAGTGTTAAATGGGGAAAGAATTGTAGTTTTGTGGGGTCATAAATATGCGCCTTTCAAATTTTTGAGAAAGTTCATGGCTTACTAGATATTTCGAAAAAAACAAATTTCGGCTATTTTAAAAATTATCCCTAATTCCATTATAATCTATTTTAGAAAAAAAGTTTTCAGATAAAAGTTGTAGATAATGACATCCTTAATGAGATCGTGTTCTCTGTTTCTTTCCAAAGCCTGTCATTTTTGACATATGACACACGCTTATTTTTTTTTAAATGGAAACCATAGTTGGCCCCGACTTCATAAAAAGCGCCATTTTTTAAGCTTTTTAGCGATATAAGCTATAATATGTTTTCTTCGAAAAATTAGTGAGTTATAGCCAATTCTTAACAATTTTAAACAATTTTACTTAGTTAGTCATGGAAACAAGTTCAATCGTCGTTGCTCTCAGAAATGTGAAACTGTCACATCCAAACTTTTTAAATTATAATAAACAAAAATTGTAAATATGAATTTTTCAAATGAAGAAAAGCGTGTAGATACTCGCGCATCAATAAAGTCGTTCCAACATGACTTTAATTTTGACCCCCCCCCTCCATAATGAAAGAAATGTTAAAAATTATTTATATCATAATTATGCAAACTGAAGGATAGGAAGAGGTGGACCAATTGCATGGGCCTTCTCCGATCACCTGACCTATCCATTTTAGATTTTTTTATGCGGTATGGTTAACAATAAGGTTTATAAAAAAACTTATGAATTAAGAGTCGTTTTGTGAGAATAGATAGTAATTCAGTTTTAAAAAGATGCAACTCAAAACAATAGCGGATTTTATGAATATTTTCTAAAATAACTTAAAGTGTATGTAGTGATATTATTTTTTTAAGTTTTAGTTTGTGTAATGTTAAAGAACCGTTTAATAATATATTCTGACTTTTTATAAGTTATAAATCACAACAGAATAAGAATGCCATGCAATCTAAGTGAAATTAGTCAAGAAAGATAAGAATTGGCTATAACTAAATTTAACTTTTCTAACATGTCTTGAAAACCGTTCTCTAAAAAACGTAAGTAACGTTCACAGGTCAACGTATCCTCGAAAATGTATCGTCAAGATAAGTTGAACTAATAATCCTACACGCTTTTCTTTATTTGAAAAATTCATATTTACAATTTTTGTCTATTTTAATTTACAAAGTTTGGATGTGACAGCTTCACATTTCTGAGAGCAAAGACGATTAAACTTGTTTCCATGGCTAAGTGAAATTGTTTAAAAATTATAAGAATTGGCTATAACTCAGTAATTTTTCGAAGAAAAGATATTGTAGCTTATATAGCTGAAAAGTTTAAAAAATTGCCCTTCTTATGAAGTCATGGCCAACTATGGTTTCCATTTAAAAAAACATATGTTTGTGTCATATGTCGGAGGACACAAAACGGAGGACACAATCTCATTAAGGATGTGATTATCTACAACTTTTATCTGAAAACCTTTTGTCGAAAATAGCTTATAATGGAATTAGGGACAATTTTTAAAATAGCCGAAATTTGTTTTTTTCGGAATATCTAGTAAGCCATGAACTTTTTCAAAAATCTGAAAGGCGCATATTTATGACCCCACAAAACTGCAATTCTTTCCCCATTTAACCGACTCTCTATCTCCCATAGATCCCCCCATACCTACCCATAGAGAACATCGTAGGAAACTCACCCTGTAGATGGTATTCTTCTAACTACCCTGTTGAAATATCGATTTTGTTTCTTACCTTGAAATGGTGCTGCAAGTACTTCAACTTCTATAGATCGTACCTGTCGGGATGATGCAACAGGATGCTGCAGCGATACTGACGAAGTTCTACGTCCACAGTTGACTAAACAAGTAAAAATGACGAATATTAAAAACAGTATTGTAATTGTTTTGAGTAAAGCACGGCTTGCTAGTTTTTCCATTTTTTTTCTCCGTTAAAATGCTTATTATAAATGGAGGAAATAGACAGAATCTTTTACCAATTAGCTTTTACTACTCTACTGTTATACGATATGGGAAATATTATTATTGCTTAACAGAGATTTTTTTAAAAAGGGTAATGTGTAGAATAATATATTCCTCAATTATATTTTAATGTTTATACAGGGTTGTTCACCACATACGACACGGAGTATTGCAGCTAAACGATTATATTTTTGCAAATTGTAAGCTTTGGGTTCGTTGAAGGATTAATAGAGCTACAATTTAAACATATTTTTAAAAGATACAGAGTGTCCCAAATAAATTAAAAATATCAAAGTTGTATTTTTTTCAATGGAACACCCTGTATATTTTATTACAATCAGATGCACAATTTAATTGTCCATCAAATTGTATTATTTAATTCTTTCTATCTCTTAAAGTTTTCGTAGAAAATACATTTTCTTATAATTTAGACTTCAATATCAATATACCCATGGAATATTGACATTTTCGATTATTTATTTATTTTATTGACAATATAGTTAATTTATTTCATTAAAAAATAAAAAAAAACTGTTTAAATATTTGTTAAAGAGGACCCATTAATATGATTCCAGTATTCAAACTACATTAATTGACTGTTTGCGTTGATTAATAATAATTGCTCCAAATACTAAAAACTGAATTTTGTATGTGTATTATTTATTTTGTATATGGATTCACATATATTATATGGTTAAAAGTAAATTTAATTTTTTGACGAATAATGCTTATTTATAACAACAGGGACGGTCATTTTCATAACTTATTATTATATTGATTTTTGATTAAAATCCACATTTATTTAGAATAATTTATTAACTAACACAATTAAGTATGTAATTAATTAATATTTGGGCGGAAATAATGGTGGTACATATAGGTATTTAATTAATGGTATACTCTTTTATAAAGAATTAAATAGTTTTCTTTTTGTATACAAATGGGCTAGTAATATTATCGTTTTTAGCACCTGTACATTTTGCACATTTGTTGCTTTAAAAACAATCTAAAATGTCAATATTCCATGGATATATTGATAATTGAGGTCTAAATTATAAGAAAATGTACTTTCTACGAAAACTTGAAGAGATGGGTATAATACAATTTGATAGACAATTAAATTGTACATCTGATTCTCCTAAAATATACACAGTGTTCCATTTAAATTAAGAAGTTGTTGCCGTTTAAAGCTAGTAATTATTTTAAATAAATTTTTAGACACTCTGTATAAGGTAGTATTATTTTTATTATTGCAACAGAATAATTGATTAGTAAATAAGCTTCAGTAAATATTTAGTATTAAAAACTTTGATACCTTTGGAGAAATGAAGCTTTATAATTTTCACTGCAATTTCACAAAATTGAAAATATTTCAAAAACGGTAAGATTTAAGTGTGATAAACCTTAATCAAATTTACCCTTAGTTTAGTCGTAGAAACTAAAAATGTAATAATATACAGGTAGTTCCGTTTAAAAAAATACAACTTTGATATTTTTTATTTATTTGGGACAACGAACCCAAAACTTACAATTTGTAAAAATCTAATCGTTTAGTTGCAATACTCCGTGTCGTATGTGGTGAACAACCCTGTATATAGTGGTCACATTTTTTCAAATAATGGAAAATTTCTTATTTCATTATTACCTTCAAGGGCCATAGCAACAAACCTTAAACAAAGAACTATAATTCCGGTTTATAGTATTCCGGAATGACGTTAATGAACTTTGTTTCTTGTTTGACTATACATCTGCCATTTCGTGACATGTCCATTCGGTCACATGTCCCTGTGACCGTCGACCCAATGTATTTTGATCACGCATACAATCTCTTGAGCGCTGCTATGCTGTCTGTAAACATGGCTCAATAGATGAACTACCATAGCATATTATTGATGCTGATTTTTCCGCCCTGTATAGTCCACGGGCGTACAATAACAAATTAAAACGGATTTTATTTAAATCCAGGCACGTTTTCAGATTTTCATATCGCCTGGTTTTAAATATGCCCAAAGCAGCTTCAAGTGCCACAGCAATATACCGTTTATTGCTGAACATAAAAAATATACATAAAATGCGCTATAATTTTCGTGACATAGAATATTTTATGTGATTCTAGTTGTCTTGCTTGTTGAGTGTTTGTTTAAAAAATTTAATTTTATTTAAACTGATTACTAAAAAAGGCTCTAAAATGTAAAATTAAAAAATTGGCGCAGGGAGGCACGTATAGCCGCCCATATATGTTAATAAAAAGTTGGTAGGCTGTTCTTTTAGTTTGAAAGTAAAGAAATTTTCCAATTTTTTTTATCTCAAAAACTGCGACTTTGTTGCAAATATTATTCATAATCTTAAATTGAAAAAAAAATCCGCGTTTCGTTAGCTACTGTAATTTTGGAGTTACGATTTTGTAAAATTTTTAACCCCCTCCCATACCCCCTCCCATACCCCCTTACCAACCCCCCACCCCCACCAAAAGCTAATGGCCAGATTCTCGGGTGCCACAGTATTTTTGTACCAAATTTGGTTAAAATCGGTTTAACGGTTTTTGAGTTATCGTGTTACAGACGGACAGACAGACAGACCGACGGACGGACAGGCAGGCAGGCAACGGACGGACGGACGGACGGGCGGGCCGGCAGGGCGAAAATATTAACCGAAGCGACCGAAAATATTAATTCACGGGCGATGAAATCGCTCGTGAATTAATATTTTCGGTCGACGATAAAATACAATTTTATCGTCTTGTATAAAAAATAACTATTACTCTCTGTAGCTACGAAACAAAGCAGAATCGGACCTATATTGATATAAAAAATAAATCTTATTTTTAGATGACGAATCTCCCCACGAGAGATAGCATATGTTTTGTGAAACACCCTGTGTAAATGACGTTTTCGACTACAATACTTAAAAATTACCATGATAATTTTCCACAGCAACAAAATCACCAATTAAAAGTTTTATTCGTACATCAAAAAATACCAAGTAAATAATTCTAACTTTTGCACGTTAGTTCGTAAGTGTAATTTCTCAGCAAGTCCGACAATTATTCTCGTATAATTAATTTTTGTTTGTTTTTCTACGTTATACAAGAACATTACGTAGCTATACATACAAGAAAGTTATGTAGCTATTTATATATAATTAATGATAATTTTAATTTTAAGATGTCATAAAAAACACTCAGTATTATTTTTTTGTCTTTTGTCTATACAGGCATATGTAGTTAAATAATATTGAAGAGTTACGAAAAAGACAGCCATGATCGAGCCGGCTTTCAATTTTCCGATGGAAAATCTTTCATTATTTTTAATAGCATCGTCTTCTTTTTATAGTACCATCTTTTAATGAAGGTTGGCAACAATCGCGGCGAAACACTGTCTGTCCTGTGCAGCTCGAAACAGTTCGTGTGAGTTCAGTCCAGTCCAGTCTCGTAAGTTTTTCAACCAAGAGTGCTTGCGTCTCCCAAGTCCTCTTCTGCCTTCTACCTTTCCATCTATAATCAACTTCAGAAGCTTTGCTCTGCTATTGCGCATGACATGGCCTATAGGTATGCTCTCTTTCGTTTTTTTTATATTTGTAAGTAATTCCCTTTCCTTGTTAAACCTCCCAAGAACCTCTTCATTGCGTACATGATCTGTACAGGGTATTTTCAAGGGTCTTCTGTAGATCCACATTTCAAAAGCTTCTAACCGTCTCATGGTTCATTTTAATCATCCATGTCTCACAGCCGTATAAGAGGATTGAGTATACATAACAATGGACAAAACGCAGACGTATGTTGATGTTGAGTGATCGGTTACATAATAGGTTTCTCATTTTGTTAAACATTGATCTAGCCTGTTCTATACGCGATGGAACTTCTAAGTCGGGATCAAGGTCCGATGTTAGCCAGGATCCCAGGTATTTGAACTTATTTATCGTGTCTACGCATTGTCCGTATACTCGTATGTTGGTTGGTGGAATATTTCTCCTACTAACGACCATTATCTTGGTTTTTGCCGTGTTTATTTTAAGGCCTAATGAATCTCCAACTATGTCGTTTAGGCGTTCTTGAAGAGCTTCGGGGTTGTCAGCGATAATCGCGGTGTCGTCTGCATACCTAAGGTTGTTAATTGGGACGCCATTTATTTTTAATATTATAGCATCATCTAAGCTAAGCAATTATTAAAGCAAGTGACTATATCTGTAATGGGTGTGAAATTCGTCTTTTCACAGAAGAAGCCAAAGAAGAATAATTGGCAAGAATAATTTTATTGTCAAAATGCGCATCCAAAATTTAAAGAAAATATTTGGGTGAATTGTTTTTTATTAATTTCATTTCTTTTATCATTTTATCATATAAGTTTTCACTATGAATTTTAATGGTAAAAAATTGTGCATATCTAAGGTCTTATAGCTTTGGAATTATTGGGAATTTTAATAATTTCCACCATGGTTATATGGAAGCCAAACCTGGGTGCCGTACCGCCGACACATGAACGCATTAAACAAGTTGCAGCAGACAACTCTTAAGAATCCGGTGGTTCCATCATGTCTCAAACGTATCGGTCCTTGAAAAAGCTAACTGCGAGAGTATTGAAGTCATGGTTACAAAATCCCGCTTAAGATGGGCCGGTCACGTATGCAGAATGTAAGAAAACCGCATACCAAAATATCTGCTATACGTGACAAAATATCTGCTATACGTGGTGAGCTTGTAGACGGTAAGAGGAGGCCGGGTGGACAACTCAAAAGGTACAAGGACATTTTCCATGATAACATAAAGGGGATTAACATGCAGAATGAGTGGGAAGAAGCAGATCACAACAGAACTCAATGGAGAAGAATTGTAAACTCAGTTAACAGCGACAACCAAAAAGTAAAGAGGCAACAAAGCAATGAGATTTTTGAATGTCTGGAGCGGTAGGCAGATAACATCACGTATCGGGCTTTTGTCACAGAAAAGCTCATGAAAGAAAACGCCTTGCGTGACCATTTTCTGATGCGTGTCAAATACTCGTCAGCGAGTAATGGCAGTATGTATGTATGTATGTATGTTTTATTACTTTGTCTGTT